GTCAGGCAGAACGAAACGATAGAGTACAGAATTGGAGAACTTTAGGTTTGAATGTATCTCTTAAAGAAATGTTTAGCATAGACTGATTTAATTAGGAAGTTAATTTTAGTCAAACATTCTGCACTTGAATTTGATAAGCGTATATATAGCAATTCAAATACAATATATATATATATATATATATATATATATATATATATATATATATATAGATAGATAGATAACAATATATGTATAGCAACAACAATATTCGATAATAATTATGTAAAAAGTAATTTACTTCGATCAAAGTGATTGTATTTTAAAGCCCACGAACAAAAATTTCTTTAAGAAATCTAAACAATTTCAGTTTTGAAAGCTCAGAACGCAGAAAAGTGTAACCATATCTGTGCCACTGAGGAGCATTGAGTGCGGGTCAAATGCATTACACTGGAGAGTATGTATGTGAGACAAGCTTGGTTTGGTAGCCACCATTTTATATTATATATGTGTATTATAGTGATTTGCTATGCTTAGCTTTGTTTGGCACAGTTGTAAATATTTCAATACAGATTCCTTCAACTACTGAAATGGTCTGTTAGGCGACCTTGCAAATTATCTTGCTTTGCGAGGCGCCTAGGGATTTTGCATATTTAAAGAAGTTTTTGTCTTGCCTTCACTAGAAAAAATGTGTTTGTTTCCATGGAGTATTTAGCTTTATCAAAAACCTCACCAAATTAGATTGGGTTAGAATATTAGTCTTTCGCACCGAAGAGAATAAATATTTTACTTCAAGGTTGACATAGTTGCAGAATACCCACCGGCAACAATAGTTGGTTTTTGGGTTTAGACAAAAGCCAGTATTTTGAATGATAACTTTCACAGTGGGGTGCGGGGCTCTATACTTGAAACGATGCCTTACCCATATTCTCCACTAATTTGACTGAATGTATAAATGTCTTTACTAGAAATCCTAAAAATCAAGATTCAGTTTTGCAATATGTTGAACGTGTTTCGGATGTTATGAATATTTGTAATTCTCAAAGATGGATGCGTCTCGGATCGTTCGGAGATCATAAAATGGAAATGAAAGAGAAATAAATATGGTTTTTAATATGAATATCAGAAAATATCTAATTTAATATATAAAAACAATATTTTTATACAAGAAATTCTTCATTGTAGTTCTAACATGTTTATCAGAACATATTTATTGAAAACATTCGTTTTCTTCCGGACGAGACACATCAAATTAAAAATTTTCCATTGATATTAAAAATAAAGACAACATGACATTCTTCAAATTATTTTTAAAGTATAAAATAATTTATCTGTTGCTAATATCGTTCAGTTTACGTTTGTAGCAATTATGAAATATTTAATATTTTGATAGGCACATTAATACATTCAAACATCATATTAAATTTATCACACGAAGTTAATAAAAACAACGATTTTTTTACTGGTGGACTGTAACGAGAGATATATTGTTTCTTCACAATGGATTCTAATTCAAATTTCTAGCCAACGACATAATTTATGAAACATCAATGACTATATAGCATTTATCGTTAATTCAATTAATGTTTTATATTATAAGTTGATGTGGCATATAGTTTAGTTGATTTTCAAGAGGAGTTTTATTTTGAATAATAAATGTTATAATATTGGAAGTAATGTTCGCAGTTTATAAGCGGATTTGCGCTAATAGGAATCTGCCAGGAAAAGTTTGAAAATCATAGAATTATTCAGATCGTTTTCTACTGAGGTGTAAAAATATTCGAAGTGTTTTTATGTGGTGCTTGAAGTGGTGATTTCGTTTCACATGCAACTGAAATTTATGGCTATAGCTGTTTATTTTTATTCCGCATTGACAAATGGTCAAATATCATTTAAGTAGAAATAACAGGTCTCTCTCCCTCTCCCTCTCTCTGTATTGTTTTGTTTGCACTGTTCTTCTCGGTGATACTGAAGTATGCTTTTCGTGATACAAAAACTGGCGTTAAATTTCATTTTCGAACTGATGGAGTACTGTTGAACCATCAGCAGTTTAAGTCCAAAACACTTCTACGTACCAATATTATACGGGATCTACTTTTTGCAGACTACGTTGATCCATGTAGCTGACTTTTTAGAGGAAGCTCAATATTTACTCAACCGGTTTTCTGCGGCATGCAAGGCATTCGGACTTAACATAAGCCTCAAGAAAACTGAAGTTGTTCATCAACCTTGCCCAACACTGAAGCAAATCAGAGTATAAAACTCCCTGTTCGTAAGTTTCCTGAGATCCCTTTACAAGTTGATGGAAAGATTCTCAGGTATGTAAAATCTTTCAAATACCTTGGGAGCATAGTAAATTCAAGTGCATTACTTGATGTCGAGATTGTTAATCGCATTGCTAAAGCCAGCGCTTTCGGTGCATCATAGATTGTAGGACGAAAGGGGAATAGAGCTTTGCACTAAAATCCAAGTGTACAAAGCTGTCGTTGTGTCAGCTCTTTTATGTGGATGAAACTTGGAAACCTTATAGATGGCACACTAATCGATTAGATGTCTTCCATAAAGGCTGTCTCCTTATAATCTGTGACCTCACGTTTGATGATCGAGTGTCAAATGCCGACCTTTTTTGAGAAATGCAAGTGTGGTACCATCGAGACCTTCATAGTGCAATCACAACTGTGTTGGGCTGGCCATATGGCAAGGATGAGTGATGATCGTATACCAAAAGTTATTTTCTACAGTTAACTCCATAGTGGTCATAGAAATGTTGGTAGACCTTGGCTCAGGTATAAAGATAAAATGAAGATGACCTTTCTTGCGCCAACATTCCATTCAAGAACTTTAAAGAGGTAGCTATGAAGAGACCAGAGTATCGTTCCAGCTGCTATGCATGAATAAAGCGCCATCAAGCAGTAAGCCTCATTCGACTGCGTGAAACACGAAAGCGAAATAAAACAGCTAACAGTGTTTCTGCTGCACTTGCATACAGTACTTTCCCCTGTACTGTTTGTGGTCTTTTGTGCAATTCTCGAATCGGCCTCAAAAGTCATGCCCGTCATAGGCATGCAGATAATTAGTAGGTGGTCGTCGGATCCTCATACGTCGAACTCGAGAGTCCATCACACACGCACACACACACACTCACACACAGATATATATATATATATATATATATATATATATATATATATATATATATATATATATATATGTAGTGTTAGAATGTTTGAACAAAACTTCATAGTTTTCAATAGGTGGCGGTTGAACACAGGATGTCATTTCATACATGATTGAAATTTATGAAATATACATGTTCTAAGAGTTGGCATTTCTATACTTCTTTAAGTAAAAAGAAGTAAAAGTGAAAATGAGGGAAAATGACGTATATTTTCGTCATTTGATGCTCTTTTATTTCCGGAAAGAAAAAAAAAACGCTATACAAACAGAAAAAAGATATGTGCCGTTTATAGAGATAGTGCCTTAACAGCCAGTACTATTCGTGAGTGGTTTCCTAGGTTTAGAAGCGGGAATTTTAATCTGGAATATCGAGTATGTTCCAGCAGGACCGCAGTAGTTGGTAATGTCCAAAATGAAATATCCATTTATTTTTTCCATTCTCAAGAGCAATTTGAGACGGGTATAATGCCAAAAAATTTAACTGATTTGCGTCCAAGTTGTTTTCTGCTAAAAGCCGTTCCAATCGTCCTTAGAAAACTTTTCATGATAGATTTTATCGCAAAATATGATGGGTCAAAGAGTGTGTCTTTTTGTGTGTGCCTTTTTGTGTGTGTGTGTGTGTGTGAGAGAGAGAGAGTATAAATGCGTTTCAGTGGTTTCGTTAGTTTCCAGACTTCGATCAAATTGAAAATTTATGAAAAGATCAAATTCATTAAATGGACATCAGATATAATGATTCTACGAAGTTTATTAAGAAAATGTTGCGAAGATTTTGAAGAATTAAGAAAAAAGTTTCAGAAAAGTAACTGCAACGCATGGCAATGTTACTTAGTATTAGTTGAAAGGTGTCACATCTCTCAATACGATTTGTGTGTGGATTGGGAATTTTAAATGGCGATGCTTAAAAAGGCTTCACAAATAACAAAAAATATATGCAGTTAATCGCGATGATGCAGTGGCTTACAGTACTGTTCGTAAGTGGTTCGCTGTGAAAGTTTGATCTGGTATACCGAGAATGTATCGACCTGTAGTTGCCTGCAGTAATTAATGATGATCAAAACGAACCACCGATTTAATATATTCCAGATCACATGACACAAGATATCTCATATGAGCGTTGTAAAGCGTTTGTAAACATTTAGATACGGGAATTGCAACGCTGTTTGTGTGCCTCATGACTTAATAGAAAAAAATAGTGAACCTCTTTACCGTGTACGATTCTTTGCTCAAATGCAACAAAACGACCCATTTTTGAAAAGGATGATCGTAGGCAATGGAAAATGGATTATTTACTACAATGTGAAGCAAAAAAGCTCATGGGGAAAACGAAATGAGGAATTGTTAACCACTCCAAAACTTGGTCTGCATCCGAGGAGTTTGATGCGGTTTATCTGATGGGATTGGAAGGGTTAGGGTTAGGTTTAGGGCTTAAATATTGCAAAACTCTTTTACAAGCGCCTTCAGCAAAATCAGATTTATAATCCATAAAAGTACTGTTTTCATGCGCACCGATTAAAGGCAGCAATCATTTGATTAACACACTATTTTTAGCATGATGATGTACTTTCTGCGGAACCTGCTGTTGAAGTAACTGGTTATTTTACTTGGACTGTAAAATCTCTATTACATGAAATTTTTGATGATCGCAAATCAATTAAATTGATCCTGTATCACTTCATAGAAAATTGTGCACGGTATAATTTAAATTGTCTATTATTTCTGCTATACCCAACAGCGTTTGTGACCGAATTAATGACAAAAAATTTAATTGATTTGGGCCCAAAATTGTTTTCTGCTAAAAAATCTCCCCCAACATACTTTTCTGGAAAGATCTCGCGCATCTTTTAAAGGAAAATATAAGTCTCGAATGGTTTCAGGGAAGCTAAATATAATAGATAGATAGATAGATAGATAGATAGATAGATAGATAGATAGATAGATAGATAGATAGATAGGAAGAGAGAGTGAATTTTTAAAATTTGGCTGGGAGAAAGGAATGAAATTTTAAATATAATAGTAAATAAGGAGGAACTGGAGAGATTGTGAAGATAGGGATAAGAGAAAGAGTGAAAGGAAGCGAGGGAAAATAATTATGAAAATAGAAAAAGTGGGTTTAGTAAAAGAAAAAAAGTAAAGCTGTAAAATACGAGCTTTGAGAATGAGATAGGCATATCGGGAAATTGTGGCGAGAAAAGGAAGCGAATGAGTCTGTGGAAAGGAGTTAGCAGAAAAAGTGTGGTTTGACAATTGGTTTCACGAGGAGAAATATAAATTGAAAGAGTAGGGGTGAATAAAAGGAACTGGCTAGAGAGAAATTGAAGTTAGAAGGCAAAAACAAAGTTTATGAAATTGTAGTTTTGCTAAAAATATAAGAATATTGAGAAATCGGAGTTTGGAGAACAAGTGTAAAGTTTGGATGTGTATTTAGAAAATGAAGAGCGGGAGATAGTGGAATTTGGATTGGAATAGAAAGAGAATGTGAAATTAAGAGATATTCAAACTCGCGTTAAAAAAGAAAAGAGAGAAATGGGATAAAGAAAAAAAGAGGATAATCGGAGTTTAGATAATAGGAATGGATGAGAGAGAGAGAGAGAGACAGAGACAGAGAGAGAGAGAAATTACAAACTTGGAGTGAGAAAAGGACAAAAGTAAACAGCGAAATTTATGTAAGAGTGTCAAAGTTGAAAAATGGTGGGTATGTGAAGTTTTGGTTCAGATATGTTTTAAACTTTGTTTTATCTGCAATGTAGAAAGGAAAACTTTTTTTAGTTGAAAAGATTGAAGCATTTTTCACTCTTTCTTGTATCATAAGCAGGCATTATAAATCACTATTCGAAACTGATTTTGCAGAAATTAATGATGCTTTTAATAAAATGCGACACCAGAATGTAATGGGTTTCAAAACTGCAACCGTTATTACGCGTAACTCTTTCGATGAATAAAAATAATTAATAATCAAATTGTAAAACATTGAGAATTGTGATTTTGCATTCAGTAGATTGTAGCAATATTACTCGCTTTGTAAAACTTGTTAGTTCCGATACAACTTATGACAAAAAGATATCGAAGAAAAATCGAAACACACACATATAATAGATCTTCAGTGGACACAGCATAAAAATATTTCTTGTGAATTTTCATAACAATATATCACTTCGTATAAAACTTATTTCAGAGAATTCAGAATTCTTTCGCGTTAGCAACAAAAATCTGTCAGACAAAGATAAAAATGTAATTTTTATTGATTGCTTTGCTGTCTGCTTCCAGATTTTATTTTTAACTTCTCCGAATTTGCACTCTTTATTTTACTCCAATTTTTATAGTTAGTATTTATAGGATTAAAGCTAGCTTGAGCACGCACACACATGCACACATTTACTATGTATGCATGTAATGTAAAAATTAAATGTTTTTTTTAAAATTAATTTGAATTACTATTGTTATTTGCATTCAGTCTTTTCATGGTAAATGAAAAATACTTGTAAAAAATTTAAACAAGAAATCCTGAAAACTGAAAAATTCACGACAAAATTATGAATGACAGATAAACTAAAATATGTTCCACCAAAACGTTCAAAGCATTCTCAAAAATGTCAGGATTCATCCAAAAAGTCTTTTCTACCATACTGACGACGTCCAGTCCTTGATAAAGACTCGAACTCAAGTACTTGAGAAAAATCAGAACAAAACATGAACTTTAGACAGTTTATCGACAATTTGATTTGAATAAGCATCTAATGAGAAAATATTATAAAGATTAAGAGAATTCTGGGATTCTCGAGAATATGAAAACATCGATATGATTATTTTCATTATGTGTATCCCTTCTCGTAATAAATAACATTTCAAGTTCTTCTGACTTCTATAATTTTTAACTCAAGTTTATAGATTGTTATCAGCAAGTAACAAGCATTTATGTCCAACAGAGTTGGTGACGTATGTTTGACGTTATGAGGTTCTGTATGTTGTCTTCACTTGCTTTCGTTCGAGCCGATAGGAAAATTGCAGCGAAAATGGACACAGGGCAAAGGTGTCATTACAACAATGCAAAGGGAGAGGTCAACATCAGCAACGTTTACTATTGTAATTTATAGGAGTGGCCTTGTGCCGGTTCAGACATCCAGTTGACTTTCTTCTCATTTTTTTATTTCTTTGAGTTTCCCACATTTTGGGTTGGCTTGGATGTCAAACTGGTAAAACAGATTGTCGGCGTCAGAGCAAACAGGAATAAATGAAAAAAAAAAAAATGAAATAAATAAAAAGAGACAAGAAGTAGAATGTAAGTTACAAGATTTCTTTAGTTTTGGGGAGGTGGTATTGAAGAATAAAAATTCAGAAACAAATTGAAACACAAGCATAAACAATAATAGTCGTGAATCAAGGCTGCCTGTGTACATACAAAATATCGCTTTTAGGATTAGGGCTATACATGCATTGTCCATTATAATTGGAGAATTATATTTCATCTTAAATGAATTCAGAAAAGGCCACAAAATGAGTTAAGTTCACAACCTTAGGGATTATTCTCAAATTTGTGCATAGACAGAAAAGTGTACTGGAATTCGACTAAGTATATTGGTAAAAAAAAAAAACGTGTTAATATAGAAATACTGTATAATTCTCCGATTCCATGGAGTTGAAATGGAGAGAGGAGATGATAACATTCAGCCAATAAAACCAACGGGCAACAAAGTTAGAATATCCTTGTCAGAAACAATATTTAGATATTCCAAACAGTAAAAAACGGAAAGAAGGAATAAAAAGAAATTTTCGAGAGAAACAGTAAAAAACAAATAAATTGGGACATTCTTGAGAACTAACGATAAAATATTTCGTCAAGATGACAACTTCTTAATTCGTTAAAAGATTTAAATTGCATGATTTTATTCATTAAGAAAATGCAGGAATTTATGTTCATGTGAAATACATTGCATTCCGTTTAGATCCAGTAATTTTTATTTAGTCAAATATCTAAATTGTTTTATTTAAAGTAATCTTTAAAATAATTCAATGAAATGCATTAATTTACTCTCATCATGTTTTTCGATATCAAAATATTAAAGCAATTCTTAAAAATTAGCATTGCAAACATAAATCAGTGATTCTTAAATACTCGCTTGCAGATGAAATTCATCATGATTTAAAAATTACTCATATGTGATCCAGTTAAACCAGTTAAATGAGAGAAGCCAGAAGCTTCTGATGAGTTAACGCAACGTTCTAATTATCATTAAAAGTCTTCAAAGTAAATTTTCAAGTTTTAGAATATTTCTTTGGGTGGATAAAAATTAACGTATACTATTTGTGCGTTCTAATGACGTCATGAAAGATTTCCCTGACCAGATACGCAAAAGAAACTGTTGTTTTGAGTGTAAATAATCACACTAAAGACCGACAAAGAGAAATGAAAAAAATTTGATAATTAGATGTTCTGACATCATGTGATACATCATGGCTGATGTCTTATTTACGTAAGACAGTATTTGTCAAACAACCTTTCTCTGAAAAAAGAAAAATTAAAACAAAATTGTATGGAATGAAATTATTTAATGACAAATTAAGTTTTTAGTAAACTTTCATTGACTTTTCATAACAGACGCACAATATGAAACGGTTACTTTGATTTAAGAATTTTAACATTTTATTTCGGGGTTTTTGATGGTGTAAAGTCATACGCTTTGGGTGAATAAGTAATTGGACACTTGCATAATATTTTAAAGGTTATATATTTTTATATAAAGTTAATAATTACTAAAATATTTTCAAAATAAAATACATTAATAGTAGTAACGAAAAAATATTCGGACAGTATTGAAACATTTCTCAAAAAATATTATTTAAAAAGCATTGCAAGTTTTGATCTTGCTGCATCTGCATAAAATATATGGAAATTTTCGCTTGAGTATGATGTCATTACATTTGTCATTCACTAATTTACCTTCTTGCAACGATAGTTGGTTCTTGGTAGTTTTTTTTAGCGGTATTTCAGTCTCTATGGGTCAGTTAATGCCAAAGTCAAAATATTTTGTAAGCGATTTTATTTTATTTTTGGCGTTAATAAGGGTTTAGTGTTGGCGGGAGAAAAGGTGAGCTCATTTTAGTTTCTCAAGTGTATTTGCGTGAATATAACAAATCCAACTGGAACTAAAACTCGACACTCGTTTAACAATTTTGAGTCATCATCCATTACATCACCCGTAAATCTGTGCTTACAGAACCTGATATTGCTAAGCGGTCACCCATCTAGGTACAACACCAGACTCGACGTGCTTAACTTCAGTGATCGTAAAAAGAACCGGTGTTTCAACATGGTGGTCACAAGCCCATTCCTTGCAACGAGGATATCTAGGTGTCTTCAAGGAGTTCTAAAGGACTTCTCAGTCAAATAAAAGAATGGCGTAATTAAATAGCATCATGAATTTTAAGAAGTTACACAGCAGCGTGTATTAATAATCAGTGATAATTTTATACCAAGACTTAATTTTTTAATTATAAAAAACTCTCCTACCAAGAAAAAAAAACAACTTATCCCTACTTCTCATTAAAGTAGATGCTTATACGTATGTTCTTATAGTATCATGAGCTGTATTTCGGAAAAGCTTGCATATGTCTGCTGAAAACTGTACCCCATTCCATAATCCTTTGCATCCTGCTTTTATGATCAGATCTGGTTCAATATTCGCATATTTTTCTGTTATTGATAGGTTTGTCTTTAAAAAATACCATATATTTTATCTAAACATGGTGTTACCTTTCGGCCGGCACGTAATACAAGGGTTTGTAATTTTTTGTATTTTGTGTTAAAGACACCCAAATTCATTTAAAATTTTCCTTTTAGTTAACTCACTTCTTACGTTCTTGCAACGACAAAATACATTATTTTATAATGTATTTCAGCAGTTGCAATTTAATTATTATTTTTTATAAATAATTTTAGCTGGATATACAGACAGATAGCTGGCTATATTTCTGACATGAGGTATTGCAATTATTTACATTGTTCGGACTGTTGTCCTTATCTTTGTTACTATATTCACGAATTTTCGGTCATTGTCCTCTCCAGGATTCTTCAAATGCTTATAATTTCGAACTGAACCCTTTACTCGTCCCAATTACCCGAAGAAGGCTGGAGCGTACAACGGCCGAAACGTCATGAATATGCCAACAAAGATGAGGACAACAGTCCGAACAATGTAAATGCAGACAAATATTTTCAGATATTCAACATTTTTATAATTTATTTTAATGTGAGCAATTTTGCTACTCATCGATCTGATTGAGTCTATTGATATCGATAAGCTGTTTTATCAAAGGAAAATGTTTAAAACCCTTCTATAATTTTCGATAGTTATAGAAAGGTTTCTATTGATTGTGTAACTAGCATTTAACTATGCAAAACTTTTCGTAGTCAAAAAAATTCGTGGTGCATTAGTTGAAATGTAAATTAAAAAAGAAGAAGAAATAGCAGAAAAAAGAATCCCCAAAGAATAAGAAGGAAGGTTTTACAAGAAATATCTTGTATGAAGTCGTTGAAAACTGATATTAATTTTCATGAAAATGATATCTTCTTAAATAAATATTAATTTATTGAGAGCCACAGTCATTATCATTCTGTTTGTATTAGAATAAATGAATTGCTTTGTGTTACATACATAAATTTCTTTCACTTCTACCGATTCAAAGACAAATGACAAAATATTTTTGATTATCAACCAGAAGGGGCAATAAAAATGAAATTCATGGTTTGAAACAAAACTTGAAAGCAGAAAAGCATAACAAAGAATCAGAATTTACAAATGAAACGATGTGGAATCAATTACTTCAGCAAGAAATAAAATAAGCAACCCATAACGAATATCGTTCAATGGCACCTCACGCGTTTGATTCTTGTAGTGTGGATGTTCATCGGCGGTAGAATACAATCTTTTTATGTGTATTTTTTCTTGGGAACTGAAAATTCCTCTACTAAAAAATCAAACTAGCAGAATTTACTACCGAAAAAACTGGTGCAAAATTCTAAACCACAGTCAGTCTTCAACCTGGAGATTGCGACAAATAAATTTTATACTGTTTTATTTCTAATCAACAAAACCAAAGGATAAAAATTATTATTGTCTTCTTTAAATAAGTATTTAGAAATTGTATATGCCTGCAATAAATTTCATTTTTATTCCAATACTTTCAAGACTATCAAAAATTACCTGCGTCAAATAGATTCACATGTAAAGATTTCACACACACACACACACACACACACACACACACACACACACACACAGAGAGAGAGAGAGAGAGAGAGAGAGAGAGAGAGAGAGAAGAAGCAAATAACAAAACACAAAAATGCACTTTTACTTTTTGTCTTTCATCACAAATTTTAGATAAATTAAGCCAGCAGTCTTGTCCCGCAAGAACTTTTAGGGGCTTATTTCATTTATTACTCCGATTTTTGTTTTTCAATTCATATTCATTAACAATTTTTTTTATTTGTCTTCTAGCAATAATAGTATCCACGGAGTAATAAGCATCATGCACTCTCCTAAAACACATTGAATTATGTTACCTGACTACACATTGCTATTTTATTCTTATTTAATTATTTACTTCTGATGTCTAAAAAGCTTTCAGTGTTGGAAATAGATCGCAGATCGTGTGAATCCTTTCCGATAAATCCTTCAAGTAAGGGAAAAAAAACCTTAACAGTTTTTTAGTCTTCTTCCACAAGACTTCAATTTCTGCATACAGAAGCTATGTCTGCTTGTAGAAGCTAATGTTTGCAGGATAGTTGTTATTCTGAAAGGCATGTTGGATGCTGATCATCTCCTGTTGGTATGTATCTGAGTCACCACTGAAGATTTTTAAAAGATGTTAGCATAATCCAAAATTTATACTGGGAGCAAACCGCCTGCACACGGATAGAATATGAATTAAGTAACTAAACAAAAATAGAAAGGGGTTTGAGACAAGGATGCTTCATCTTTCCAGATGTATTCAACATCTACAGCGACGCCATTCTAAGGGAACTGGAGACACTACCAATATTAGGCGCAATTTTAACTATATAAGATACGCAGATGACACTGTATTACTCTGAAAGTAAACTACAGGACCTCTTAGACAGAGTAGAAGAAAGCGAGCAAAAAGGGTTAATCATCTCTTTAAGATTGAAACTATAGTGATCAGTAAGAAAAAAGGCCCAAGCTGCGAGTTACGAACTGAAGATATAAACCTCAAACAGGTGCAGAAGTTCAAATATCTGGGAAGCGTTAAGAAAGGATGGAAAATACGACACCGAGATCCAAACACACATTGGACTAGCGAAAGAGGCATTTTAGAATATAAGCAAGATGTTGAGTAACGGAAAAATTTCGTTAGAAACAAAGAAAAGAGTGCCGGATTGCTACGTGGTATCCATCCTCTCATATGGCAGTGAATTTTGGATAATTTCCCTAAGGAAGGGGAAAAAACTAGAAGCAGGAGAAAAGTTCTTCTACAAAAGGATACTGAGAATTCTATGGACGGAGCGATTAAGCAACAAGGAAAGCTGTAAAAAACATCTTAAAAGAAACAGAAAGAACACATACTCAAAATCAGGAAAAGATAGATGAAGTTCCTTGGACACATAATTAAGAAAGAGAGCTTTGAAAATTTAACCATCACGGGGAAAGCTGTTTGCAAGAGAGATAGAGGAAGGCAGCGAGCCACAATTTACGTGAATGGGTAGTAGAACGGGGTTCAGGTGCCTTACCATACAAGATAAAGTTGTGGCGAGTCATCATTGCCTATATCTTGAAGGGATGTGGCACATAGAAGAAAAGTTGTTGGCATCAGATGATCCTTTTCATTATGCTGTATAGATGATGGTAATTGTAGTTAAACCATTATCCGGTGAAGATTATTTTGTGATATACGGATATCTTCCATTGTGAACTGTATCGAAGGACTTTCTGAGTCCTTCCTAAAGTCATTTCCTCGAAGTCTTCCATGGATGTATTTGCCATCAGATTATCTATCGGTCTCTGAAGGAGGATTCCGATTTATTCAGTACTCGTTGGATTCTGATTTTTTTTGTTATTTACATTCTATGGCTGAATGACAATACAATGAGGTTAATTTCTTGAAACTTCGGATGGACGCGTTAAAGAGAATAAACAACATATTCTCTTTAATGTTATTGCTTAAAACTAGTGTTTTTCGCGCAAACCATTAGTAGTGTTGTGATTATTTACAGAACGTAATGTTTTTCTTTTCCGTTTTTATCAATCATAAATACAGTTATCGAAGCGTAACATCGGCCGAGAAACTTATATATGTCTACTTCAACACAACTCTACTCTCATTAAAAGAAAAAAACAAAACAAAACAAAAAACAAACAAACAGATTTTACAAATTAACAATGTCAGAATAGAACTAAAAAAGAAACTTAACGCTTCAGAGTCGACGGACAGCTACTGCAGGAATTAAGTTCACCCCAGTCCAGAAAGAAAACAACGCAGAAGTATTTTGACAACAACCAGACGAGAATTGAAAGGAACAAGGTCGTTTCCATTTTAATGAAAAGTTTTCGGTTGGTATACTTGATCTATTCTTCCTTCTTACCACGAACATTGCTTTGAAAATTGTACCACATTATTCTTTGAAAATTGTACCACAGTATTCTTTGAAAACTATTATGAGAAGTATTTTTCTTTTTCTTCACTTTATGTCGTTTTCTTTTCTGAGGACCTTATGCATCATTATAATATTAATTGTAAAAAGGCATTTTTCATTTGCCGTGATAATTTACGTACATGTTATTGGCCATCATTTGGCGCAAAAAGCTCTTAATTTGTGTAATTCATATTTTTTTTAGTTAAGAATAATTTTTTTGTATTTTTTTAATCTTGGCTCGTGTCGTCAGACTTTGCTGTGTGCCCATAAATTAGTGTTACCTCAAACATTTCTTTGAACTATTTTTTTCGTAGGGTATTTTTTTCCAAAAAAAAAAAAAAAAAAAAAAAATTATATTTTACAGAAAGTGATTTTTTAATGTGTTGCACTTTAACATAGGGGCCACCCCCTCTAAAAAACAAAACACGTACAAAAAATTCATTAATCTCTTAAAATATTGTTTGATGATTTATATTAAATTTTTTCATTTATGATTAGTAAATATAATTTTCACTTAATAATGATATAATCTAAATGGCTGAAATTAATGCAAAATTTTAAAAGATTTAAAATTTAGTAAATTTTTCTAATTAAAATTTTAAAAAATGAAAACAATTCTCTGAGATGAGGTATTATTATGTACACTATTTACATTATTCAGACTATTGTCCACATTTTTGTTGCCATATTTATCACAACGTTTCGGCCGTTGTACGCCCCGGACTTCTTCAGGTGGTTGGAATGTCGAACTGAACCCTTTATTTATGGGTATTATAAACCCAATGTCTTTAGCAACCAGTTTTCACCAGTGCTCATAGTGCAATTTTTGCTGTTATCATTGTATGTTTTTTTGTATGTTTTTCACCAGAGCCCATATTGCAATTTTTCGTTGTTATTACCTACACCCTTACACATATGTGTGTGTTTCTTCTATTGAAGAACACAGATTTTAATTTCATTTGGCATATTATCGATAAAGTTTATTTAAAAACAAAAATTTCCATCGAAAAATAAATGGATAGGTTTTCAAGATTTTTGGAAAATATTGTAATGTGCAATGATTTAAAAATTAGTGAATTTGAATTAAGAAACCATAAGAGATAATTACTGCAAACACAGACATACACACACAAAACATACACACGCATAAACATTTAAATACAAACAAATGCAAATACGCCCGTACGAATCCAGTTGTACAAAGCCATCTTTCAGTGGAGTAATTCAATCAGTAATTCACCAAAGTGATTTTATGTGATTCTTGTTTTTTCCCCATCATACCAACCCAATGGTACTTATCATAGTATATTTGTCTGTTCCTTCAGTATGAATGGTAAAAGTAAGGCGTGTGGATGCAACGGCTAATTTTGAAACCAATCACGCTACATCATCTACACATTAAGCAGTGCAGCGACTTTTAGACTCTGAGTGTAAACAGACAATTTGGCCGCAATATCAGTTCCATTGACATTTCTGCCTCGGAAGTTGTAAGCTGTCCAACAAAAACATTGCAAACGATGTCATCTAAAGAGGAACTTATGAGCTGACGGACAACGAAATGTTATTTCATCATCGTAATAATCCCAATGCGTCATTAGTACTTAATGATTTAGGAAAACAGGACTATTTGGCTAATATTTTTGCGTTAATCGGAATTGCTATGATGTGGTTCATTATGCGTTGTTTAGAAGCGTGCCAACCATATCAACAACAGTTTTGCCTGTCAGCAACAATTGTTACACTTATTTCGGCTTTTCTTATAAAAAATAAACTGGTCACTTTCCTCTCCGTTCTCAGCCAAGGAAATTTTGATTGTGTCTTTGTAAAGAGAAAATATATTCACTCAGAATTTTCACTTATTAATTTTATTTAAATTCAATCGCCTTGTATTATAAAATTGATTATGGCTTTATCAGATTTCTCTAAAAATTTGTGTGTCAAATTCTCGATGCCCTATTTGCTCACTATGTGTCCTAGAAATGTCAGCTTTCTCTTTTTGATTATAAATATAAATTTCGTTGTAGTTTATATTTTCCTTAAGACTCCCTCGCTGCTCATATGTTATGTCTATGATATCCTTAACATTCTTCGTTAGAAATACAAGTTTCTTTGTCACCTATGAGAAGATTGTCCAGCATTCACTACTATATAAGATATTAGATATTACGTAACAGTTCAGAACCCATTTATGTTTATATACTTTATTCAGGTTTTGAAAGACGTCTTTCTCTATTTCGGATTCCCGTGTCACATTTTCCGTTCTCTCTTATTACACGATCCCAGATAGTTAACTTTCTATAATTGCTTGACTTTATATTTCCATCATGTGGCTTACATCTTGGATCCTCTACGTCTGCGGACAAGAATGTATTCTGTCTTCTTACAATTAGTAGTTAGTATTTTCTTTTTTCTTTCATCTACTACCTTGTCTAAGTGTTCTTTCAGTTTCCTTTCTGAATCTGTGCATTTTACGTTGGTAAGATTGTCCAGCGTGAATAAATATTGGTGTGATACCTTCGGAGCTGTCGGTCCTTGGTGATAGCAACCAAATGCAACTACCCTCTGGTCCTTTGATCGCCTAAGACTTGTAACATCGCAGCTGGTCACTAAATGTAATCACTCCAATCCCGACCTTGCCCTATCACACGTTAAGATCATAGGGCGGTCAGATGTGAATCATGCCTGAGTCTCTCGTGCACAGGGTGAAGGTATGCAAATAATAAAAATAAATAAGATGATACACGGATAGAAAAATAATAAAGTTCAATTTATATCGGCTCTTTGTTGTACAGTAAGTATTTTCCAAACCCGTCTAAAATGAGTGTGACACGTAGGCAAGTTCTCGGAGCTGAATTTCGAAATTCTGGTTTTTAGTGTTGAGTTCGTTTCTGGTTTTTGGTGTTAGTGCAATTCTGTATTAACTTCATTGGTACATGGGTAAAGTTTGTTTCAAAATCGGAGTTCTTACAATTGGTAGGAATCACGTGGACAGTTTCGGCGAGCTGGTCGCTTCGTAAGGAATCACAAACGAGCTCTAGACGAACTGCCGACGAACTGCCGACGAACTAACTTCTCGGCCTTATACGTTTGCTTATATGGACTCTTCTCAATATCGGAGTGGAGCAAGACGCAAGATGGGGTTTCGGTGATTCCTCTAAATCCAATGTGTCCATTGTTCAAAAATTGATTACGCACACAATTTTGATAAGACCTCCTCTATCACGAGGTATGCTCGCAGGATATCGATCCGCCCATACTCCTCTCATCTATTGGCATCTTACACCATTACCCATCGAAGGCTGTTAATAAACTCTCCGCCTCTCCTGATCCTTATCTGCGCCTGCCACTATGGCTACAACCAGACCAATTGCTTTTCAATCGTCTTGACGCGACTTAATTTATTTCATTAATCAGAAGACCTTATCTCCTTGGCATTTTGCTTACATAGGGGTATCCGGCTTGCACAATTAAAAATTATCATTCGGAAATTTTGTCTACGCAACTTTTTCTCAACTTGTCAAAATTCCGGTATTCAACATATGTTCTTTTTTGACCGGTCGTTTCCTGAATTCTATACTTGCTTATGAAGAATCTCCATTCTCCATTTCTGGACGGCAGGTCATATCTTCGTCGACCGTGCTTATTCCATATTCTGAACCAACGCTTTTTAACGCCCGTCATACATCAAGCCAAATTAACATTTCCCATTTTCGTAATATTGAGAACCTCTTGTTCTCAATCCCAGGTCTTCAGATCATTTCCTTATCAAAGTGCTTATGTTGATGTTTTCATAATTGGCACTTTTATGACCTCTCTTAATTCATTACTGCAATTTGCCATATTGCTTTTCCGTAATTTTGTCTCTTACGCAATTTCTCTATTGAGAAATTAAATCTTTTTCTAAAATACAAATTCTCTTTATCTATATCAGTATATTTGTCGGTATAGCTTTTTAACCCTTTATTTTCCAGTGTTAAACATTTTCTAACGTTAAATAGGGTCACATTGGTACGTCTTCTAGTTCTCTTAGGAATCCTTTGCTGTATAGGTTAAATAAATGTGCTGGTAAAACACAGACTTAGCTTGCTCCGATATCTATCTTTTGTGCATTCACTAAACTCTTCCACTGTGCGCGTGCAGGCAATTTGTCCTCAGTAAAGATTGCGTACTATTCGAATATATATATTATGTAAAGCAAGCTTTACGAGTATTTAAAATAATTTTTTGTGTGGTAGCTTATTAAATGTTTTTGTGTATTGAATATAACAGTTATAGGTCTTCCTGAGTTTGCATTGTTCTCTCTCTCTGATAGAATTCAGATCCAAAAATGGCATTTCTTGTTCCAGTGTCTTGGACAATATTATTTTCCACCTGTTTCCTGTTTCGTTCTTCCACTCGTTCTATCAGAATCCTGAATCGGATCGCATTCATCTGCATGTGTTTTTTTTTTTCATCTTTATGACAATTCCATTTGGTCCTACTGCGCTTTTTTGGTTCATCGTGGCAAGTACCGATATTACCACAGATTATAATACAGATCCTATCTTATTTAAGTATTTTTCTCCCCTGTTGTCATGGAAGTGGTCTTCTATATATTCGTTCCATTTTTACAATATTTTTTCGATTTTATGACCTGTTCTCTTTTTAGGCTTATGCATCCTGTTGAAAAGCACGCGTCTATCTCTGTAAGCTTCTTGTTAAGTTATTCGTGCTTGTTGGCATTTATTTAGAATATTTTTAACATACAATACTCTGTCATTTCATATTATCATCTGGTGGTTCTTTTTCGAGAATTTCATACTTTGTTTTTTGACTCGTTTTCTTTGGGAAATATCTCTTTTGTCGATATCAGTATTAAAGTGTTCTTCTTCGAGTTACTAACTTTTTCTAAGTTTTTATATTCGTCCTTAAGTACATTAACATATGTTTATCTACAAAGTGAATTATTCTGGTATCTGTCGTAGTTTAGGTGTTGCTTTAGATTCCTTTAAGTTTCATATTTTTTTATCCTTAGTGTTACGTTAAATCATGGAAAAACAGGACTCAAGTTTAAAAAAGCTGACACAACGTGGACCGGCTTTTAATGAAATAGAGAGAGAGAGAGAGAGAGAGAGAGAGAGAGAGAGAGAGAGAGTATGTGAGAGAGAGAGAGAGTGTTCGTGTGTGTGTATGAGAGAGAGGGGGGTTAGGGAAGAAAAGGGATTTGTAAGTTACCGAGGATGGCGTTCTCTAACGTTGAGTAGGAAGCATATATTAAATTGCAATACAATGGGTGTATACATTAAACAATAATGTAAGACTCAGCTTGCATATGACTGAGTGGTGATGTAATCTTTTATTGATTGTTGCATAGTCTATCTAGTTTTTAGCATCCCCTCCTAGGCTTTTTTAATACCCACATTCATTTTGAATGTTTTTCAAATTAGATGTTGGTTATTAATTGGTAGTTCGCTGTGTACCATTAAACCCATTTCTCCGTGTTCATTGCTAAATCCAAGTTCATAATTGCTACCTAATTCGCTATCTTGTTCACTTTCTACTTTAGTTTTAGATCCCCATAATGTTTATTTTTCTTGATATTTGCAATGATTTTTGATATTTTCAAGTATGTTGTAAAACATCTTGTTCTTGCATGCTTTGTGACGTTATAATACTATCATAGATATACTGGATAGGTTTCTTTCAATTCGAAGAACCTTGCCCGCAGTTGTCACTATCCTAGAATGTATTTCCACTTGTCATTATCTAATACTAGCCCTACTCCTCTTTAATTTTTGTTCCTTCTATTCCTTGCTTCTTCTAAATTCAGTTTTTTTTCTGAATAAACAATTATGTCTTCACAAGCAACAGACAAAAAAGTCTGTTGCTTGTGAAGACACGATTGTTTATTAATTCAATATCATATGTTCCCAGAATGATTAGATTTAGTTTTTCAATTTCCTGTTTATAATTTTCTAAGTTCCCACATTGGTGTAGTGTCATAACATTCCGCGCTCCGATTAACATTTTATCTTTGTTAGTACTTACATTCGCATGCCCACATCAGATATATAGTAGTTTATGCTGAAGATTGAGCGACAGAACATCTCATATTTCTATTTTCTCGTAAACTTCAACGCAGTCGTGATCAGACGGTATTAATTCTTCTTTCATAACCATCATTTTCAGCAGCTTCCTCTGTTCTCAGGCGAGGTCCTTGTATGGTCCTATTTTATATTTTCCATTATTTACATTTTCTAATACAGCGACGTTTTCAATGTATTACCTCCATTTTTCAATTTAACGCTTATTTTCTTTTGCTTTAGATGGCGAGATCGGTTTGAATTTCGTGCTACTTTTTGTATTCCTTTCACATCAGTCTGTCGCAGTATCTTATAACGGGCTTTAAAGTTTCGTATTTTACTTCAAAAAGGTGGAATTTTGTATTTTTTATATAATATAAAAATTTTGATGATTTTTTTTTCTGGGCGGCAATGATAAGCAATTTCTTTATCCTTTTAAGTACAAGCTGTCAACACGTGCATCAACAAAAATTTGGTTCCTTTTCCTTTTTCAGGTCATAATAGTAACATTTATCTTTAGCACTCAGTAAAAATTCCAGGTAAGAAAACCAGACAACTAAATTATCTGGGCACTTACATCTATACATCTATAAAAACTTACATCTATACATCTATAAAAACAGACGAGAAAGACTATATACCTTTATTTATTCTTTATAGTATGACTGTATCTCGTGTTCCCAATACTACATAACAACCAGATAATAAATAATACTCGTTTTTTTTGTCTCCACATCTTGCTGTTTCTCATTTTTACCAGTATTTTGTAACATATATAAATGTTAGAGAGTTTATAATTATTGACTCAGAGTTATAACTCTCCTACACAGTAAATACTTGAAATATCTTTTTATCTTGCAATTCAATTTTTTGGATTCATGTAGTTTTGTTCCGATGTAATTTGTCGGAACTTCAATCTGGGATTTCATTTTACTCAAGGCGTTGCATTTAAAAAAAAATAATTTTATTTCTTGCTTCCTCTAATGGTAGTATATTACTCTCCCTGTTAAGTTGTAAATATTTACAAAGCTAGAGCCAGTCTGGCACAAGGCCACAATAGGTTAGGGTTAGGCCCTAACTCACAAACAATTGCTTGCGAAATTAATTAGCTTATCATTATTATTGGTTGTTTAACCTGAAGTTAGATTTAGATTTGCTAATGTGGAAGATTCCACATTTGCCAGTTATACCCAATTGGAAAATGCACTCTTCCTCTATGGTAATTACAACCACATTACATAAACACAGTACATAGACAAGCATTCATTGGTCAATCTCCTTAAAACTAGCTCGCTGATTGGTCAGTTCTGACCAATCAAACCGCCTGCACGCGACAAATCTGTTTTCCCGCTCAATATGCTCTGAGCCTCCCACGTGTAAGCTCCCGTGTGTTTTCTTTTCATTCATCTTTCTCCTTGCTGCCAAGATGTAATCTTCAAGAACTCCCGTCTTAGCTAATGCAGTCAGACGTTAAAGACCATTACCAACATTCACGCAAGTAAGAACTCTGAAATCTCTTCTGAACTTTTACCAACTTCTACAATACACAATTCCAAACATGCAACAACTCATTCTTCTACAGTTTAATAATCAACTTCTTCTTTATGAGCTTAGGTACAAATATTACCTAGTCTAAGAAACACAACTCTGTCTAACCCTTTTCAGTTCACATGCATGTACATCAAATACTTAATAAATTCAATTATTATGTTTTGAAATCATTACATTCAGTTTTGTATTTTATACTATGTGCTATTTACGTCAAATATAAATTGCATTGCGTCCACGCATTGTCCTTAATCCCACCTTTCCTAGCCAAAGTTAAATATATGAAGTGCACACCCTTACAAAATTGGTAACACTGTCACTACACTAAATAGGGCACAAATTATTGTCTTTTATCTTTCCAATAATAAATATATTTTAACATAATTAGACGTGTTACATTTAATTAATTAAAAAATTGTAACAATTGAAGTTGTAAAGCATTCAAAATGAACAACTTCATAAATTATTTTCGTGTATTTTGTTCATAAATAAATGTCCTATGAAATCAAAATTGTAGATTTTGAATACGATGACTTTATGTTTCTATCATTATCAACTACAGAAGAATTTAAAAAAAAAACTGAATTGAAGCAATGTTTTTCTGGAAAACGGTCTATAGTCGAATCTTAGAGTATTTATTATTATTAAATTTTTAGCGTTTTCTGATCGAATTTTAAATTGCTTGAATGAATGTCACATATATTTATTTTCTTGATATTTGCAAAGATGAATCTGGTAAAATATCATGATTGTGATGTACTCAGTTAAATCTAGATTCTCTACAGCATTAATGAACTTCAGGACAAACTTGCTAACCATTACTTCAAGACACGGCATACCTTATTTTCACCTTATTTAAACATTATTGGGGTTATAGTTGCAACAAGGGAAGTAACTCTTCTGATTCTAAAATTATCTAAGAGAGATAATTCAAACCAGTAAACGATTCTCCATTCAACGGAATAGTCAAAATATTGGTTTCGTAGTTGAATATTGGCTTAAAGAACCTCTCTTAGGTAATTTTCAACACTTCGCTAAAAAAGAGCATACCCCAATGAAAAAAGGACCCAAAGTTGATTAAACAATTTTTTATCGTCTGAATGTTTGTTATTATTATGAGGAATGACCAAAGTATTTTTTAATATATTTTTAAATTTTTTAATCCTTTCTCGCACGTCTTAAATTTTACTTAAAAAAAAATCTTGTTTGTTCGAGTCAACAAAATTTACATAAAACTGATCATGTCAGCCATTTTTGTAAACAAAAGTGAAATTTTCCGTTTAAAAATCTTGTAAAATTCAATTATATTTTTTCAAAAGTTAATTTAGGAAAATTAGAAAATTTAAAGTAGGTACCTCCATTTTGCGGCATAAACCTTCGATACCTAAGGATTAAAATGAATTTTGAAAAATGAAGAAGCATTCTTGCAGATTTCATTTTAGCTTTAATTGAAAGCTAAAGGATTAAATTTATTATTTCCAGTAAGTCAAATATTCTGGTGTATTTCAGACAGAAATTATATAGATTGGAATGTCAAATTAAAAATTTTCTTAAATGCGGCCATTTTCTTAAACAAAACAAATTTATCGATTTTAAAACTCTTCCATATATATAAATATATATATATATATATATATATATATATATATAAAAATATATATATATATATATATATATATATATATATATATATATATATATATATATATGTGTGTGTGTGTGTCATATATATATATATACGTGTTATATATATATATATATATATATATAGAGAGAGAGAGAGAGAAAATTTAATGTTAAATTAATCTGATTTGAAATAAATGTTACTTACTCATAGCATAAAAAGTAATATACAACGATTTGTTATTGATCAGCTGTGGTTATGTGAAGTGATGATTGATGGGCGATTGAGTGACGAAGCGATGACAGCTATTATGTTTGGCTAGAATTGACATAAAATTTACGAAATCTAAGTGAACGAATTTTTTTTATTTTTAAGTACCTAGTAATTTTTACAAATGAACATATTTTCCGCAATTATCTAATAATTTATTGACTTTTATTTATCACGTAACCTTTTCATAATAATGTCATATTTAGCTTTTCATAGATGAAAAAAAAGGAACAAATTAAGTAAAAAATATTAAAAAATTATTGTAAAAATAGAAACGCTTTGCAGATTGTAATAAGCTTTCAAATTTAAGCTCTATAAAATAGATCTTTTAATAAGAGCATTCCCAGAGATGCACATATTCAAACTTAATTTTAACATATTTAACAACTATCGCATTTTGTTTTTAAAATTGAAAAAAGAAAACAATTCTTGTAAAAATTCATTTTTCATTGAAAAAATATTTTGGCTTCAGACAATAATGTCCTTATATATTATTCATAAAAACCATTAAAAACTTTTTTAATTAAATGATATCTTAGTTTTATTGGGTTTTGTATTTTAAAATTCAGGGCTAAAGTTTGGATAAAACTCCCCTTACTTTACAAAAAATCGATAATTTATATTCTTCAAAGTCTTCTGAATTTAATTAAAAAAAATTACAAAAGTACACATATTCGAGTTTTCATAAAATTAAGTAAATGGGTAATAGATGTAAAAAATATTTTTACCATGACTTTCTAAAGACAGGCAATAATAATAATTTCATTCATTTTTGAATAACTTCTTAAAGTTTCATTAGCATCCGATATTTATTTATGCAAGAATTTTCAAACTAATGTTTTTTTCAACTGAATGCTAATTACGCGACCGCTGACGTAAAAAGAAAAAAAACACAAAAAAAACAAAACAAAAAAAAACAAGACTTTCAACCAAAATTCCAAACGTGCTAGAAAGGAATAAAAAATTCGAAAATAATTTAAAAATTCTTTATGTTCTCCTCTTATTAAGAACATTAACTTTTTCACGATAAAAATTTTATTTTATTATGTTTGGGGTCTTTTTCATCATGCTGTTTTTTCGGCGAATTATTGAATCTACCCATATTTCTATACAGAAACAGTATCCAGGCGACTATGTAACATTGAATTTGTTATATTACATAGATTTTTCTCAAATGCTTGAGTGTCTTAGCCTAATTGTAGTAAATGAATTATTTCTACATCTTTCTTTTCACGAAATTAATGAAGTTATTTTTGGCAGATAAAATTGTTTATTATAGACATGTAAAGAAAATCCCAACAAAGAGTGGTTGAAAGATTTTCAGTAGAACAAAAGATGAAAACTCAATTAATACACACACACACACACACACACACACACACACACACACACACACACACACAGAGTGTTGGAGAGTAAAATTATGAATTTTGTGTTTTTGATCTTAGAAAGCCTGTCGGCGGTGTACGTCTTTGAACTTGTAGACTTTGTGTGTTCGTTTTCTAGCGTTGAGGATGAAATAATGTGGGTAGTGAAGAAGTTTAAATGTATTTCTCTTCTTCATCTATGTATTCTGGGTTACATATTCAAAAAGCATCAAAGATAAAATCCTATGGCTAGTCCTGATTTTATTTTTTGACTGAAGTAGGTATAGAAATCGTTTTTGTTAGTGTGTTCGCGGTGGATTTTAAAATCTAATTTTGTTATTGTTAGGAAAGTTAGAGATTTGTTTATTTCATGTTCTTGTGTGAATTCGATGTTAAGTTCTTCGTTATTATGTTTCATTATGATGTCGAGTAGATCTCCATTTTGAGGATATAAGATAATTCATTGTATTGAAATAAAGTGCTTGCAATACAGAAATAAAAAAAAATTAGGGCTTCATCTGAAGTGCAAGTTGAGTGCTCGTAATCTTATAACTATCGTTAATGCCTGGGCTGTATCTGTGGTAAAATATAGAGTGGTTTAGTAGACAAAAGAAGAGCTATAAAGTCTGAACAGAAAAAAAACTGAACACTGCTGTTTGAGAACGTTTCTCTGTTCCAAAAAGTCAAATCTGATAAAGTTGTACATACCAAAAATAGAAGGAGGGAGAGACCTAATCGGAATTAAATAGTACGTAGCTAATGAACGTAGGCTGTTGGACTTATACCGGGTAAACTGCGAAGAGTCAATCTTCATTTATGTGGGGAAATCCAAAAGGACCTAGTAAAATAAAACATCAAGAGAAAAGTAGAATAAAAAAGTGGGTACTGAAATAGATGCTAAAGTGAAAGAAGCAATGCAGTCTCATGGACAATTCGAGAGGACACCATTGCGAGAAAGCCAAATGATTTATGGAAGTAGTTGACGAAAGGTTAATTGAAGCGAGAACTGCATCGATTGCACAATCGAGGGACTCGTACCACTTGAGTTAGCTGTTAGTGTTATGTTTCGCTTAATCTCGAAGAGTATACAAGACAGAGCAAGGAAAAATTGCGACAGCTAAGGAACACATTGACGAAAAAGTAAAAGTTAAGAAGAAAAAGAATTATATAGACACTTCAGAATACAAATCGAATGACAGACGAATAGAACGACATGATCATGGTTATATAAAAGAAGCTAATAGACAGAGAGTCACTCTTAAATCTTAATTCGCCAAACAAAGCCATAAAATATTTATATAAACGGCAAGATAGAGATAAACAAAATCAGCAAATGCAGACATGTGGAAATAAAGGTAATATAGCGAGTGGAGAAAATTATCCCAGAATTTTTAAAAATATCAAAGGAAAGAAGAATTAAATTGAAAGAAGGAAATTCTTAAAAAAGAAGAGAGTAAATATTGAAAGAGGAGAGTGAGAGACAGAGACAAAGAGACGGAAATGTTGGAAGGGAAAAAGATTATGTATCACTAACATTCTTGCTTTTTTAAAAATAGCAATGTAAACGACGGGTAAAACAAAACCCTGTTGTTAACAGTGAGGAACAGTGAGCTACAACAATAATTTTAAGCAATTCCAAATTCTCCTTTTTTCCTCTCACACACATCCTGTTTTTCAGTATATCTGTCTGTCCGTTTCTCTGCACACACACACACACACACACACACACACACACACACACACACACACACACACACACACACACACATAAACTGAGGTTACTGAGTCTGTTTAATGCATGAATGTGAAACAGACTGTCACTACTTGGTGTTGACCTCAGTGTCAACTTTTATATTTATATACGCTCTATCTTTGGCATTGAGCACTTTTACCCATAAATGCAGTATATCTTAAATCTATATTTTATCACACACACACACACACACACACATATATATATATATATATATATATATATATATATATATATATATATATATATATGTGTGTGTATTCTTCTTCTTTATTATTTATTTATTATTTTCTTTGATTTCTGGTGTACACTCATTTCTGTCAGGATCCTAACCAGAGACCTAAGGTCATAAATGGCATCATGACATTTTAGACTGACCATTTTTTTTTAGGGAAAAAGAAAAGAAAAAATACAAAGAAACACCTATTTTAAACCTGTACTGGAAAATCCTCAAAAGAACATAACGGATCAGACTTATGGAATATGGAATGATATGAAATAAGAAAGATAATGAAATAAGACCTTATCTTGACCCAAGTATATTTGCCAATGTCCACTGGGACATCATGCGAAATAAAAGACACTCAAATGTAGAAATAGATGAGATAAAACTAAATATGAGACAAAGTACAAAAAAAAAAAAAAAAGGATTGAGTAGAAATACATAATATGTCAGAAGATGTGTTACGAGCTAAAATAAATGAGATATGAAATAATGAAACGAAACTGAAGAATCTCGCTCCGACATAAGCAATTTTTCTGATTCAGACTGTCACTGATGAAGATAAATGAAATAAAATTAGAGCAGAATTCATTGAAAATAAAAGAGTTGAAATCACTGAAGCAAAAAACCATATCATTCAAATAACCAGTAAAGTGAATTGCATATAAATGCCAGAAAGAGACAAGTTTCCATAAATTTCACATGACGAAGTAAAATAAACACACTGTGCCAGACAGACATTAGAAAATATTACAGAAGTAATATAAGCAACAACTTTAACAGAAAAATTAATATCAAGTCAACAAAAAATCTGCTTGTAAGGCAACATTAAAGTGAGAAATTGAGGAAATTAGATGTGAATTATGGACACTGAATGGGATTTCAAGAAATTCTAATGTTTCAACATGGAAAAACATGAAGATCAAGCGGAAATATGAAATTAAAGTCGTAAATGAAATTCTATTAATCAATCTGTAATTAAAAGTACAGAGAACAAGACAATATGAAAAATATTACTCCAAAGTAAAAGTTCACATTACTTGATGAATGTGGAAACATTGCCGTTTCAGTGAAAGACAAAAACTAAAGACACGGAATTTTCTTAGAGAAAGACGATGAAATTATTTTAAGTCTATTTTTTGAAAAGACGCATTGAATTAATCGCTGCATCAATATAGATACACGGGCAAATTTTCCGTTAATTTTTTAAAAGTAGTAATGAAGAATTAAATATATACAAAAATACATGTAAGGCAATGATTTAGGAAATCACTTTGTCCATGTGACATATACTTGTTAGTTATAAAGTGAACAATTGGATAAGTGGAAATGGCGCCATAATTCCCAATTGTCTTTTTATATGTGACATTGTTGATTTTGTGACTCATTGTGTTGATTATCGTTATAGAAGCGAACCAAAAAAAGAGTCCGGATTTTAATACAAATTATAGTTTCTGTCAAGTGGGTGGTTTTACTTAATCAATGCAAGACAAGAGAATTTATTTTCTAGTTCACTGACCTTTCTTCTTTTACCCGCAATTCAAACTAGAATTTTTTTTCTTTGATATTTTTCTCCGTAAAAATGAAATAAAACTATTCATTCTTTTAGTCTTATAGTACAATTTCTCGACTGATGAAATGAATATACAGATAATGAATAAATATAAAAGAAGCAAATAATTTTTCGTCATATCAGAAAAATGCACTGTAACCAATTAGAAATTACATCAACGAAATTTGCTTTAATCGAAAAAAAATCATTATCACAAAAATTTCCAATGTTGATTAAAGAAAATTTTAGAAAAATATTAACTGGTGGCTGTGGGTATAAGAGATAAGTACAAAGCCCAATGGTAATATTGTTAGTTGTCATGAAGCTTCATTGATCAGATTAACAGTAACCCTAGATATTTAGCAAATACATGAAAATGAAAGACATCTTTATTTTTTATAAAATCTTTATCAGACTAATTTTTAAAAACAGGGGTGACATTTTTTAAAAAAATGCATCAATTCTGGTGGTACTTAACATACATACATAGATAAAATATATAAAATCACATACAAACGTACATACGCTATTACGCTCATAAGGCTGGAATTAGAGAAAGAGAGAGAGAGAGAAGAGAGAGAGAGAGAGAGAGAGAAAGAGAGAAAGAGCTTATCTTTCGTTCATTTGCTTATCTCAACACCACATACTTTGCACTTGCCTCTCCTTAATTCTTCTCTTGTTTCGTTTCCGTCTTGAAAGGCGATTCATACCATTAAAACCGATTTTTGTCCTGTTGCTTTGACCTTTAAATCGTTTTGTATGTCTTCTCTAAACAATTGACTTCAATCTTTCTTTTTTCCAACAAATCTATTATGTGTGTGGGTGTGTGCGAGTGTGTGTGTATGTGCGTGCGTATGTGGAGGGAGAGAGAGAGGGGGAGGGAGAGATCTCGGGAGATAGAGATGTATAGCGTCTGAGTAATTAAGGAAAGTGAGAAAATTGCAAAGTGAATGAAGTATACAAATTGGGATACAAAAAGAATAATCAGAAAAATAAAAGAAAGTAATAATGTAAGATTACAAGTAATAGTTATAAATAGGGACGAACATGAAAACTCAGTCACTCGAGTGACCCAACAGAGTCACGATCATTTTTGTAGAAATGATAATTTAGCATTGTGCCACTTCCATTTTTCAACGTCCACAAAATCTCACACTTGAATACTAACACACGCGCAAAGAGAGACATAAAAGGACATGATAATAGGAATAAATATTGGAAATAAAAAGCATAATTTTTGCCGCCTAAGGTGACGCCTGTTTGTTTTACTTTAACAACACTTTGAAGCAAGAAAATGAAAAATTAATATTAATAAACAATTTTATCTTATTGGTGTTTTTGAATAAGTTTTTATTTAAACCGAAATAAATTTGTAGTTGTTAATTGTAGAACGAACTTACTAAATACTTTACATATCTAGCTTGTTAATCATAGCTTTACGACATGCATCCAATAAACTGAGAAATATATTCTTTTACTTTCTTCATAGCTCTCTCTTTCTTTTTAAGCACTAGTCTATGCCTCCACCCCGTTATCATCAACATTATTTCTCTCTCTCTCTTTACTTCATGTCTCTGGGAAATCGTGCGCGCTTTAAATCTTCTTATTAAGGCTTTCTTTAACTTGGGCAACCTGTAATGCAGAAATCCCCAGAAACATTGCACCGAAAGAACTTTTTGAAGTGCCTATTGTAGATTGAACCCAGGTTTATGGATACTGTATTATTACGCTATATATCTGTTATGATGGTATATAAAAATTTTGTGAAAAGAATGACTGAAAGATAAACAGACCTAATTTTCTTTGGTAAGTTTGTGTGTAAACTCCAAACAACGCTTAACTTAACTTCAACTTCTTAACAACGGAAGCAATGCGGATTAAACTTCGAAAACTAGCTGGCTTGTAGGAGTGGCCAAAAAACAGCAACTACAACTTCACTTCAGTTACATAGTGGTAAAGTAAAAGCATCTTCGCTTCCAGCTATTCATTTCAGCGCTCAGAAAATATAAAATAACATGAAAATCAGAATCGTATTTTCACATTTGCACTCTTGCTATTTCCACTGTTCGTTATTGAATCTTCTTTTGTGGATATTGACAGATTTAACTTCAGGGAAAGTGATGAATAACGGTAAGTCTAATAATTGTTATGAACCCGACATGACAACTTGATTTAATAATTAATAATTTAACTCTTAGATTCAAAATCTTTAAAAAAATATATAAAATAATAATAATAGAAAGTACAAAAATAATAAAATGTTTATTTTGGAAAACTTTTTAATCGTCTATATTGGTGACCAGATTACTATTATTATTTTTCTTTGTTGGTTGCAAAATAAAACGCAACCAAAAGGTTAGCCGAGTTGTTTTCGATTGTGCTAAGCTACTATCATGATAAATGAAACACTTAATGTTACAGTTAGACTGTTAGTGTTAACTTAAGTCTCAACCAAGCAGATATAAGCAGATATATAAACATAGCCTTCTCCATCACAATGTCACGCATGGCGAATTTCTTGCTACTGATTCTTCTCTCGTTTCTAGATTTTCGTATATTGATGTAAAAATCTTTCAGTATTCATTTCATCAAAAAGATGAACTTAATTTGGAGTATGAATAGAGAGAGCGAACATTTTTTAATGTCAAAATAGATAACTCTTATAAACTCTAATTTATCTAAAACTTTAATTTTAAATTTTTTTTAACGTGAAAGAAATTCCACAGCATAATAACGTTGGAAATTAGTGATGTATAACTTTTTTTATTGAAAGTATTTATTTTCATTCATTCAGTTGCCTATTTTTAAATCCGAATATATTTGATTAATACGATTCATAGAAGAACGATGAAACTATAATTATTGTTTTCTTTTTGTTGAATTTGAGTGGCATCGACTTAAATGATAATTAATCGCATAAAAATATCGACGTGGTGACAACGAGAAAAGGAATAACGAATCACTCTTCTAAATGAAATGTTATTTGGACAAAATTCAAATCTACATTTTAATCGATTAAAAAATTAAAAAAAAATCAAAAATTTGTTCACAGAAAAAAATCCCAATTACCTAAATTCGCTTTATAATATGTGAAATTTATAGGATACTAAAAAAGAAATTAAAAAATGCGAAACACTCTGTTTAAAAAATATAATTATTAATTTTTCCATGATTAAAATTATATAAAAATGATTTCTACAGTTGAAAGGTTTTACAATTCAACTTCTCCAAAGAAAATATCGATTTTTATATTAAAGCTAATAAGAGTATAAATATGCTGTCAAAATAAACAATATTCATGACACACAAGCACACAGACACACACACACATAGGCATACACACAAATACAGGCACACGTTTGAATACACATACGTATGTTTGTAAAGAAAAATATGGAAATAATACATAAATCTAACTAGACATGATATTTGTCCGTCAATGAAAACTCAAGGAAATAATGTTTTCATTATAGAAATGTTTCATTCAGGTTTCAAATCAAGTTGACAAAATTGAATTATGCAAAACTACATAATGATCTAACTATATGGTTAAAAAAGTAAAACATATCTTTGAACTGTTAAGCCTTTTTAACGACGCGACGCTAAAACCATTCAACAGTCATATCATATGATTCCACATTCATTTAAAACTTTGAACCATTAACAGCATAAATGCTACACTAGGTATATAGGGTATTTCTACCTTCTTTTTTTTGAAAACAGCAAATATTGGTCGAAAGCATTCGGAATATGGCACGCTAAATTCCTTTTCAAGTTTCCAACTAACAGGATTTATTCAACACCAGAAGAAAATTTAAGAGTTTCATTTCTATTTAAATTCATATTTTGTAAGTATAATTAAAAGAAAAGTTGCCGGTTAAATATAATGTGTTTGTAATATACATATATGTAAAATTATCTATTTAAGAATTGTTATAATTTTTAAATAAATAATTATATTCGCTCTACTCTGTATTGAGCACTCTTTTAAGAATAGTAATTGCTGGTTATTGGAATTTATTCCGTATACACCAATCATATACTTGTATATATATATATATATATATATAAGCAAATATATGGACATAGATCCGACAGTATGAGGAAAAATATACGGAAAAACAAACAAAAATCCTAGTATGCAATTATGCTGTTTTAATGTTAATATAATGTCAACGTCGGACGTTTCGGTCTAATAGACCATCTTCAGGATATATTCATAAAACATAATTAACATTAGACTATATTCAATTCAACATGAAAAAGACGATGGACACAAGAGCAAGACTGGTATTTATTCATACAAAAAGTACAAATTGTGGCACGAAGCCAATAAAGGGGAGGGGTAGAGGCTGGTCGACACTAACTATCTTATGCCAAGCTAATCAGATTCGCGACCCATTCGTACATTACATTTTACCCATTCACCAAAAGAACTCGTCCATCACCAAACAATCCTTCAACCACCATAATACCACGTGCTCTCAAGGGAGACCTACCAAAATCGCGCCCCATGCCATAAAGATTTTAATGTTGATATATATATACAATTCTAATAATGATAAAATGAGAGGGGAGGTAAATGAACCCAATAATAAACTTAAAATAAACACAAATACAAACTAAACATAATTGATGTTAGTAGGGACCGTCCAACCCATAAAACAGAGAGACCGCTGTATTCTGCCCAGGGGACAAAATCAAGAGACGCTCTCGTTAAGGGAGTGGGAAAAGTCTAAAGTATTAGGCTGGAATGGGAAAATATAAAACTGACCCAGTCGAGATGAAAAAAGGTGGGGGTCAAAACAAACTGGGTAGGTTGGGAATCTCGACTTGGATCATAACCAAAGAACTGCCGGGATGCAGGCCAGGAACAACACTTACTCACATTAACTAGGTACACTGAAGCTTGTCTAACCTAACCAAGGGGAGGGTTCCACAGGAAGTCACCCGGATGTGCAATAGGTTGACCTAGAAGAGAAAATCAAGTCTAGCCCCGTTCACACGAAGCAAGCTCGCTTCTTTTACCCACCTTTCGCTAAAGACTGTCGAATGCAATCGTTTTCTATCCGATCTAATCTTCATCTTGAGCTGATGCTCAAAGAATCGAATTAGATCCGAATGAGAAAGACGATTGCCTCGCAAGACTTCCTCCTTTCGCGTCGTCCAAATCACCATTCGATCCGTGGCCATCAGCGTCAGAAACACCATCCGTTTCATCCCGGAATACGGGGGCGACACATTGTCACACGCGTATGCGCGATCAATGGACACAAGCTGTTCGGGAGCGAGACGAGCCATCAGCTCGCCGTCATGGTCCCATAAGGGGCGGACCTGGGGGCAATGGTAGAAGGCGTGAGCAGCCGTTTCTTCTAAGCCAAGGCCACACCGTTCACAGTCTGGCAAATCCGCCAAGCCCCATATGAAAGCCTTGTCGTTGAGAGGCAGCCGATTCGAGCCAATCGCCAGCTAAGCGAAAACTCAGGGTTACTGAGGTAATCCGCCGCTGGCGCCCAAGACCAGTAGGAGCGATACTCCTCCTCCGACAAGCCGAGCATATCTCGTGGGGATCCTTCGCGGGCCTCTCCACTAATTCACGATAGATGACCTTCCTAGGCCGAGAAAGGTCACTGGACCGGGGAACGGCCCTCAAGGCCGACCGAGACTCGCAAAGGAAAACCGATTGATCCCGGGGTTTACGACCGCGCTCAACCCGCGAGATGGGGGACTGATGGTAAGGCCAGGGAACGCGTCCCTAACAATCCCCTCCAGAATCGGATCTCCTCCAGTCAATGTGCGGCTTAGGAAAGCCAACCTAGAGGCACGGATGTGACTCGGCAGGTGCGGCATTCCCAGCCCCCCATGACACGGACGTTTAGTACGGACTCGTCTGTCGACCCGATTCCTGCGTCCCCTCCATAAAATGAAGGATAGCGATCGCTCGAGCGCCTTCTTGTGGGTTTTACAGAGAGGAAGTACGGACAATCGATAAAGAATCAGGGGGAAAATGTATGTATCACACACCTCCGTCCTGCCCTTCACGTGGAAACCTCCCCTTGGTTAGGTTAGACAAGCTTCAGTGTACCTAGTTAATGTGAGTAAGTGTTGTTCCTGGCCTGCATCCCGGCCGTTCTTTGGTTATGATCCAAGTCGAGATTCCCAACCTACCCAGTTTGTTTTGACCCCCCCCCTTTTTCATCTCGACTGGGTCAGTTTTATATTTTCCCATTCCAGCCTAATATTTTATACTTTTCCCACTCCCTTAGCGAGAGCGTCTCTTGATTTTGTCACCTGGGCAGAATACAGCGGTCTCTCTGTTTTATGGGCTGGACGGTCCCTACTCACATCAATTATGTTTAGTTTGTATTTGTGTTTATTTTAAGTTTATTATTGGGTTCATTTCCCTGCCTTCTCATTTTATCATTATTAGAATTGTATATATATATCATCATTAAAATTTTTATGGCATGGGGCGCGATTTTGGTAGGTCTCCCTTGAGAGCACGTGGTATTATGGTGGTTGAAGGATTGTTTGGTGATGGACGAGTTCTTTTGGTGAATGGGTAAAATGTAATGTACGAATGGGTCGCGAATCTAGTTAGTGTTGACCAGCCTCTACCCCTCCCATTTATTGGCCTCGTGCCACAATTTGTACTTTTTGTATGAATAAATACCAGTCTTGCTCTTGTGTACATCGTCTTTTTCATGTTGAATTGAATATAGTCTAATATTAATTATGTTTTATAAATATGTCCTGAAGATGGTCTATTAGACCGAAACATCCGACGTTGACATTATATTAACATTAAAACAGCATAATTGCATACTAGGATTTTTGTTTTTTTTCCGTATATTTTTCTTCATATATATATATATATATATATATATATATATATATATATATATATATTACAGCAAAAAAATTAACACAACATAGAGGACACTATTTATATTATTCGGACTATTGTCCTCATCTTTGTCGCCATATTTATCACAACGTTTCAGCCGTTCTACGCCTCGACCTTCTTCAGGTGGTTGGAATGTCGAACTTAACCCTTTATATCCCTCACTGGGGTAGTTCCACGTGCCACGTCTAAGGGATGCCAGTTATCAGTTATCTCCTGTTAATTCCCCTCTCAAAGATCTCCACCGCCTTAACCAGGTATTGAACTCACAATCTTTGGGTCCTGTCACTGGATCTAACTAACGCCTTTATCCACCGAGGACATCTGTGTATGAATTTCTGGGTATTATAAACCTATTATCTTCAGCAGCCATTTTACCAGTGTTCATATTGCAATTTTTGTTATTATCATCCATGTTTTTACCAGTGCTCATATTGCAATTTTTGTTGTTATTATCGCTTTGGGGGGGGGCACTCGTTATTATTGGTTCCCGTATTGTATTCATTTCTATGCTTGGTCGGCTCAGGAGATTTTTGTGGCCTTGCATATGTGCTGATTCCTTAAGTTCACGAATTTTTCAATGACGTTTTTTGTCTATGATTTCAACCTGATCCCACAGAGGGCGGTGATCTCACTTTTCCCTCCATATGTGGTCAGCCACGCCTGATTTTTCCACTTCCTCTCGTGTTACAGCTTTCTGGTGTTCTTGAAGGCTTATCTTATGGGGGCGGCCTGACTCCCTTTATATCTTTTCCGCAGCTGAACGCTATCCATGACTTTAAAAAAACATGTTTATAATAATTTCCATCATTTGAGTATAGTTTCTGAAAGTTTCATTAACATCAAAATGCACCATTGATTAACACATATAGAAATAGTCGTGCGAAAACACAATACACATGGCTGAAAATTGCGTTCAAACATGAAACAGAATGTCGCCGCTCGATGTTGATCTTCATCTCTCTCTCTCTATATATATATATATATATATATATATATATATATATATCAGTCTTTTTTAACGAAAATTTGTGTGTATATATATATATATATATATATATATATATATAACGATTGCGTCTAGCATGAAACAGCCTGTCGCCTCTGAGTGTTGACTTCATTGTTTACTTTTATATTTATATTTACATACGCTCTATCTCTGATATTGAGCACTTTATCCCATAAGTATAGCACACTTTAAAACTATATTTCTGTATATATATATATATATATATATATTATTTAAAAACGACTGACAAGGTAATGCCGTTAGATTCCTTGTTGGTTGACTGGTCATTTAATAATTGTGTATTTAGACAGCAATCCCTCTTTTATACATGTTTTTACCAGAATTTCATCCCAACTTCTGCGACGTTTACAGAATTACAGACTTTCCGGTAATATGTTGGATGATAGTGTTTTACAACACATATTTATAGGGAAGCAGCCACAAATAGAGCAATGTCGGCAATGGGAAAAATGTACCCATGAATAAGCTGTGCGATAAATTGATGGAACACATGACCCAAGTCAATCTAGTCACAATTGCACGGACTCAGAATGATGATATACCCGCATATGAGAGGAAAATAAATTGTTGAGAAGCTAAATACATGATTTAACTGAGAAAAATCGCCGTTCGTCGAGAATCAGACAACAATAACGGAACAATTCAAAAGGAAAGCGCGATATCTGCAACTACCAGAAGAGATTCGGCGACGGGAATAAAAAGTGCACTATCCTTGCAATTAGAAGTCACTGGAAAACGAATAATTTTCGACGAAGGAACATATTGGCATTTCAAAGTCAAGTCGACTCTTGCACATAATTGACAGAAATTCACAAAGTCCCTGGTCAATAGTGGAGCACAGATGGCAAATGGTTCGATTACCCATACATATGGCCATAGATGCATGACACTCAATGTGTCGCTACGACGGGATTTCCCATGAACTTTCATCGTGGCCGACATCACTACAGCAATACTGAGATGCGGCCTTTTGCACCATCATGGATTTTTAATTTGATATTAAAAGACAACAATTAATTTACACAAAGACTGGCGTCAAATCCATTGGCTGCCTAGAGTTTACAACACCTCTTAGTCCAAAAGTTGCAGTAGCAGACGAAAATTCCGAATTTTCGGAAATATTGTCTAATTATCAAGACATAACCGAACAAAAATTCAACATCCCTGTGATAAAACATGACATAACACATCACATTGCAACAACTGGTCCATCTATCTTCTCACGACCTCATCGACTTGCTAAACAGGAATTCCAGTACTTAGTAAACCTTGGAGCAATTTGTGCTTCAAAATACGAGTGGTCTTCACCTCTACACATTGTATCAAAACAAATACATCCCCAAAGAGACCTTGTGGTGAAAACCGCGAACTGAATGCAATTACTCTTTTTGATAGGTAGCCCATTGCTAATATTAAAAATATTACCAGCCATGTATTACATGGGACTAAGTTTTTCTAAACTTGATCTCATCCGAGCCCAACATCAGATAGCCGTAGAGGACTCAGACAAAAAGAAGATAGCGATTACAACGTCATTTAGTCTTTATGAATTTTTACGTTTGCTTCTTGGATGATGGAATGCGGCTCAATCCTTTTAAAGATTCATGAATCAAGTTCTAGATTCAGTTTTGTGCTACATTGATGACGTTTATTGCCAGTATAATATAAACGGCATTTACAAGAATTTTTTGAAAGATTTCAAAGATATGGTGTTGTAGTGAATCTAATTAAATATAAATTTAAATTGTTTGAAGTTGATTTTTTAGATCATAAGATTGATAAAAATGGTATCAAACCTATACCTGAAAGAACCGAACTAATTCGCTGTTTCCTGGTTCTTAAAACTAAAAATTTACGTCAATTCCCTGAATTTTTATCAGAAATTTATCCCGAACTTGGCGGAAATTTTTTACATATAGAGATGCACTTCAAGGGCATAAAAGAACTGTGATATAAATCTTTCTGAAGAAGAGTTGTCAGCATTTAATTTGGCAATGGAAAAGTTAGCCAGCGTTGGTAACCTCAGTTTTCCCAATCATGAAGCAGAGCTATCCTTGGCAACAGATGCCTCGAGGTTCGGCATTGGAGCAGTCATGCAGTAACATGGATCAGATTAATGGTTACTCGTATCTTTCTTCTCAAATAAATTAATAGAAGCCCTACTCGTTACAGCACCTTTAGACGAGACTTAATGTCAGTGTATTCTTCCATCCGACCCTTCCGATATTTCTTGGAAATTTCAGAATCAATGAGCACGTGAAAGACCTCTTTTCACGTGCTCATTGATCCTGAATCTTTAATCCGAGCAATCATGGCGAAATCAGATAACTAATCTGCCCGGGAAGTTCGGCACCTCAATTTCAGCAGCCAATTCACAACTAATTTTCGACATATCAAAGGCTCCGCAAACATTCTAGCAGACACACTGTCCATGAATATTTCTGCAAGTGGTTTAATTCTAGTCATCGATTTTGAAGCTATTGCAACTTCACAAAAAGATGATGATATAAAATCTCTTCGCGAGGACCTGCAGGCTAATGAGTAAAAAATTATATCTGGTCCGGAATCAACAACGACACATGGGATTGGACACATCATTTGTCAAAAAGCCAATATAGTGAGACTCACTAAATTAGCTCCTTCATTTTTCCCATACCTATACTCGTTTTCCATATCGACATCACAGGTCCATTACATCTCTGTCATTGATATTACTCTCTCCTCACCTGCATTTATAAATTCATCCGTTGGCTTGAAAGAATTCCCCTTACAGATATCAGTACGGCATCAGTTGCACAGGGGTTTATAACTGGTTGAGTCAGCAGATTTGGTGTTCCCATGACCATCACTAAAAAAAGAAACACAATTCGAATTCCCACTTTCCACTTCTCTAACCAACATGATTGGTACGACCAGAATTCGCACAATCCTTTACCATCCTGAAGCTAACGGCCGGATAGAACGTTTTAGTCGTTCTTTGAAAGAATCCCTGTAAGCAGAAATGAATTATACTTCTTGGCTTCAATATATTCCTCTAATACTTTTAGGGCTAAGAAAAGCTGTAAAATCTGATTCACAGAGTTATGCAATCGAACTTGTATATGGTATATCTTTACGTATACCAAGAGAGTTAGTAATCAAACCAAATGAACCACTCTTGGACCTGCTTAATTTGTAGATATTTCGAGATTGAAGACGTCTCAAGTAACATCCCCGTTTAATAAACAATCCACCCATGTAACATATGTGCCAGAATCACTAAAAACTGCAGCTTTGTTCGAGTAAAAGACAATACAATCAAACATCCCTTACAACCAGCTTACTGAGTTCCTCTCATTGTGATGAAACGCGCAGAAAAACATTTCACAGTTTTAATTAATAAATTAATAGATTGTAGATCAATTGGTCTCTGTTATTTTTGTAGGTACTATTTAACCACCATGATTTAATGTAAAATCTTCTCGTAGAGACTTTGTACATTAATTATAGAAGTAGCCAACATACTAAATCGTGTTTGCTCAGTTTTATAATGCAAGAACTTGTTAAAAATACCCCTTCAAATTCATATTATTTAAATTTTTGAAGGACTTTTAATATACCACTAACCAAAATAGCCATCCATCAGCTTTAGCGCCCAGGGTACAGTTATAACCTGCCCATTTCATATGTTTAATGAGAAAATAAGAAAAATGAAATAAGCCAATAACATAATGAAGCCAAGGAAATAACATTCTTGTACAAATATAAAGTTATTCGTATTATCCTAATTGCTTTTAACATATATAAAAAAATGAAATAAATTCATGAATCGTGTTAAACTGATTAGATATAGGAATTTTGGTGATGTTTATTTGGGTGTTTTCCCACAGGAAAAAAAACATGGGTTATAAAATGAGGGATTGTGTGGCTTAGGTTTATTTTGATAACTCTCTAATCATGTATGAATGTTCCTTCTTTTGCAGAGATCACTGCCAATGAAGTCGTGTGCATAAATCAGACAACGTGCAGTGCATGCATCAGCGCATCTCCAATCTGCAGTTGGTGTCAAGATGTGGTAAGAGAAGAAATCATTTAAAAACTAATGAATCAGTTGATTTACTAATATTTATACAGGTAAATGTTTTGACACTGAATTCCTCAAAATTTTGTCTATAAGAGATCTTTCTTTCTCGGGTCGGCACATGCAAAATATATATCGCTAAATATAGCCAATGTATTGAGCTAGGTGATGAACATCTTTAGCTTATTTCACCTGATCTTATAAAGAGTATAAAAAAATTCCTATGCGTCACACAGAAAAAGTTTAACAGCATTACAATTTCTTGCCGGACGATTTGATTCTTTTTTTTTCTAAATTCTCTAAAGACAAATAAATTTCTTGTGAAATTATACTAACTAATGCTATTTTACAAGCATACAAAATCAAAGCAATTACTATCATAATCTTTTTTCTTTATAGACGCAGTTAAACTGTTCTGACTATTTAATTTTATGTAGACACGAACAGGTAAACTATGTTGTGTATGAGTAGTGTCAAGTGAGTGAGGTTGCTATTATTGCAGCTGCTGCAAGTAAAACGAAGAAAAACGATTTCATAGGCTACAGTGATGACCAACAAAACATCTGTCAAATGAGGATGTCAGATGGTTAGAAACCCCACATAAAAAAAAAATCTTTGTATGAAGACCACTGGATGAATGTTTCAGATATAACATATTTGCATCAGTGACACGCTACAAATAAAAATAATTGATTGGATTCATAAACATATGTGAAAACTTCAGTCGAATTTTTTGTTAATCACACTATTTAAATGAAATTACATAGGAAAAATGTTGAATTAATGATAGTCATCAAAAGCAAATTTCACTTGTAAATCATAATATTCATGACAAGTTTTAATGAAATTCAGATGAAAATGCTCCTTGTTCATAACAGAATTTGAATAAAAAATTCGGCTTAAAAGTTTTTCTGTTATTTAAATAAAAAATACAAATGAGAAGATTTTGCATTCTTAACATATTTTGAAATAAATATATTTGATTTAATAATAACCCTTAAATATAAATTACAGTTAGAGTACATTTTATTCATTATGATCATTGAGGGAAATTTCAAACGAAATACTATACTTATTATGAGAATAAAAACTCCAAATGTAGACATTCGTATTAATAACAGTCAGTCAGTGAAATGTTTCGAAGAAATATGTTTGTATTCTCGAAATCTATTGAATAAAAACTTTAGATGGAATATCTTTATATTAATGACGTTCTTTAAATGAACATTTCAGATGAAAAAATCTTATATAATGACAATTTCAAGTTCAAAATATTTGTATTAATGGCTACATTAATTGAATTTAAAACTGGCTTGGAATAAAAATCAAAATAAAATTTATTTATATTCAAAACGATCTTTCAATATAATCATGGGAGGGAAAATATGTTTATTCCTGACGGTCTATAAATGGAAATATAGAAGAACAAACCTTGTATTAATGATCACTTTCAAATTAAAAATTCTAAATAAAAATATTTGTTATTCATGACGGTGGTTGAATGATAACACTAAATGAAAAATATTAGCATTAATGAATGAAAATTTCAGTGGAAACCCCGTTGTAAACATCAATACCTTTGATTGAAAACGTTTTATTAATGAGGGGCATGAAGAACTTTGAATGAAAATATTTTATTAATGTGAGTCTTTGAATTAAACCTTTAAATGAAAATCTTTAAATATCAACGTGACAATAAAACAATCAGACACAACACCTTTATATTAATAACAATGTTTGAATTAAAATTTTAGATAAATAATCTTTGTTTTATAAGAAAATGTTCAATTTGTTCTAAATATCTTTATTTTTTCAAATAATTTTGGTCAATATTCATCATAAAATATTTTTATGTCAAATCAGAAATTTTTAGCTTATTTTTACAGACGTTTACCAAAATTCGCTGCGATACACAGGAAACTCTAAAGGCAAATGGATGTACCCACTTCAAGATTGTAAACCCCAAAACGGAATCGGCTTTGTTGGAGGTAAGTAAAATATTTATGTCTAACTGAACGAATTTATAGTTAAATTTTCAATTAATCTAATATCTAATTAAAAGAATATTAAATTGATGACATGTTCCAAATTCACGAGTTTACCTTCAATTAGCTTAATCATTTATTGGTTGCCAATTCTTTTCATTGGTTTACCTTATGTTATCTAAATATTGATAAGGAATCTTGTTCAAATAATGTGGTCGAAAGAAGCCATTTGAACAAAAAGAAATAAAGTCAGGAACTTTATTAACTCATTCTATGTTTTCAATAGTTAATCCTTTCGATTTTTTATAAGTTGCAGTTTATATTTTGTTGGGGAAATTAAATAAAATCAAATTCAGTTTGAAATACTGAACTTCTACATTAGGATTTCGGAAGAACTGTCAACATATCACGGAAGTTTAAGGCAAAGAAAGAATATGCACCTACACATACACATGCATACACACACACTCACAATCATATACACATATATCTGAAGCACTAATGTTGTGGTATATTAAATTATTTTATTTTTCGTTCGTTGCTTACACAGAATAAAGCCACATCAGATGGTTTGACGGCTGTACAAATGAAACCACAAAAAATTCTGCTTCGATTGCGTCCTCGTGAGTATCTCTTTACCATTTCTGTCTTTGCTAAATGTAACTTATACATCTCGCTCTCTCTATTTCTCTCTCCCCTCACTATATATATATATATATATATATGATAGGATAAGGAAAATAGGAAACATTTAGAAATTTAACATGTTTCAGTTCATCAGAAGTATTTAGATCAAATTTTCTGATAAAGCTTTAATAAAAAAAATGTTAAATTCCTAAACATTTTCTATTTGTTCCTTATCCTATCATTCTGTTAAGTTCTAATTCATATTTATCTATATTTGATGTCTATTCTCAGTGTCACAATTTCTTTTCTGGGCCTTATTTATACCGGTTTGCATATGTAGGTCAACTGAGGATCAAGGGAAGTGGGAAGTGACAATTTTTATGGATAACGCTAAGCTTTATTTACTGTAACCACTTGCTTATTTATGTTGCTTGGATGGTTCTTGGAAGTGTTTATATAATTAGGTTAAATTTGTTTAACGTCATAATCTCGAGATTGCTTTTATTTATTATTTATATTTTTACTGATTTAATTTATTTATTTATATAGCTTTGTATTTTTCTTTCGCATGTTTTTCTTTGTTTCTACCTTTTTGCGATTAGGAATAAAGTTTATTACAACTAGCTGATGAGATTTTAAGTTACTCCTTTTGCCCATTATGTGGTAGAAGGTAGCACAGGAAGAATTTATTTTCATGTCTGCATTTGAAAATAAGTTTTGATCTTTTGCACAGGAGTTTATCTTCTTTTGGAAATGTAATTATCGATTTTTCCTCATCTAGGTAAAAGTTACATCTTTTTGACCTGTTGTTATAAGCTGATACTGTTTTTCGTAATATCCATGCAATTTTTGTGGTTTACTTTGTGATTTTGAATTGCCTTATATGCTTTGATAGGGTTACGCTGTTTACATATTTTCTGTTGCTAAACGATGTCTTGTTGTCTGTAGTTTCTAGGGACCTTCTGTTACTACTATATATATTTGTGGATTTCATTTGAATCTTACTGATATAGAATATTGCATATATATATATATATATATATATATATATATATATATATATATATATATATATATATATATATATATCCATCCTTCCCTGACGATCCGCTTAGTGTGTCTAGCTCTCTAGGTTAAATAGGTCTGCTCTACACACTGTATCGAGCACTTTATTTAGTTATTTTGCCTACTTGTATCGGGGATTTTTTCTTTGGGCTTTGGACTTATATGCCAGACGATTATTTTAGGCTAACGTACATGTTCGTGGTTTTTTTTTATACCATTTTTTTTCTCTTTGGTATTGGTTTGATTATTTGCAAATCAAAACACTGAAGGTTGTCCGAACGAGTATAATTTCTTATACTCATAAGATTACTACTATATATATATATATATATATATATATATATATATATATATATATATATATATATGCGCGCGTGTCTGTTTATGTGAAATGGTTTTATGACAACTGCAGACAAATTTATATTTATATTTAAATTTTTAATTATTTGTTAACATTTTGGCATATGTTTAAATTGGAAAACAATTTGTTGCTTAGAATATGCTTTGATTACTTTTAATTATTGAGTACGCTACCAAATCTTCAACCAAATTAATCTATTATTTAAACTTCTTTTTAAATATTCAACATAAAATTAATTTTTTAAAACTAACAATCTTTTCTAGACGAAAATGCTGAGGTGCCATTTAAATTTTACTTGGCCCAAGACTATGCAGTTGATATGTACTTCTTGATGGATTTGTCAAACACTATGAAAGTTCATATCGAGCAACTCGCACATGTCTCTAAACATCTCGGTGAGTAAAGATATTTTAAATCTGGAATCCAAAATGCAAAGCAGTTTTCATATTATGCTTTACGTAAATTTTTGCTGCGACTCGAAAGATCAGATGTGAACAGGGTCGAATATCGATTAATTTTTCTGTTATTCATTAATCATTTTTGTTCTGATCAAAGAAAGTGGACATTTTTTTTCAAGTAAAGACATTTATATTTGGCTTTGCGGAATGAAAGTTAGAGAGACAGGTTAGGGAAGAAATGAACGACGGGTGTCACCGTATCGTTATCTAGCAATTCTTAGCAGCAAACAAAAATAATTCTTGGGACATGGAATGTCAGAGCACTAAATCAATGTCGCCAATTAGAAAACATAAAGCAGGAAATGAACAGGTTAAATGCTAATGTTTTAGGCACATTGAAACAAGGTGGTCAAACGATGGAGATTCCGTCAGTGACGATCACAGGATCATATATGCAGGCGGATAGAAAATGAGAGTGAGGTAGTACTGATATTAGACAATAGAAAATGTGTTTTGCGATTCTATTAAATATGTGAAAGGATTATTGTCATTAAACTGAAAGTAAAGCCTTTCAACATATCCATCATAGTTGTATATGCACCGACAATACCAAGTACAGAAGAAGAAATTGAAAAGATTTACTATACGCTAAACAACACTAAAACTTTAAAGCTAATCGCAAAAGACATACAGTCGCCATTGGAGACTTAAATGCCAAAGTAGGCAAGGATTGAAATGGTGATATAGTTAGCAAATTTGGACTAGGAACTCGTAATGAACGCGGAAAAAATGGGTCTAATTGTGCACGGAGAATGGTCAGTTATTAGCCAACAATTAGGATCAAGAACACCCAAAACGTATATGGACATGGAGAAGCCCAGGATGATACAAAATTGACTATATATTTAGCAATAACAGAGTCAGTAATGCAGTTTTACACACGAAAATTACGCAAGCAATGACTGCGCGAGCGACCACCTCCCAGTAACTACAGCAATTGGAGAAGTTCAAGGCACCGCTGAAATTGCAATACGACAGACTTGGAAATGACCTGACTGTGAAAAAGAAATATATAGGCAGTGTTAAAAGCAGACACAATGGACAAAATGAGAATGGAAATTCTAAATGGTACATATAAAGGGAAACTTTAGTAACATCAGCAAGAAATAAAAAATTGGATGGTTCTCAAAATAATGAAATGAAAACAAAAATAATGCAAACGTACTGCACAGAATATATGGACTATGAAGAAAGAAATTAGAAATAAATGCAGGTAGACTAAAGATGAGTGGCTCAACGAATTTTTCAGAAATACAAAGAATATCACAGATAAAGTTGATATGCATAAACAAATAAGATAACTAAAAGAACAAAAGACATGCTTAACAACGGGATTCATAAAATCCAAGGATAGGACACTGATATTCTAAATATGGAAATAAAAATATTTCAGAGATGGAATGAATACCCTTCCACGACGAAAATTGGACAACCGGTAATACATAGAAATATCGAAGAACCAGAAATATTAAAATCTGAAGTGAAATCAACACTGGCCCAATTAAAGAGAAAAATGATGCAGGATCAGACTAAATTGTAATAGAGATGCTGGCAACCTTAGAGGATTTTGACATTGACAAGATTATAAAATAGAAAAATGATAAATAAAACATGCAAAAGTGGTGATATATTAGAATATTTAAGTACATCCATTTTCATAATATTGTTTAAGCAACTAAGGTATAAACAGACAATAAGCCTAATGATCCATATAACAAAACTTATCCGAATTCTGATGAATAGAGTGCAAAGAAGAATTCGACCAGAAATTGCACAAGAACAGTCTCGTTAAAGACATTGGAATGCGATATTTATACTCAGAATTATATCACAAATGCAGAAGGATGTGTACCTGTGTTTTACAAATTATGCAAAAGCGCTTGAAAAATACGCCACAAAGAACTATTGGAACTATTTGGGAAGGATATTAGAATAATCTAGAATCTATACTAGCAGCAAACCGTCTACATACAGATAAAAAATGAATTCAGTAAATATATAAAAATAGAAAGAGGTTTTAGACAAGGACGTATTCAACATTTACAGTGAGGCTATTCTGAGAGAATTAGAAGTCCTACTAAGATCCATTATTGGCGGCTACAATTTTAACAACATAAGATATGATATGCAGATGACAATATTGATAGCAGATACAGAAAAGAAACTACAAGATATCCTACAGAAATAATCGAAAAAATAGTATAGACTCCACGATTTGCATTTAATCTAGAATGTAATTTTGACGATTGACTGTCTTTGTCTGAAAACACCCACATCAAACAGAAATAATTAATGTAGATCAATTTCGGTGTTATTCGTCCAGTGCTTCAGGGATATTTAAATGATTTCTTACAAATTTATTTCGAACAATTTAACAATGAAAACTTTCAAAATAGCTGAAATGCATTAATAGTATAAAGAAGAATTGAATTAATTCAGTATAAAAATGCTGCGTCTAATTAACAGGCAAGAAAAATTGATATAAAACAATCGCTTTGTTTTTTATTTTTTATCACAAGAATTCAAATCTTATGTATTAATCTAAATTTATTTTGATCGGTTGCTTGGTAATATAAAAATAATTGGTCCGATTTCTTCAAATAATATTTGCCTAAGGGGACAGTTAATAAAATTTTCTAAGTATATATTTTAAATTTTCTAAGTATATATTTTAAATTTTCGTAATATGATTAAATAAGATATAATTTTTTCTAAGTATATATTTTAAATTTTCGTAATATGATTAAATAAGATATAATTTTTTGTAGCTTGAAACTACATAAATAATTTAAATGACATTTGATTTCTGATAATCTTTTGTAATTGTTGTGGAAATCCAATGCTTTGGAAACATTCCTATTAATACACCCTGTGACCGAGGTGCATGAGTGTAAATTGTGAAAAAATGAAATGCTAAAACTCGAAAATATTCAAGTAAAAATAAAATTATTGTATTTGATGGAAATTAAACATCTCTTTCAGTTGATGACATCAGGAATCTGACTAAGTCCCTTCAAGTTGGAATTGGATCATTTGTGGAAAAAGATCTTCTTCCTTATTCGTGAGTAACAATGTTTAAGGATTTTATTTTACCAATGAATTTTTATAAATTTCTATGAAAATGGTGAAACCGATAGAAAATCGGTTAGAAAAATTTGCTTAAAATCTACATCAAATAATGTTCCGAACAAAACAACTTACTGGTTTCTCTTTTTGGGGATGTTTTGGATACCATATTTAATTATTAATTTTACTACAACATTTGGCGTGTCATAACTCGTATTTCATTATGCTTCTTTGTATAGTTTTCAAGCCCCATGATAGAAATGATTCATTCCTCACTACTGACAAGTCTTTTCACATGTTACATTTTTGCATACAGTCTATCAACGTCACTCCTTGAGTGTAAGATATTATGCTTATACAAAAATCTGCATTTTTTCATCCAAATTTCTCATTTCTTTTCATGCCTAGTGTAAAAAGAACTTCGAATATTTTTGTATAGATAGATGCTCAGGGATTCTTTTATATTTCCATATTGTCTGATTTAATCTGCTTAAGTATTTATAGAAACATCTAACTCTATTTAATATTTAGACTTTTGATAATTTCGTGTTTGGTTAGTTCAAGTTACTAACATTTCACATTTGTCGATTCCGTAATCCATTTCAGTGTCTAGGCTGGATATTATGATTGTTCCCCCCTTAATCCCCGATTCTCTTTTATTTTTTATATAAATTTTAAAGTCATCCATGCATATTAAGTGATTATGGTTTTGCTTTAACTTATAAAATGTATATCACGCAGTATTTAATTATAATTTTTATTATTCCTACTACAGACAAGCATGTTTCAATTGTGAAGAAAAATACGATTTCAAGCAGGAGATTAAATTGACAAATAAATTTACGGAATTTCAGGTAAGTAAATTTGATCCGTTGGCCTATAAATAAATGTTTAAATACGAATAGATTGTTTTTCTGAACTTCCGAGATGTGCATACAGGATTATTATATATTGGATTTGCTTGGACAAGTGGAAAATCCGAACCATGTATCTATGAGTTACCTTGTTCTCATTCTAATGTTCCTATTGAAGAGTATCTCTTTCTTTCGAGTTAATTCATCTTTCTGATGTTGCCTGTATCTTTCCCAGAATCAATGTATATTAATTTTTAGCACTATCTGATCAAGGAATGAACCAGCAACCGGCACGTAGTTCAACTCACTTGACCAACGCACTTACCCACTAAGCTGATTTCTATCAATCAATTTAGTGATGGCAAGTTGAAACCGTAAATCTAATATTGTAACCGAACTAGACTATGTGATTTTGACACAACCTGTCACATAGTCTAGTTCGGTTGCAATATTAGGTTTAATTGTGGTGAATCTTTTGAGTCTTAGATCTAAATTTCTTTTTTCCTGCAGATTCCAATAAAGTGTTTATCTATATGAAAAGTATACTGGACAGGTTATTAGAACATCGTATAAGCGCTTATTCTTTAATTGAGAAAGCCTCATAAGTGGCGACTCAGATGCCAACAGGAGATAATCAGCATTAGAAGAATCTTTTAGTTTAAACTTTATTCAACAAGCATAACATCATTTTCTATAAATACAAATAAATGAGTTGACGGCAGCAGTCAGAAAACTGCAATGTTCAGTTTGTATTTTTTCAAGTGATTCTTGAATAAGTATTCAGTTTGTCTCTCTCGAGAAAAGCATTCTTTTCGAAACATTCAAATGGTTACTTATTCCTTACGGACTGAATAAACAATTCTTAACTATTTTCAAATAAATTGCTTTACTAATTTCAACTGAATTATTCCAATTGAATATTTTTATAATCTGAGATAAACAGACTTCGGTAATGTCCGCTTGATCAGGGTTAAATTATAACAAAGTATTATTAATTATTGCACTCTAAAAATCATTCATGAAATCTCTTTTTTAGACGAAGGTTGATGAGCTTAAGAATATGACAGGAGAAAATCTGGATGCTCCAGAAGCAGGATTGGATGCCGTGATGCAGAGTATAGTCTGTGGGGTTGGTATTTAAAAATCACTTTCTCTAGAAATATTTTCTTTGAAGTATGAATGTGCCAGTAATGTAAGATGAAATCAATTTGGTAAAATGGCGTATTCTAAAAAGTATTTTCAAAGCAAATTTCGATTCGTTTTTATATTGTTAGAATAATAAATTTCGTATTGTGATCATATTTGCTTTTATTTGTTTATATATTTGCGTGCATGTATGTATATGTACTTGTATTTGACAGAGAGCATGTGGGAATATGTACATGTAAATATATGTGTTATTACTAAAACATAGTTCATTTCATAACTGACGGAAGTTAATGTTTCATTGTTTGAATTGGTTTATGGTCACTTTGTGCCGATATGTATGTGAAATTCGTTAAACTTTTTCTCATTGTAAATAAACTAAATGCGTAAATAGACCTCTGGATTGCCTGGGGATTGTAAGTGTGAGGTACGTGGTGGGGTTGGTTTGAGGATATATATAGTCATATATTTATTTATCTTAGCGTCATAAATGATTTTATTTATTTTAATAACAGAATAAAATAGGCTGGAGAAATGAATCGCGACGTCTAATAATCTACTCATCGGATGCTCCTTTTCACTTTGCTGGCGATGGAAAGGTAATTTCAAGCATTTGCTGCACATTTATTCTTTTATTTCTTAACACTGAAATCAAAATTCAACATTTTGCATTGGTCTTGAGAATTAAAATTACGATGTCAAACTGCAAGATCATTTGGGAAGACGATAACATTCAAAAACCGTGAACATCAGAAGATAAAAAGATGAAAAAGTATTTGGTTATATTATTAGGTTGGTGCAAAAATAATGTCGTTTTTTTTACGTTCAACTTCAAAAGAGAAAACGACATTATTTTTGCAATTCAACCTAATAATAACTGAATTTGTAGCTGATTTTTGTTTAATATTTCATTTTATTAACTTCATCAACTTCTTATTCTTTCAGTAATTGAAAAGAACAGAAGAATTATACTTTAGTTTTACTTAAATGTATTTTTTACCCTCATTTTGAAGGTACTGTTTTTATTTTTATTTATTTCATTAAGCGTATTAAGTTACTTGCGTTTTTTATTTTTGCATTTGATTTTTTAAAAAAGAAACAATTTCTTGAATTTTTCTCCAAAGAAAACGAGAAAAATGAATAAAACTGGTTTCAGCGTTTAAAATGACATTAAGCGCATTAAAATAAACAAAAATTAAACATTAAATTGTTCTTAGCATTAAATAATGTTTTCTTTTCGTGGTTTCAGCTAGGAGGAATAATAATACCAAACGACGGCAAGTGTCATCTGAAAGGAAATAAATACTTAGAAGACAAACAACAGGTAAATTACTTTTTATTGAGCGCTTATTGTAGACAAGGCGGTAATAGTTTCAATAGTTTTCTCAGAAATTGGAAAAAAATAATTGCGTAATTATAGATGTTTTGGAATTACGTTTGGAATTGTGTTAAAAAGTTTGTCCCAAAAACTAAATACATTTAGGAAATGTTTTCTTGTAGACACACAAACATGAGAGTAAATCGAAATCTTTTTTTTTTAAATCTTTCATTTATGAAAACACCAGAAAAAAACAGGTAATTCTTTAACTACACAATCTCAATTTGGGTTTTTATATTTCTGCATATGAGAGCATATTTTAGTCTTCATTATATTATTTTATCATTTTAATGGAGCCATATTTTATCATTTTAATGGAACTATATCAAATAAGCTGCGTCAGAAGTTCTTTTTGTTTCATCAACAAAAAGACCTATTTTTGTTTTGACTAGTGCAATCCTGAATGAAAAAAGTTTCAAGAGTTTTTTGATATATGTGCGAATGAAATCAGTTCATCACTCAATGAATTAAGTTATTAAAAGTAGAATTATCCTCTACTCATTCGATTTTACGGGAAATATGGCAAATAGAATCAAGCATATATCTCAGTTTTTGTTATACGCTGAATTTTCTATATTCTAAAGTAGCTATTTATTAAGAATAATATTACATTTTCTTAAGGAGGGAACTGGCTATGCAAGCGTTACTGAAATAGTACAGGAAAACACTATGATCACAGCTTCTGAGTGTTAATGAAATTTGGCAAAGAAGCAGTGAACCGGGGTAATTCAATTTTACTTGTCTCTAATAGAAAGATGCTTTTGAAAGGGAACACGTATTTCATTTGGTCAATGCCGTACCTTGCAGGCACAGGCGCAAAAACAAAATAATTAATTATTCTATTGATGAGTTTAGAGTAGATACCGCCACTTTTTATGGGAAAACAGCATAGCATAATGAAAAAGGCCACAAACTTAATAAAAATTAAGTTTTATCGTCAAAATGTTTATATCATTATTAAGATGAAAGACCAAAGTCTTTTTTTTTTCTTTTTTTAATTATTTTTTGAAATTTTTAATCTTTTCTAACACGTTCTAAATTTTGGTTAAAATCTTGTTTTATTTACGTCATCGGGATGGCTTTTTGCGCTTTTTTCCGTTGAAAACACATTGATTTGGAAATTCTTGTAAAAATCAAATAATTGTCCGATTTTAATGAAATTTTCAGAAATTATTCACAAATAATTGAAATTTGTTTCTGAAATGTTTCTTTAAAAAATTATGGTTAAAATTATTTTTTATATATATATGTTACCTCCACTTATTTAATTTCATGAAATTTCGCAAATAACCTTTCTATTTTATTCGTTAAAAGTAGGACTCCTTGGAAAATCTAAATAATCTATGTATTTTTCAAACTTGCACTATTCTAACTTGAAAAATAATGAATACAATAAAATATGATATTATTTAATTAGAAAAGCTTTTAATTGCTTTTGTAAATAAGTTATATTAAGGACATTATTGTCTGATGAAATACAATTTTTCCGATGAATAATGAATTTTTACAAGAATTTTTTCATTTCTTTAAAAAACTTTATCTATTGTGTAAAATTCTGTATAGGGCTATTTCCTGGATGTGATATAGTAAGTAAGTGGAAACGAAATTTACGAATCCAAAAGTGAAAACTTTAATAAACGTAGTTACACTATTCTATTTTTAAAATAATTTATTTTTTTTGTTAATTTGTTCCCTTTTTTCATCTATGAAAGGCTAAACGTGACATTATTATGAAAATGTCACGTGATCTAAAAGTTTTGTCTCTTTACAGAGAAATTAATTTAAGAAAACCTTATAGTATTTTAATTTTTGCATAAAGCATCTTCGAAAGGTATATAAAAATCAATAAATTATTAGATAATTGCGGAAAATATGTTCATTTGTAAAAACTACTTGATAGTTAAGAACCATAAAATGCGTTCACTTAGATTTCGTAAATTTTATGTCAATTCTAGTCATCCATGCAAGCTGTCATCGATTCGTCACTCAATCATCCATCAAACATCGCTTCAGTTAAACAGGGCCGATCAATAGCAAATGGTTGTATATTAATTTTTTATGCTATAAGTAAGTAATATTCATTTCAAATCAGATTAATCTAACTTTAAATTTTCTAATTTTACTCAAATAAAGTGTCAGAAATATATATATATATTTTTGGAAGTGTTTTAAAATCGATAAATTTGTTTACAAATTTCTTAAAAATAAGAAAATGGCCGCTTTTAAGAAAATTTAAAAAAATCGAAATTAAATTTGACATTCCAATCTATATAATTTCTATCTGAAATACATCAGAATATTTTACTTTTTGGAAATAATAATTTTAATACTTTAGCTTTGAAATTAAAGCTAAAATGAAATCTTCAAGAACGCTTTTTTTATTTTTAAAGATTCATCTTAAACCTTAGGCATCGAAAATTTATGCCGATAAAGTGGAGGTACCTAAGTTAGGGTTTAGAATTAATTTGTAGAAAATACACAATTTCTGAAAAATTTGCATATTTTTCTCTTCTTAGGATTATCCTTCCGTAAGCCAGATTGCTCAAAAGATTCAAGATAACCAAATTACCGTAATATTTGCTGTGTCCGGTGCTCAGCTGAAAACATATCAGAACTTTGTGAAGAATATTAGGGGTGCGTATGTAAGTGAATTAAACAGTCAAACATCGACAATCGCTGAAATCGTCAAAGAACGCTATAAGGTAAGGAAGCAAAGATATATTTAAAGCCTCAATGACTCGGAAGAATATGATATATAAACTCTGTATAGCAGACAGATGGTGGATAATGACAAAATGCAAAAAAAAATTGTTTCATTTTTTGAAAAGATGTTTTCAGACTAAATAATATTTTTATTGATGGGATCATATACATGTAGAGGAAGAGAGGAAATATTTCAAAATAACATCGATAAAAAGAAAAAAGAAGCCACGGGAAGCTGAAAGAGGTTGGGCGTTTAGAAAGCTGAATGCTATTTAGACACATTGGACGTCACATATTAAAAATTGAAAGTTAAGCGTCTCTGTATTTCACTGTTTCTCTTGATGTATAATAATAATGTTTGTATTTCATTCCCTCCACATTATTTACTGTTAAAAATAATATTTTAAATAATAATTTGTTTTATTGGTTTTATTTTCGTTTCTGTAAAGATTTTAAATAAAAAAAGGGTTTAGTTCATTAAAAACTTGTTTCTTTCCCTCAGAATATTTCCTCAAGCGTTGAAATGAGTGTCATCAACAGGGACATTAATATTACTTTTATGTCAAAATGCAGTGGGTAAGTATTTTTACCTTTTTGCGTTGACTTGAGTTAATTTGTTTATTTCTTAAATTATATCTCTAACTTTTTCTTTTAAACTCTAGCAGGATAGACAAGGAGTATTCTATCAAAGGAAGATAGATATAAATGAATATATCAGTTTAAAAATATGTGATTATAATCAATATTATATTTAAGAAGACGGTTTGTAGGAATTTTATTTTGTTTGTTAATTCCCATAAACCATTTCTGTCATTGACAACAGACAAAACAGACGCATATATATAAATATATATGTGTATGCATATTTGTGTATGTGTTTGTAAATAAGAAAAGTGGTTAAGTTCATATGCGTTATGAGACACAAGAATAAAAAATACAAAAAAAAGAGATGTTCCATTTTAATAAAAAATAACCGCCAGTTTTCTTTTTGTATTTTTGTCCTAGCTAATAATTCGGTCGTTCAATTCCTTTTTCTTTTTAGATCTGACTGGATGTACACAAAACATTGCGATAACTTGAAACCCAGACAGACTGTAAGTCAATTTTTTGATTCCTGAAAACCTTTTCTCGAAATCAAAATTTTTACTTTGCAGAATTTATTCTTATTTATAAAACAACTGAATGCAATTTTATCTTCAATTTATAATTGCACTAAGTTGAAAAATCGAGTTACAGCTCAGAATGTATTGCAGTCATAACATTGAGTGCCTATTTTAGAGACAAGATTAGCAAGATTGTTTTGTTCTCCATAGCTTGTAATTTCGATCTTTATTCGGCGTCTTCTATGACTTTGAGGCGTGAAGGGTAACTCTTTTTAAATAGTAAGCCATATTTTAAATGTTTTTTCTCTCTTTTACCCATAATTGGCTAATGGATAGGTTTTGTCAGTTTGTTCCTAACTTATCAGCTTGTCGGGAGGAATGGCTTGTAAGACTAAAACTTAGGCACGTCTGGGACAGGGCCTCAATAATGAAGATCGAGGTCATTAGCAATTGCTTGCGAGCTAAAGGTTGCAAAGCCCAATCTTGAAATTTTTTCCTATTTTGCCAACGACAATTTTCTTAAAGAATTTATGTTAAAATTCAATGGTTATTGTAGCAAGCGAGTAAAGTTTTGAAAGAGAGTTCGTTTCTCATTGGATATTTAGTTGCGTTACAGTTTTCTTTATCCAATCACTATATAATTATCCTGTGTCCTTTTTTAAAATTTGTTTAAATTAACCGTTTCAGTCATATGATTAATGAATTACTTTTTCCTGTCGGACATTTTATTGCGTTCAAGTCGGCTTCTATTGATTCTCTTTACTGATGAAAATCATTGAACCTGAATGGTTTCTTTTATGTGTGAAAAGAATATTTTAAAATGCACTAAATCTTTCAATTCAATTCCTATTGAAAGAATTTCATATTTTATTTACAGCTCGAATTCAAGGCTCTTATACCTCCCCAGAAATGTCCCCCAGGAAAGCAGAACGTCGTGAAAAACATTGTCATATTGCCGATTGGATTGAAGCAAAAATTTGAAATTAAACTTGAACTCATCTGTGGCTGTGATTGCGAAAAAACACCTGTGAGTAAAAATTTCTCGAACTTTTCAGTACTTTTTATTAAATCCATAGACAAAAATGCAAATATAGGCATAAATACGCACGCACGCACGCACATGCAGATATTCGCATCTCATGTAAAGATTGAATTATAAACATGCTAAGATACTAAAGTATCGTTATACTGTTTTTTTAATCGATGACAGCCAAAGAACACAGGATTTATTTGCTGTACGTATGTTAATTTTCAGGCTCCCCTAATTTTGAATCATGTAGTAACATAATGTTTCTGCTTATTTTGTTCTCAGTATAGATTCAAGTAAGCAGTATTTTTTTGAGAAAGATGTTCTGATGGGTGTCTGAAAAACAAAAGAAAAATAACTTTACACTGTCCCATAAAAGATATAAAACCTCTGTCCTCAATTTGTAATATAAAACACTGTCTTATCTAATATGGGAAATTTTCATTTTGTTTCCAGCAAATCAAGAGCCCAAATTGTGATAGAATTGGAAATTTGACGTGCGGAAAGTGCTACTGTGATAATCCAGAACTATTTGAAAAGTGTCAGATGTAAGTAAAATGGTAAATGCCAGAGTATTTGAAAGCTTTGTTTCACTTTGTATTTTAAGTTTGTCAAAATATACATAATAACACATAATTTAAATAAGTTATTTTTAATTGCAGATTTTTATAAACAAATATAATTACTTGATATAATATAGTGTTTGTTGTTTGTATTCTACACTTTTGCAATTAACAGGATTAATCTATAACAGCAACACGGTTGACAGCTGTTATGTTTTTGTGTTTGTGTGTACGTGCGCGCGTGTGCGTGTCTCTGTGTTATGCAATTAAATATATAAGCACTTTAAAAAATAGGCACATATATTTTATCTTGCAAATATATCACTAAAAGGTTTTATTTTAAGTATACACGAAGAGTGAAGCAGTTTGAGTGTTTTACTTCAAAGATTCTTTCTAGCATGCAATATGGCGATTTATTTCTTGCATAGATAATTGATTTTCTTCTGGCTGAAATTGTTTCAGATACAACACCACAATGGAATGCAGTGATCGAGGGTCTTGTGAATGTGGAAAATGCATCTGTAACAAAATACCCAATACTCAGAATTACTATTATGGCGAGTATTGTGAGTGCAGTAATTATTCTTGTCCGAATTTCAACGGAATAATTTGTGGCGGTAAGTTACTCTAATTAATTTCAAGATTAAGTATTTTCAGAATTATAAATATTTGACTTTCCTTCAACTGTTTTTGTTTTATCGTAACGTTTTAAGTGTTATCAATTCTCCAGCAGTTAAAATGCTACTACTACTACTACTACTAATAATAATAATAATACATACATACATACATACATACATACATAGCTTCGGACGAGATTCGGACTTTCATCCCAAACTTCTTTGTATATTTATTATATCATGCAGTTGTGACGGGTACACACCTGGCCCAGGGTCGAATCCTTTGGTTACGGCGCCAACTGTGACGTCGCTCCTCCTGGTCGCTCCTCCTGGTTCCAAGCGTGCCGCTCCAACCCCTTGGTTATATGATCACCAGCCTCGCCTTTCCCAACTCGCTTCCAATACCTGGTTACTGAAGCAACTGTACTGATCTCCGGTCTGTCTACCCACGCTGTGTTTAGATCTTAGACAGACGGGACCAGCAGGATTGGGGCCGATACAAGTTGAGTCCGACGGGGTGGCAAAACACAAGTAAAAAAGAAAAACTCACGAGACAAAAATTACTGATAAAAAAGGGTGACAACCTTTTATATCTAATGTCCGTTACATAAAAATTGTTCTTATTTCCCGACCCGCTCTGTGGACTATGGCACCAAGCTTCTATCATACAACTTAAAGATTTCGAATTGCCTACTCTTCAGAATTATGTATGTCGGAGTGTGGTCTAGTTCGACACTGGGGCTAATTTCTGTCAATCATTCGCAGTTGATTCTTCCTTCGACTTGAGTTGTATTTCTTCACTTCGATCTGGTTGGGTCGAATTCTGTTCTCGGCTGGGCTTGATTTCAACTTCTTCTTCTTCCGTCCAGTAACTCTTTGGCCTTGTCTTCGACTTGGCTGCAACTTCTCCGCGGCTTTCGAGTAATCTTCTTCTTCGTCGACTTAGATGGAACTTCTCTTGTCTTCGACTTGGGCTGGAAGGATTTCTTGTTTTCGACTTGGGCTGGAAGGATTTCTTGTTTCGACTTGGGCTGGAAGGATTTCTTGTTTTCGACTTGGGTGGAAGGATTTCTTGCCGCAACTCAGCCGCAACTCTCTGTCGTCCGAGGTGGTCTCTTCTCGCTGCCGTCCGGGGCTGAACTCATTTTTGTCGATTGGGGTCCTGCTTTTATTGACGCCGCAGCAAACCGGGGTGAGTCTGTCGGCGTCAGGGCTCTCTCGATAATCCCAAAAGTCGCATTAGTTCTGATTTCCCATTATTGCTATTATTTTCACCCCTACTTCCTCACAGTGCCTCTGGGGGGAAGACGCATACCCATCTCTCTCGGTCTCTCGTATGTCAGGTGACCGTTTTCGACCAATGGTTCCTGATCGAACATTCCTCCTCCTCTTTCCGCATGCCACGTGACCGTTTTCGACCAATGGTTCTTGATCGAGCATTCTCCCTCCTCTTTCCGCATATCACGTGACCGCTTTCGGCTAATGAGACTGTGGTGGGACGCCTCCCGTCTCCAATCGGGCGTGGCTTACATCGTTCTTGTTCTAAAAAAAACAAATCTAATTTGGCCTTTTTCGCACGTACGAAAAATGATAATCTTGGCTTTTTCTCACCTGGGTTCTGTCAAAACAGCCTGCCGCTAATTAGATGTGACTTCAGGAAAGAATATTGGCGCTATCTGTGAGCCGAGACAATCGTTTTTTCACCTCTTTGTTTTTGGTCAGACCTGATAGTCAAAATCTTAATTATCTGAATTGAAAATGTCTCCGCTTCATCATCGTGGGGTTCCAATCCTTAACAGGTCAGAATCTGTATACAGTTCCACCGGTCACCCCTCAACCCAAAAGACACCTTTCCTCCGATTAAAATTTCGTTTTCATTGTTCTAAAAATTTCCCTTTCTCCAAATTGATAATGAGTCTTTCTACGCAAAAAGTCGGTCATGTGCTTCGACCGATATTTTTTATTATCAATACACTCTTATCAAGCATGGTCCCTTCCACTCTCTAAATGACTTTCCTTCTAAATAACAAATCCCTATTGTCTTTTCGAAATTCGGCCAACATGTTTGGCCAAGATATCTTTCTGACACCTGTTTTCACTAATGACTGGGTCATGCATCATCCATCTCTCTTTTTTTTTTTTTTTTTCTTCCTCTTTCTTTTCTTTTTTCTTTTAGGATCGTCTAAGTACAACTTAGTGAATTATTTTCAACTCAATTATTCTTCGTCTAAAAAAAAAAAAACTAACAACCTGTTTAATAAACCGAGTAAAAAAAAAAAAAAAAATTAAATCATATTTCTATGAATATTTCTAATAATGCAAGGTGCCACACAGTAATCCACATATATCATCTTGTAGCCATCTTGTAGCTAGTGAGGGCCAGGAAGGGTTCTTATACCAATCCTTCTCTACATATTTTGACTACGTAGCAGTAGTAGATGTAGTAGCGCAACTCGTACTATCATAATGCCTGTCTTCACGGAGTTTTGAATCTTTGTTTCAAAGCCTGGTAATTTAATTTGGCAGAACATCTCAACCAAAAGGGTTTACAGAGAATAAAAATACCGACGTTACAATTACAAATCGCGTGGAAATTATTTTGTATAGGTTTTGTTTATCAACCATATTTCTAATGCAGTATCTTAATGTGGCAAAGTGGCATTGATAAAATGTGATCATCAAAAGAAAATACCCATTACAGGTTTGTCTCATGGGAAATGTGAATGCAACAAATGTAAATGTGAACCGGACTTTCAAGGTGAAGATTGTGGTTGTCCAATTAGTTCTAGTACCTGTCTATCCAAGAATAATGTAAGTAATGATGTATTTTAACACTTTTCTACGTTGACACGTATATTTGAATGAAAATCTTGAACGGGAGAAAAAACTCTTATTAGAATTCGTACTCATTTCTGAAAAATCTAATTTATCAACCAATATAAAAATATAAAGAATGAAATAACTAAAAACAATACTTGAAAATAAGCTTGTTTTAAGAATGCTATGAATAAACGTCGAAATATTCAGAAAGCGAGAAACATTTTATTTTTTCTTAACTTAGTCTTTATGATCTAAAAGAATGTTTTCAGAAATGCTGTTATTCACTACCTTGTTTCTAGTTGTAATGATAAACTGGCATTAAGGAGTTTAATGGTAATAAGTGTAGGAAGAAGCAGAATAATTAGCACTAGCAACAGCATCAATATTATGGCTATTAAAACGACTACGAACGATAACAATGATTACAAAAGTATTTGGAGTGGTTTAATGGCAACAGTATGAATTAAACATCAATTTTACTTATATATGAAAGTGTGAACCATTTTAACGAAGCACTTTAAACTTAAAATTCCAGATCGACTAGAAAATTTTTTAATAAAGTACAACCTTTAGTAAATAAAGAGATAATAAGATTAATCCTAATATGAGAATGCTTCTGGAGATTTTGCAAGGCTTTATCATTTACAGCACCTGAAACTTAACAATCGCATGAAAGATAAAATAATGTAATGAAAAAATAAAAGAAAATTGGTAATGATTAAATGTGACAGTGTATCAATAGGAATCATGTAAAAACTTCTGCTGGTCAGGCAAAAATGGTATGAACTTGTATAAACTCAAAGCATAAATTGTTCTAAAGCTTTGCGAAAGAAAGGTTCATAGGGACTTTAAAATAAAGTTGAATCAAAATCCAAATGTCAAAACGCTATAGTAAATCATCAAAAATAAAATAAGAAAATTTGTTAGATAATGAGTGTCGCAGTTGTCAGCGGCGAAGCCTGCCACTTGATATCTCGCGAAATCTATCGAATATAATTGGTTTAACAATACATTGATTAATAATGTAAAATAGTGAGAAATGAGTTAAAGCTCTGAGAATTGCTGAAGTTACTAGATAATAAATGTGAGAAAATTCTTTAAAGAATTGTAACAAGAAAATAAGTTTTCATCGATATGCATATTTAGATATAAAGCAACATCCCAATAAAAACTGAAAATAAATGCATAATGAATAAATGCATATTATCGTGTAATAAGACAGAAAATAATGACATAATTGAATTAAATTTATGGAATATTGGACGTTTTTCCAATTGAAGATATCAGTTCTCGTTTTAGGAGAAATCTATCCTATAATGGTTATGTAGCACCTATCGTACTTCAGTTTAAAATCGAAAGAATGATTAAAAGTAGAGCTGTTGTGGAAAGTGTACAGTATAAATAGATAATCACATACATAATCATAGAAGTATTGGAAACAATTCCAACAAGTTTGTAAAAAGATTGCAAAGGGAGAAATATTGCTACAATGAAAAGAAAATTGGAGAGAATAATAGAAAAAGTTTTGAATATGTAAGAAATCTGTCTCTTTGCCCTAGTTAGAGAAACCAAAATATCTGCTATAATAATAATAATAATAATAATAAATCTCGAAAATGTGGCATATGGGAACATCAACAATACCTGTTGTAGTTGGAGCCCTAGGACTGGTTGGAAAAAATTGCAGTAGACTAATTGAAGGGATTCCTGGAAATCCATGCCTCAAGGAGATACAAAAAATTGTTCTGACAAGTACAGCCCACACTTTACGAAGGGCTTTATCTATGTAATTTTCTTTTTTTTTGTCAGTGGAAAGTGTCATGATGCCATTTCTAACCTTAGGTCCCTGGACGGGACCCGAAAAGAAATGTGTAAACGCCAGAAATCAAAGAAAATAAAAATAATGATAATAATATACCATCCCTTCAGTAAACAAAAAATATATAGATCTAACAAGCATAGCGTATATCCTGCGAACAGCTTTGTCCATTTATGTTTCCTGTTAATAGCGGATTTTCTTTTGTTTAATTAAGTGGAAACAACAAAAAATTACATTCTTCTCATGCCCCAAGTCATTAGTTATGACCCGGCATATAGTTACAAATTAAATGCAAGTAAAACCCCCAAAAAAATAAAATAAAAAAAATAAAATAAAAATAATGTGCTAAAGAAAATGTTTTTAAACTGCATATTGAAGCTGAGATATGACAATCATCATCCGACCAAAAGATTTAAGAGTCAGAAGGGATGCCAGTAATGATATTTAGGATGATAATAAAAATGAATCTGACAAGAAGAGCAATTCCAGTCAATAACGATAACTAAGGATATTATTGGAATTTAATAAAAATAATTACTACAATACTAAAATATAGGTGAGTTGAGAAAAATGATATATTCTCTCCTAAAAACTTTCAATTTTTTATAAATCATTTTCTATGCATATTTTGTGAAATTCGTAGAGTGAAAGAATTCAATATGATTTGTTTTTAAGTCATTATTACTCTGAAAATTTATGGTAGTTAGTGAAGTCACAATTTATTTGATAAAGCCTTTCATTTTATGTCATTAAAAGTCCTTATTCTTATTTCCGGGATTTAGAAAATCTGCAATGGTTATGGTCAGTGCGTGTGCGGTGTTTGCCAGTGCAACAAAAAATCAGGATATAAAGGCAAAACATGCGAGAACTGTCCGGTATGTAACATTTATTAATCAATGTTATTAAATTACGCCACTCAGTGTAACGAATCTGAAGCACACTCTATTCTGTTTTGTAGTTCTGGTTTGATTTATTTTTTTCTTCAGTCTTTTTGTATGATTTTTTCCAGCACGTTTGGCAATTTTCTTGTTTTCTTTTCGATTTGATGGCTGATCAAAAGAACAGAGAATGTGCAGAGAGAGATGGCTGATCAAAAGAACAGACGTATTTATTTTCTTTTTGGGAAAACTGCATCTGAAATTGTTGTAACGCGTCGAGAACATTTGAAGAAAGAAGCTTTCGTTAAAACAAGAGTTTATCAATGGTATTTGCCTTTCAAATGTAGTGATATATTATTTGTAAATAAATGAAAATCAGACTAATCATCAGAAGCCGAAATGGCGAAAATCAGTGAAGGTCATTGTAGAACTACTGATTAGTTATCAGATATAACTGGGCTGTCTTGAAATTAATGTTATCCAATGTTAATAGAATATGTGAAAATGAAATGCGATTTCTGAAAATTCGGACCACGGTTTCTAAATGAGTTTCATAAAATAAATATTCGGAATGTGTGTCCCAATTTGTGGGAACAAGTTCTAAATGATCAAAAAATTCTTATCAAAGATGTGACTGGCGACGATAGTAATATTTCTTGTTATTTCTGGGTACCTACTCTTAAATTTTAATTTGAAAAGAAAAAATACATTTTAGAAAAATGTAAATAGATTGCGGCGACTTGGTAGAAAAATTAATTTTTGTAACAAGCACTATTCAATTGAATCCGCAAAAATCATTTCATGAGCAAACAATTTCTTCAGTTAGACAAAGATTCAAACGCTGTAAAAACAGATATATATCGATTTAAGGAGGAATCTAAGCGGATAAGATCAAAGTGTGATATCTATTCTTTTAAACTATGAAGCCTAAGGCATAACTTTCTCATTGCACTAAAAACAGAAGATTGGTGAATAGCGACACCAGCATGGGTTGTCGGGAATGGTCAACTATTGCCTTTGGCCTGTATGTACGCGAATGTGCTCCCCACATGAAACTGACCTCGTTGGGAAATTAGTCAATACCTATTTTAGTAATATCATCTGGGTTTTATTCAGTAAATATCAATTTTTAAGGCGTTTTCATTTGATCGTCATTCGATTACGACATTAAATTCGTTCATTTTATTTTATTTTTATTATATGAAGCATTATGCAACATTATTATTAATTATGATTGGTGTTCATTATCATTTTAAGGGAGGGGAGATGACGATGGCTTGTGTAAGGTAATGCTAAAAAAGCTAATAAAAAATAAGATGAAAATGAAAATAACAATTAAAATAAATAATATTGACTTCTAGATTCCATTCCATCTATTCCGGAATCCCTTGATGCATTTTATCATTGCTTTTCATATTTTGTTTCATTTTAGACTTGTGGCAAATGCGGGAAATTTGAAGATTGTGTGAAGTGTGTCATATCGCAAAAATCTGAATATACTAAAAAATGCGTCGAGCGTTGTTATGATGTAGAAGTAGAGATCGTTGAAACGTTCGAAGACAGAAAACAATTAAACGGTAAGATTTGAAAATTTCGGACACGATCTAAAATTTAAACAAACACGTTTTGGACACGATTTAAATGCACACATTAGATCCTACAGTGTTATGTCCAATATCTTTATAGTATTTTCAGTCTGTCTTTACAATTCTAATTTTATGGATGTGAACGATTATTATTTTATTGGTCGAAATAAAAGTACGCAGTGATTTTAAATGAATATTTAGGTACTTGTACATAGATTTATTTAAACACAAATTTGCCATTTTGTTCCACTAACTTTTAACATTTTTGATGCAGCTTCATGATTCCATCCTCCTTGAACTTGGCATTTTGGTCCCTGTTTTTGGTGCTCTAATTAAATTTTGACTATTACTATTCCTATTTGTCTCTGTTCTGTCATTTATCAACACAGACTTCTAAATTTTGTTTTGTCGTTTCCTCCTGATTCGTTTGCATTCATCATTTCCTGTGAGTGTTAAATTTTCTAGGCCTGCTTTCCTCATTATGTGTCTTATAAATTTAAATTGACTTGCTTTCTGATTGTAACTATAGATTTCCTTGTTCCAATTTTTCTTCCTCAATGCTCATGCGTTTGATCCATGGTATTCTTAGTGTTTCTTGGTAGAACCACATGTCTGTCGCTTTTAGTATCTTCTTCGTCTGCGAGGAAATTGTTAAGAATACACTACAATTGACGAATATATATGAAATATTATATACATGTTCAGCACACTTTTCTTTGTTTCTAATGATATTTTCCCATATCTTAAATTTTTGCTTACTTTCTGGAGGACAACTTCGCTATTCCTATGCCCCTTCTAATTTCTGTGTCGAATTTTCCGTCGTTTATTACTACATTAACTGGATAGTTAAATTTATGCACCTGCTTAATTATACCGTTCCTAGGACGTAACTCACACCTTGGGATGTCGCTTTTGCTGGCTACGAGGCATTTTGTCTTGGATGGTATTCAAATCAGATATTGATCGTTCACGGTGTAACAATAGATCCCTTTTTCTCCGTGTGTGTTGCTCGATTCAAGTTAATACTTGTTGACTATTTGACTATCTTATTCTTTTTCTACTTTTGCATTTAGGTCCTTCATGATGATATTTTTCAGTTTATGCCATTATCTAGTTGGTTTTCAGTTTTGCTTTTGTGATTGTGATATTGATACATAAACTACTATGGTTAAGCTGAATGGCTAACTCAACCCTACCTAATACTTACTCTGTCTGTTACCAGTGAACTAGAACACATTTTCTCTTGTCATTATCTAATACTAGCGCTGCTAATTCTCTTTCATTTTTATCTTTGCTTGCAAATATTGTGTTCGTTGATGGGGAAATCCATATTTTTCGTTCATCTAATTTCATGTACGTCCAAAATGTTGATTTTAGCCTTTACATTTCCTGCTTTACAATTATTTCTATATAATAGTTTAGTATTATCTAGTGGTTTATTCATTAGGTCAAACTTTGGGAAGTGGTTCGGATTATGTATGTTTAATTTTTAATTTAATTTTTCTAATCTACGAATAAAATGTTGTACATTGAATGAAAACCAAAGTACATGTTTGGTTCTGTTTAGACCATAACTGTCATTATCAAGAACTTGATGTGAATATGGTTGACAAAATTTTGAATTTTTAGAACGCTAGAATTCGAGAATTCGCTCATCACATAAGTGACATCATGTGTAATTCGTTTACACAAGGGTTATGACATACCGTAAAGAGAATGAATTTATACGTATTATTATTATTGTCTGGAATAAAAGGACGCAGTGATTTTAAATGAATTTCAAAGACAGTATTTAGGTAATTGTACATAGATTTATTCAAACACAAATTTTCCATTTTGTTACACTAACTTTTGATTTTTTGATGCAACTTCATGATTCCATCCTCCTTGAACTTGGCATTTTTCTGTATGGTCGAAGTGCTTTTAAAAGCTTCCTAGGAATGAAAATTCTTGCAATTAAGAAAATTTTTATAAGGTTTGGAGTAAGTGCTTATATGCTGGTGCAAGGTTAGATGATTACCGTGCGTATAGTAGAATATCCCAACTAAACTGTACCAATTTTTCCGTGTCTACAAAGAGACGTGAAGTTTGATGTTTTCCCGATAGAAAACGATTGGCCAATTCCAGATGCTTTTCATCAATTGCTCCCTTTAATAGGTTCAATTAGGAACGGTACTTTCCTGAATTCAACCTTTCATTTTGCGGAATGACCTCGTGATGCTTACTTTCTTCCAGTCCCATCAGATACACAGCATCAACTTCTTCGGATGCAGACCGGCTTTTCGTCTTCTCCAGGAGTTTTTCATTCTACATCGTCTGTAACCAATAATTTCAAAATGGTTTGTTTTTGTTCTGTTTGAACAGAATCGTAGGTGGAAATGCGGATCATTAAATTTTTGTCTGTTAAATTGTGAAACACCCAAATATTGAAGCGATTCCCATACCCAAGAGTTTCCAGATGACTTTGAACGCTCATCCGAGATATGTAGACTATCTCTGCGAATTCACGTGTCGTGTGATCTGAGTTATTTTTACTCAGCGCTTTGATTTGGTTATCATGTACGACTGTATGTTTGCCGGAATGTTCTCTGTATTTGTCATGGTGCCTACCTAGACCGACAGAATGAACTCTTCCGAACGATATATATACTACGCCTCTCAAGAGAAACAAACGGTATTAGTACGGTATTGGGACGGTATTGAATCGAGTCGAGCTGATAGCAGTCACGCCAAACCAGTCGGACAGTCTTGCTAAGACTTTTCACTTCTTGTATTATTTCTTGTGTAATATATTCTTTGTTATTTCTACTGTTGTGTTTCGTGTGGTTCGTCCATGGTCCTAACCTTGGACCATAACAGTGGCGACGAGGATACTGAAGAAACGAATTCTACGCGGAGGATATAAAAAAAAACCCTCTTTTTACTATCAGTCGCACATAACAGTGGCGACAAAGATATTGAAGAAACGAATTCTACGTGGAGGATATAAAAAAAAAAAAAACTTTTTGCTATCGGTCCCCCATAACAGTGGCGACGAGGATATTGAATAAAAAAATTCTACGCGAAGGATATTGAAAAAAAAAAAAAAAAAGAAGAAGAAAAAAGTCTTTTTTCCTATCGGTTGTTCATAACAGAGGCGACGGATATATTGAAAAAAACAACAACAAAAAAAACAAAAACAAAACAAAACAAAATAAAAAACATGTTCTACGTGAAGATAAAGATAAAAAAAAAAAAAAATTTTTGGACACCAACCATAACAGTGATAACGAAGACACATATTTTACCTGTCAGCCAGAATAGAATCGAATTCTACGCAGGAAAATTTTTTCACTTCAAATTTCCAGAACAAACAGACGACAAAAACCGGAAGTATACACTGAGAAAAAAGGAAAACAATCATTACATTAAAAAAAAAACTCTAGCTACAAAGTGTTCTAAAAATTCGGAAAATTTATTTGGAACTGACTGGATGCTGAAATTTGACCTCTGGGACTTACCGATAAATGCTTTTTGCCAAAAAATGGAATGATTATCGACCGAGGCAGAGAAATTGAAGGAGAAATTAAAGGAGAGTTTTCCCGACGGATTTTCAGCCGGCCTCGGGAGGTGTAAAAAATGGCGGCAAAAATCGAACTAAAAGAAAATGTACAACCCATTTTCAAGAAGAAAAGAAATGTACCTTTTGCATCATTGGATAAGATAGACGAAGAGTTGGATACACTCGTGAAAACCGGTATATTAAAAAAGGTGGAATGGGCCGCATCTACGGTTTACGTGAAAAAGAAATCGGTGAGATACGAGTATGCGCTGATTTCTCGACGGGATTGAATGCAGCGATTAAGGATTATCACTATCCTCTCACTAGTCCAGAGGAAGTTTTCACAAAGTTGAACGGAGGAAAATTTTTCTCAAAAATAGACTTGAGCGAAGCATACCTACAAGTACAAGTAGATGAGGAAAGCTCGAGGTTGTTGTGCATAAACACTCATAATGGATTATATCAGTTATTACCATTCGGGATCAAGGTCGCGCCGGCGATATTTCAGCAAATAATGGACACTATGCTAGGCGGACTGGATTTTGCGATCGCATACCTTAATAACATCTTGATAAATAGCAAAAATATTGAACAATACTGATACAGAGACAAACGGTATTAGCACGGTATTGGGACGCTATTGAATCGAGCTGATAGCAATCACGCCAAACCAGTCGGACAGTCTTGCTAACACTTTTCACTTCTTGTATTATTTCTTGTGTAAAATATTCTTTGTTATTTCTACTGTTGTGTTTCGTGTTGTTCTTCCATGGCCCTAACCTTAGACCATAACAGTATTCCAGATCAAAATTTCCACTTACAAATTAAAATTTAAAAATAAATAATACCAAAGGACATGAGTCAAGTGTCCAGTATCTGATTTCGGACTGGAAGGAAATAAAATCTTTCTGCAGAGATGTCAAGATTGAAAGCCATAACTACCTGACTTAATTGTTTTTAAAATAAAAACACACGGCGATATCTAGACATTCGGCCGAACGAGTGCCACCATAGTGGAAGTTGCAAGATTTTCACTGGGAAAGTGTCTCTGAGTCCAGGGCGAGAAGGCCAATTGTTTATTCAACTTTCAGACCAGAAAAGAAATCAACACTGGTGTCAATTCACTTATGATTTGATAGCATTTTGGACAATTTTATAAAAAAAATTACTCTTCCCTGAATGGTGGAAGTGACAGGCGTTGAAGAGCGATCAAGGAAGAAGGAGGAGCTGCTGCACCCACTGAAGGGTAGCAGGCACAGACGAGATACCAAAGAGTGTGAAGGAGCTGCCCACGCCCACTGGGAGCATTAGTGAGAGATGTTAAGGGGAGGAAGAAGAAGCTATGGGCGGAAGTAGGGAGACTTCCAAATTGAGAAAAAAATTTCTCAGGACCAAAAACAATAAAGATGACAGGTAGAGTAAATATCAATTCCCCAACTGTATCACTCTAATCCTACACCAGCTTTGGTAGGCATCAATAAATACGAATGCGTGAAGCGAATTCAGAGAGACAGAAGAGAGACGGGAGAGAGATCGCCCCGAGACTTCGTTCCACTCGCCGAGCGCGAGACAATGCACGTAAATATCTGCTGATGTGAACCTCTGACATCAGCCTTGAGCCAAACTTTCCAAATCAGTTAAACAAACTTCGCTAACTTCGCAAGCCAAACCTTACCAGCTTAACCAAGTGTTGCGTTCAATTTAGGAACGGGTTGGGTCGACCAACACCTGTATGCTAACACGTAGACACTCACAATTATTAACATTGTAAAGTACTCGATATAAAAATAGTAAATAATTTTTTATATTATTTCGAGTGTTGTTTTTCTTCTAGTTTACTGTACAACTTTGCTCTACTTGGACCAACCCAACACGAAGATACCTTCTATGAACCGATCTTGATGAAACCAATCACAACGTGGGATAGGGCAGGTTAGGATCAAAGAGATCACAATCGATCTGCCGCAATGCTAGACGTATTGGACGATCATGGAGGGTATAGAGTTACAGATGGTTCCCATTAATCATAAACCTGACTCTGAAGCCGTTACATTATAAATGTCACAGATATATCCCATTTTCCTCTATTTTCACTTTTAACATAAATCATTTTAAATTAATAATCGTCGCGGAAATCTTATACAAAGATTCACTGAAATATCAACTTTTAGTATATGCATATATGTTATAAGTTTCAGTCAAGTATGAAACGAAATCACATGTTCAAACGCCACCAATTGAAAAACGCTAAAAGTTTTGTTTTAACCAAATACATGAACAGAATTTTTTTTTTTTGTGATCAGAAATTGCTTAAATAGACTAAATTCATCTAACGATTTATTAACATTCAATAATTCTCAAACTAATTTTTCAATTTGGTTGTTTGGAAATAAAAATGTTAAATTGCTATTTTTTATGTTGCAGATGGCAGGGAAGTGTGCATGGTAGAAATAAATGACTGTATCGTTCGCTACAAAAACGGAATTGATAAACTATCAATATTGAGGAAACAAGGTAAATATTTGAGTAGGTAGCTGTGGTTCGTTCAGGTAAAATTCAATTGTGATGCATAAAAATTTCGGAATTTTTATTACTAATCTTTTGCTAATAACTTTTGTTCCAACAAGTAAGCCGTTTTGTTGCAGTACTAAGAATTCTCCGAAATATGATATTTCTCTTCGTTAACTTTTTTTTTAGAATATCTGTAACTCGTTGAATATAAATTTTTACAATAGCAGACTCTTGCTAAGATTTTTCAGTGTACACACGTAAGTCTTTCAAGTACACTTCGGTGCTTTATCACTTTTAAAATTAAATTTACAAAGTTTATTTTAGAAAAGTAAGGATATAAAGGAAAAACCTGTGTTTTTACTAGTTTTGAGAATTATACTTATTTTTCATAGAACCACTGAAGTGAATCTAAATCTAAAATCTAAGTCTTAACCTTTACAGCCAGTCACTTTTACTTTCACTGGCATAAGTCTAGACACTTATGAACTGATTAGTACAAGCTTTGTTCATGGTATAAATAATAATAATAATAATAATAATAATAATAATATCCACTGCAATCAATCCATAAAACACTTCAAAAATATTATCAATGCTAATTAATAATCCCAGTGAAGTCCTAGAATGGATCACTGAAGGTAATATACATCTTCTAACAAATACGGATGAAACAGATGATCCAAATGATTATAGGCCAACAACATGTCTGCCCACAACATATAAACTGATCACGTCTGTGTTGACGAACTGTAGTTACTCGTTTCTCGATGAAAACGGCATTCTTCCCTCATACCAGAAGGGATGTCGGAGAGGTTCGTACAGATGCAAAGATATTGATAAATGAAATGATCCTGGATATTTGAAGGAAAAAGGTAGTAATTTCAGCACAGCTTAGATGTTTTTCAAGGAGACACTTTATCTTCTTTTTTACCAATATTGTTAAACAATACATGATATGGGTATTAGAACAAGAATAAAAGCATAAATGATTTATTTTTTATTTTACACAGATGATTTAAATTATATACAAATAATGATGATGAATTGAAAGGGCTTTTAAAGACAGCGAAAAGTTTTATATTTATGCGCTTATATATCCATGGAATTTGAGCTAGATAAATGTGAAAAGGCCAACTTTGAGCAAAGGAAGCTTATTAGTAGTGTGAATATAATTCTTGTTGTAGATACTGTGGTTAAGGAACGCGACCAGGAAGATAAAAGTATCAGAGTACGAGTAACAATGAAAACTGAATTGAATTAAAAAAATATAATAAAACCCCTTAACACTCTTGCTATCACAGTTGTAACATAGATTTAACATAATAAATTGGAACATTCTTAAGCAACTTAAGAAAATTGATGCAAAAATTAGCAAACAACTCACATGCAGTAGAATCCTCTACCCTATGACAGATGTTGATCATCGGTGTCTGCAAAGGGGATTTCAATGTTTCGACACGGAAAAGCAGGAAGATCAAGTGAAAATATAAAATTAAAGTAATAAATGAAATTTCAGTAATCAAGGACATTTTTTTAAAGAGAAACTGAAATTAAAGTCACATAGGGCAACACGATATGAAAAGCATTGTAGGTTCTCTCGCTTAAATAAGATATTTAAAACAGACTCAAGAAATTCTACAGGGAAATTGGAAAAGAAGTTACACAAATTAAAAAGCCACTATCTGTTGCAAAGGTTTTGGGAAAATATTTGGAGCAAGTCAAAGGAATATAATCTAAATGCCAGAGTGGATCAAAAGCGAATGAGAATGAAAGAGTGATAAACCTGCACAAGAATGAAAAATCTAATCAAGAATAATGTAAGGCGAGCTTTAACAAAATCACAAAAATGTAAACCCTCACGAAATGACAAGGTATCCAACATGTCATCAATCCATAAAACCCATGCTCAAACTTTATCAATGCTAATATTACATATCTTCTACCAACGACGGCTGGAACAGATGATCTACAGTTTATAGATCACTAAAATTCCTGTCCATGATATCACATCTGTGTTAACTAACCATAGTTACTCTTTTCTTGATGAAAAAAAAATTCCTTGGAACATAAAAGCTTCTTAAGAGATTCGTATAGCTACAAAGATAAACTATTGGTAAATAAAATGATCCTGGATATTTGCAAGAAAAAAATGTTAAAAATCTCAGCACAGCTTGGATAGATTATCGTAAAGCCCTTGATAGTGTGCCACACTCTTTGATCATTAAGGCTTTGGAAAGGTACTATATCTTCTCAGTGATAGTAAAATTCCTTAAATATTGCATGGGCCTTTGGAAAACCACACTATACCTTAAACACACCAAAAGCACTGCCAATTCCAGTCGTTTGAATATCCGACGAAGAATTTATCAAGGAAACTCCCTGTCACCCCACCTGTTTTGTCTGTCCCTAATCTACTTTCGCATGAACTAAACATTAATAATTGTGGATATAACATGAACAATATTTAATCACTTATTCTATGTGGATGACATAATACTTTTTGACAAAGGCAACAATGAGGTGAAAGGTAACTCAATACTGTAAAATGTTTCAGTAATGACATAGGTATGGTTTTCGGATTAGATATATGTGCAAAACTAACATTCAAGAAAGGAAGAATTACTGAAACACGCTCAACAGCTCTCAATTTTGTCACAAAGATTAGAAAAGAAGAGAAAGAAGGAAAATATGAATACCTAGAAGCCAGAGTAGGAGATGAAATACATCATACCTAAATGAGCTAGAAACTAAGAAAAGAATAATACTGTTAAATATCGACTTGCATTCACAAAAATCAATATCAGCAAGAAACTTTCACTGGCCCTGTGATGCAATACAGTTTCAACATCCTTAACTGACATTAATTGAATAGATGTAAAAACGAGAAAGCTTCTCTCTTACTAACGTATGCACTTTTCTAAGACCGATGTTGATCGTTTGTATATGTCCAGATCCGAAGGAGGCAGATAACTAGTTTAACTGTTTCACAAAAACGACAAAAATCTCTCTTCAAAGGTACGTAAAAACTACAAAAGAACATGAAAGAGACAAAAAACTTTATTCAGTAATAAAGGAAGCCAACAAATTCAAAAAGGGAATTTCAAGTGGATGAAGAGCAAATACGCCATAATACATTTACTGTGGCGACGGAGAAATTATAAAAGAATGTAAAAGCAAATGCAATGGACCAAATGCAGGAACGATGGCAAGATAAACCTGCGCAAACAAACCCCGGATCCATTTTTAGTTGTATTTTGCGGGGTTAAAAACCGAAATCGAAGGTTCTATTCTTGCCTCATCGTACCACTACTTATTAACTAGAATTTACCAAGAAAACACTGAAAAATTGTGTTGACTTCAGATGCAGATTCTGTGATAAATATACAGAAACAATTGACCGTCTTGTCCCAGGTTACACGGTATTAACATCCACCGAATCTAAAACTCGGCATAACTGGGTGGGCCAATATCTGCACTGAGAAATCTGAAACATTCATGGGAAGGAGACTGAAATAATTTGGTATGAGCACCACCCAGACCCGGTTACAGACATAGAACCAGTAACAATTTTATGAGACATTACAATGCACACAAACAGAACAATCAAAACTAATTCCCATACAAGACCACAAAAACAGAACGTGTTTTCTTATTGACATGACACTTCCTGCAGACAGTAATGTATCTTTGAACATGTTCGAAAGCTATCAAAATAAAAGGATCTTGTAGTGAAAATCTAAAAGATGTGTCGCATGAAAACGTCAATAATTTCAGTTGTGTCGGGGGCTCTATGTTTGGTTGGAAAAGGTTCTGATAGACTTAATAAAGGGATCCTGGGCAGGCCATGCTTTAAAGAAATACAAAAGCATTGTTATCACAGGCACTGCTCACACCTTGTAAAGGTTTAAAATCTGTGTGTTTTAGGTTGTTTTATTTTGATTTTTGGCAAAAATTTTCAGTGGAACATCTCTTGATATCATTTCTGATTTTAGATCTCTGTCTGGTTGGGACCCGAAAGGAAATGAGTATACAACATCAGTCAACAGAAATAATAATAATAATAATAATAATAATAATAATAATAATTACAGAAGAATTACAGAAACACACTCAGTAGATTTAGATATGGCACAAAAATTAGGGAATTGGAACAAGAAAAAGGCTATAGGTACCTAAGAATTAGCGAAGGAGATGAAATACAGTATACTAAAATAAAGGTAAGAAACGAGTACATGGTACTGAATACCGAGCTGAATTCAAAAAACAGAATATCAGCCATAAATACCTTGGCTGTCCCTGTGGTACAATACAGTTTCAACATTCTTAACTAGACCATATCTGACATTAAGCTAATGAACGCCAAAACGAGAAAGCTTCTCACCTGTCACCTCATGCATCAACCCAAAGCTGATGTTGAACAACAATTGGCCTTCAAAAATACCTTAAAACTACAGAAGGCTGGATGATGATATGTGTCAAAGAACATGAAAGTAATAAACTACTTTATTCAGTAATAAAGGAAGCCAACAAGTTCTAAATGGAGTTACAAGTCGGTGAGGAAATGCAAGTAAAGCATAATACACGACTGAATCTGGAAAATACTTAAAAAAGAAAGTAAAGGTATATGCAACCGACTAAATACAGAAACGATGGCAAGATAAACCAAACAAGCTGACGTAGATAAACCCCGTACCCATCATTAGTTATGTAGTGCTGTGACACCCACCGGTGGTCGAGGTCGCAGTCCAGCGCCAATATGTGACGTCCACTGGTCGCGACGTCAATATATGACACTGCACCGTCGGCCCGTGGTCAACTTGCGGCGGGAAGCTGTAAGGTTTCTTCCAGCGTTTTGGGGTTGACTCCTTGTCGCTGCCACTAGCCTGTGTCCCGTTCGATACCAGCTTTTTCATTCTCAGCTCGTCTCCAACGCTTGGTCACTGAAGTAACTGCCTTGATCTCAAGTCCAACCTACCCACGTTGTGATTTTGATCTTAGGTAGCCGAAATCAATCAGGCGTCGGGCCATAGTGCAAGCTGAATTCGGGGTAAAGGTGATACCGCACAAGCGTAAGTAAAAGAAAATAATAAAACAACTCAAGAGGTTCAAATATGTTGAGAAATAACAATTATCTTTATCTATCTGTTGAATACAGGAGTGTGTTTTTCTCCCCGCCCGTTTCTATGGATTCGTGACACTTCTTGCGAATTATGGTATCTTAAGTCGTTCGTCAATAAAAAAAACAAACAAACTTGCTTTTGGTAGGAAGACTAAGTCGAGAGGACTTGGAAATCTTTCGGTCAGCTTCTGCGAGGCTGGTCTCTAACTTCTCGAACTAACTCCAAACTCGAACTGTCTGGAACTGACTGCAACTCCGAATTCTCGTTTATATGGACACCGACCAACTCCGGGGTGGGGGCCTGACGTGGTTTGGGTTCCTTGACAATTCTCAATTCCCAACAAGAATTATCTTTGTTCTTAGACCAGGAAAATTAATTACATCCCATTTTTGGAATATTAATCACTTTCCATTTAGGGGATTTCTACCTCGTCCGTGAGAGAAGGTCGGAAGAGAGTTATCCTCTTAAACTCTTCCTCTCTCACATTGGTATCTCATACCAATCCCCTCAGTGGGCGTTAACAACTTCTCCGTCTTTCTCATACATTCACCACCACCTATCACCCATTCTACCTCTTAGCCAATGATCTCTCGAAAAATCCCTTTTTTCTTTTTTTCCTTTTCCTTCGGCCAAGACATTTACAAATCCCAGATTACCAATTAATTCTTTATCACATCCCAAATCCACTTAGCTCGGACATCTATCAACTCATTAATCATTGTTAAGAACCCGACACCTGGGTTCTCCGCTAGTCAACTTTTAACTGGGTAGTCGTGTTTACCTGATAATTAAATTCTTTATTTTTCTAAAAATTCTCTTATCACAAGATGCTCATTTTCGAGACGCTATGTTTGACGTGAACAGTTTGAATACGCAATAATAATGATCCCATTTTCGATTTTCTTTCTCATGTCAAGATTCGTGCATATACCAGATGGCTTCCCTCGTTGGAACCAGGAATTAAAGTTAAATGATATCTCTGAAAGATAATTAATATCTAGTCCCAAGCCGATTTTTTTATGGCCGCATGCGTTGGTTGGCTTTGTTTTTCTTTCAGAATTCTGTTTCGTTTGGCGCGTCACTCCCTTATCGTGACATTAATTTTGACAGAATCACAGTCTCGCTTTTTCTTACGGATTTTCTGTCTTTTGCGAAAAGTATCTTTTTTTGTAAATAAAATTAATTCTTCTTTTTAATGTAGCTCAGTCTATCTTTCGATATAGCTCTTTCTCGCCTTAAGTATTTCCCGTTTTTGATTTCTGTGGTTAATTAGTTAGCTAATTACCATAGCTAAATAGTGTCACAGTGCTGGGTTAAAAGCTGAAACTGAAGGTTTTATTCTTACTGTACAGCACCACTGCTTGCTCACTAGAATTTACCAAGCACATATACTAAAAAATTGTGTTAACCCAAAATGAATATTCTGTGATAAATATTCAGAAATAATTGATACATCTTGTATCAGTGTGCACAGTATTGGCACACATTGAATATAAAATCCGGCATGACAGAGTGGGCCAATATTTACACTGGAAAATCTGCAACTTCTACGGAAAGGAAACTGAAAGAAATTGTTATGAACACAGCCCAGCCCCGGGTACAGAGATAGGACCAGTAACAATTTTATGGGACTTCACAATACACACAGACAGAAAAATCAAATCTAATCGCCCAAACAAAAAAGTGCATCATCATTGATATAGCAGTCCCTGCAGACTGTAAGGTACCTTTGAAGGTTTTCAAAAAGCTATCAAAATACAAGGACATTGCAATCGACATCTCAAAAATGTGACATATGAGAATATCAACAATTTCAGTTGTAGTTGGAGCCCTCGGATTGAATGGAAAAGATTCAAATAGACTCATTGAAGGGATTCCTGACAGCCAATGCCTTAAAGAAATTAAAAAAATTGTTCTCGCGAGTACTGCTTACACCTTACGAAAGGTATTATCTATGTAATGTATGTGCGATATTTTTTCATTTTCTCAGCAGAAAATGTCATTAGGTCTCCGATCGGTACCCGGAAAGAAATGAGTACACACCAGAAATCAAATCAAATAAAATAATGATAATAATTTTCCCGTGTATTATTTCTTTACAGATTGCAAGAAAGTGATCAACTTAGTGGCATTAATTGTTGGAATTATTGGTGGAATCTTCCTTGTTGGAATTTTAATTTTGATACTGTGGAAAATAATCACTACTTACCAAGATAGACGCGAATTGGCACGGTTTAATAAAGAAAGAGATAACGCCAAGTGGACTCCGGTAAGTTTTTCTCAGATAAAAAGTTATCAACCATTTATTTCAATGCTTTTTCTACTATCAAGACATATAACACTATCTATCTATCTATCTATCTATCTATCTATCTATCTATCTATCTCATAAATATAATTTCTGATAGCGTTTTTTATTTTATTTTCAGCAATCAAATCCACTATATGTCGATGCTTCAACTACCTTTCAGAATCCGATGTGGAATTCAAATCCTAATCAGTGATAGAAAAGATACTTTTCATATATAATCTTTCTAGATCCGTTTATTTAGGCAATGTTCTCATATTTGCAGTAAGTATCGATAAAAAATACGCGATTTGCATTCAATTTATAACTTTTTAGAAACAGAATCTTCTGACTTCTATTTAACAACAAATCATTTTCTCTCATCGATTACTTACAAAGCTTACATAGTTAATTTAGATTTAACTAAAATCTCTCAAGCATATTTTTTAAGATAATAACAATAATTTGTTATATTTTATATTATAAATATATATATATACATATATATTTGTTATATATTTTATCGATGGAAGAATTGACAGATCCTTTAAATAGACAATCATTGTTCAATTAAATTTATGATGAGTGAAATTTTCAAGTTTGTTCAAACTATTATCTTCATCTTTATTGGAGTTGCGACATTTCAATAGATTATATTTTACTCTTCATTGATGAACTTTGCATCCAGTTTCTATATAAAAAATGAAATGTAAAACCAGATACAATATACAGTTTAGAAAGTTAAAGTATGGCTTGATCGAAAATGTTTGAATAATAACGATAAAGATTATCATATTAGTCTGAATAAGTTATGGAAATATGAAAGGCTTTGTCTCAGAAACAAATTTGTTTTTCTCTTACGCATTTAATTTTTAATTTCATTTGGTAGCAGACTATAACTAAAGGTTCAATAAAAAGCAAATAAATAAAATCAGTTTAAAATATTTTTAGATATTTTTAAAAAAATATTTTCTTAATATTTTAAAATATATATTAGATATTTTACCATCAACCGAGTTGGTGCATGTGAAAATTATAACAGGGTTGTAAAATTGCTTTTCTCAAGTAGATAAACGTTTTAAAAGTTAGTTATAATTCTATGTATAATTGTAGTTTTTATTTATTATACATAAAATGAATCACAGATATTTACAAAATATTGCCGGAGAATTTCACAATGGGAAATTGCTTCAAACATGCTGAATTTTATGGTTTCAAAATTAAAATGAAATTGATGAACTTGTTTTTTTTTTTTTTTGATTTTTTAATCATCAGATTTTAAAATGAAATTTTATTTATCATATATTCTTGTTAAATCAATAAAACATTGTAATTACACTTTTTTCTTTGACATTAGTCTTGGTAAATAAGTTTCAATTTTTAATATTATTTATTCATTCTGCTTTTAGTATAAAGCCTAGATATTGAAAATTTACACGAGTACATAAACTTGTGACTCTATCTCACTTTTTATTGTTTGTAATGAAATAATTTTGAAGTTAAAATTATTTGAAAATAAACCAAGAAACCTTGGAAGGATCAGTATTGAGATCAAAACTCTGCTTTGGTGAAATCGAATGAAATAAATATTTTTTTATTTTAAAACTGATAATTAGTAACATGTGGTCATAAATTATTTTTTTAAAAAGGATCCAAACTCATAATTCATGTCAAGTTGACCTAAAATCTTTGAAGTAAATGGATTTTGTCATTTTCAAGATTTAATTTGAAGTCACTTAAATGCAAGAAAAAATATTGAAGTTTTTTTATGTTCCATCTTTTTCCATATCTGCGTCTAATTTTGTCACACCACACGTAATAACAAAGAATTAACGAATAAAGTAATGATATGCTTCATGAAAGTAAAGATTAAATAAAAAATAGTAAAACCGTCTTCAGCAAAGTTTCATAAAACCTCTTCAGCAAAGTTTTATTTAGCGAGCATGTCAATAAGTGAGCGGAGAAACCAGAGCAACATAAGTTTGATTACTCTTCCAAAAAATCCCATCCTCGGAAAAACGAGAGAAAAAATCGGCGTTTCCTATGTTAAATTTTCTACGAAATAAATCAGATTATACATGTTTTCTTATTAACGTAGAGTCGCAGCTGTAAAAGAAAATGAAAAATGCTAATACAATGTAAGTAAATACTGCAGATGTTAGATTATTTTTCGTGGGGTCTGTGTTTTGAATAATGAAAAGTTTTTAAAAAATGCACACGTGGAGGGTAAAATTAGAATTCCAAATATCAACGAAGATCTCAGTTTATTAGGATATTTGTTTTTAAGAGATAGAAGTAGACATAGATATAAACAGTAATAGAGAGAAAGAAAGACACACGCGCGCACACACATACACACATATATATATACATATATATGTACAGTCCCCCTCCAAAATTATTGGAATGGCAAGGCCAATTCCATTGTTTTTGTCGTTCACTGTAGATATTTGGATTTAAAGTCAAAAGATGAATATGAGAAAAGAATTCAGAATTTCAACATTTTTTTCCTGGTATTTGTGGCTGGGCTACTCGTGACAAGACAGCGTGAATTATTAGAGTTCAAACGGACAGGACGAATGAGATATTACATTTTTAAAATTGTTCGGAACATTTAAAACCCTCATACCAGCTAGAATTATTTACGGTATGAGACAAATAGAACGGACTCAGATGACATTCACATCCAAAGAAAGAGCTGCAGAAAGATAACCAGCAGCCTAGTTCTTTAGCTTACTTAGAATAGAAGACCTACCATGACGCACAATGCTAACAGCGTCGAACCAGGGTTCGTGATGTCGCTAATTGGACTGAAGATGACTGGAAACTATTGCAGTTAGTCTCGAGCTGACAGTGATGTACAGTTGGGGTTCAGATCCCATGAAACTGTTGATCACAGTTTACAGCAAGGACGCATTTAGGGTAGTGGAAGATCCATTAGGTTTAGGAGTATTTTCCCATCGTGTGGATTCAGCCCTCTAATCAGACTAAACACATCAATTGGTGGCTGCTCCGTTGCACTGCTAAGTGATTTTTGCACTAATTCATGAACACCACCCACCTCAACAACGATAGGTTATTCCAGCAGGAAAATACACCGTGTTGCCCAGAATTGGTTTGAAGCGCGTTCTGGAAATTTCTAAAGCGTGGCCTTCGCGTTTGCCCAAAATAATCCCAAAGCGGTGGATAGTTATGTCCGCATTCAATATTCTGTACCTAAAATATCAGGGGTCTGTGGAGAGCTACCGCGATTGTATGGTTTAAGATTTCTAACATGTCGAGCTGTTGCACTTCACTGAGTCCTACTCGACACTAAGCATATATTCCACAACTTTTGGCATGAAAGTACAATAAAACAATATTGTTTCCCTGGACATTTATGCTAAAGAGATGCAGAGATAAAGAGAGAGTGAGAGAGATTGAGAGCGAGAGAAATTATAGCACTATTTAAATGATGGACAATATATAAAATGAAATCGTTACTGGTCTTTTATTGTTTCAAATCAGAATCTGAGTAATGTTCTTTTAGAAAATGGGATTAATACTGGGCAAATTGTTTTAATTTGTATTGTTTTTAATAAAATATTTAATTCGATATATTGTGACGGTTACACACCTGGCCCAGTGTCGGACCCTTTGGTTACGGCGCCAACGGTGACGTCGCTCCTCCTGGTCGCTCCTCCTGGGTCCAAGCGTGCCGCTCCAACCCTTTGGTCAGATGATCACCAGCCTCGCCTTTCCCGACTCGCTTCCAATACCTGGTCACTAAAAGCAACTATACCGATCTCCGGTCTGTCTACCCACGCTGTGTTTAGATCTTAGACAGACGGGACCAGCAGGATCGGGGCCGATACAAGTTGAGTCCGACGGGGGTGGCAAAACACAAATAAAATAAAACTCACGACACCAAACAAAATTGCCGATAAAAGGGTAACAACCTTTTATATCTTAAAGTCCGTTACATAAAAACAAAATTGTTCTCAATTCCCGACCCGCTCTGTGGACTATGGCACCAAGCTTCTACCACACAATAGGAAAATGTCGAATTACCTACTTTCTAGAATCATGTATGTATGTCGGAGTGTGGTTCAGTTCGACACTGGGGCTAATTTCTATCGATCATTCGCAGTTGATTCTTCTCTCCGACTTGAGTTGTATTTCTTCTTCTTCTTCTACTTGGGCTGGAAGTTCTTCTTGTCTGTGTAGAATAACAATAATAAAAAGCACTTACCGGCGTAAGAGTTCCAACTAGCGTCCAGCTGGCAGACAAAAATAAAGCAGGTTGTAACTTAATACATATCCTGCAAACTGAGAAATCATGGAAGTATTACTATATAAATACTAGTGTTGGGTGGGATGGTATGTAGTCACGTAGTCGGCGGTGGAGTAGTAGTTGAGCAGGGGATAGCCCAATGTTTTGAATGGGCGTATTCCTGTATTGGAGGATGGCTCTTGCTGCACGGTTATTATCCAATGATCCTTGGGCTCCTGTGTTGCCATTTACGATTCTCTTGGCTGTTTTGACATGAGCTCTGCTCGACCATTGGATTGTGGGTAACCAGCAGATGATAACCTTTGTTTAACAGCCCAGTCTTGCAAAAATTGCTTGAATGGAAGAGATGAAGGGTGGCCCACCATCACTGCTGAGTTCCTCAGGAGCGCCGTAGGTTTGAAATATGTCTCGGCAAATCGAAATAATCCTTGAGGCATTAGCTTCTCCGTGGCTCAAGTGGTATAGATTCAGCCAGCCCGTTAACCTGTCAGCGCATGCTAAGTAACCATGGTTTCCAACATGGAAGATGTCCATGACGATTTGCTGAAATGGCCAATCAGGAGATGGTGTCAAATTGATTGGCTCTTTTGGTTGACTCAGGGCAATTTTTGAGCAGAACGTACAACCTGCTCTAATATTACGAATTGAAGCATTCATCCCGGGCCAATAAACAGATTCATTGGCACGTGCCTTCATGCCAACTTCGCCTTGATGCAGAATGTAGGCTATGTAATATTTTTGCGCGTTGTGAGGTGGGGATAACAATTCTTTGATCTAAGAGCACTAACCCGTCGTCAACATAGGCGGGTGCCTCACTTCCCAATATTCGCGGATTTCAGGTGCAGTGAGGATGCGCGTTCTTTGGAATCCGTTTTGTATTACTTCTATTAATTTTTTGTATTGCGGGTCGCTGCGTCCCGCCGTACGGATAACGTCTGCTGAGATGAGCTCCAGGTTGTCATTTGCACCGAATGTTGCTAATAAAGTTTTTGATTTGACCCACATTCATCCATGTTGTCAGACTCTATGATGTCTGATTGAGAGGGTTCAGCAGTGAATACATTTAGGAGTGCCTGTGAGATGTCTGCTGGGTTACGAGAGACAGCATCGGAGGCTCTGTGCCATTTCCCAGGGCAGTGCTGAATGGTGAATCTGTACCTGAGGGTTTTTCTCCTTTAACCTGAATAATCGGGGTTTTGGATTTTACTAAGGTCTCTATCTCCGAATAATCCTTTTTTAGTGGTTCATGATCTGTAACCACTATGAGATTCGGGCAACCCATTACAAAAATCCGACATTTTTCCAATGCCCATGCAATTGCTGCTGCTTCGCCTTCAATAGGTGCATATCTGCGTTCAGCATCAATGCAGAATCTGCTACCAGCAAATATCAGGCGCCAACCTTCAGGGCAGCAAACTGGGGCTTTGTCAGTGGTGCATGAGCAATACTTCTGCAGAAGTAGGAAGCCCATTCCGTCTTTGCTCCAATCTGGGGCAAGGCAGGTTATTCTTTCTTTTGAAATGTTGCGATGCCTTTTCGGACTAAGTCAACTATGACCTTTTTGACTGCTGGAATGCATCTTCCAGGCTTTTATTCCATGTAAAGTGTGAGTCTCGTTTTACGAGATCACGAAAATGACTGGGCTTAGTGAATATGCCCAAGCGACTTGGTTGACCAGCCCAAACCATGATCTGGCATCGGTGAGTGTTTTTTGGTATTGGGAAGCTCAATATTGCCTCCAGCATGGATTTAGAAGGGGTTACACCAGAAGATGTTATTTTGAGGCCCCAAACTGCACCGTGTCTTGGCAAAATTGGATTTTTTCTCTATTTATTACGATGCCGTTTTTGCACAATGGAGGAGAAAATCGAAGGTGTGAAAAAAGGCTCCTTCGATGTCAGAGTCATAGAGTAGGGTGTCATCCACGATTTTTACTTTCCATGATTTCTCAGTTTGCAGGATATGTATTAAGTTACAACCTGCTTTATTTTTGTCTGCCAGCTGGACGCTAGTTGGAACTCTTACGCCGGTAAGTGCTTTTTATTATTGTTATTCTACAGTCTGAGGGTTCTTTTCTCGCTGCCGTCCGGGGATGAACTCTGCCGTAACTCTGCCGTAACTCTGCCACAACTCTTGCTGCCTGTCTGGCCTGCAATTCTTCATCTTATCTGCCTGCAATTCTTCGGCCTGTCTGGCCTGCAGCTCTTCTTCTTATCTTCGACTTGGCTGTAATTTTCTACGGCTTTTGAGCAATCTTCTTCTTCGATTTGGGCTGGAAGGATTTCTTGTCTGAGGATTCTCTTGCCCGCAAAGGGGCGAGTGAATCGGGCCTGATGCCCGCGTTCAGGCTCTTTCCCTGCCCGCGGTTCAGCTGCAACTCCACTCCATCTGCAACTCCAACTCAACTGATTTCTGTCGACTGGGGTCCTGCTTATATTGACGCCGCAACAAACTGGGGTGGGTCTGTCGGCGTCAGGGTTTTTCTCGATAATTCCAAAAACTGCATTAATTCTGTCTTCTCCATTATCGCTATTGTTTTTCGCCCTACTTCCTCGCAGTACCTTTGGTGGGGCGGCGCACATCCATCTCTCTTAGTCTCTCGTAAGGTGACCGCTTTTCAAACCAATCGTTCCTGATCGAGCATTTCTTTCCTTTTCTTCCGCAGGTCACGTGATCGTATTCGACCAATTGTTATTGATCGAACATTTCTTTCCTTTTCTTCCGCAGGTCACGTGATCGTATTCGACCAATTGTTATTGATCGAACATCCTCTCCCCTCTGTTTGCGGGCGTGGTTACATCGTTCTTGTTTAAAAAAACAAAATCCAATTTTGCCCCTTTTTGCACGTACCAAAAAATGACAATCTTTGGCTTTTCTCACCTGGACTTTGTCAAACAGCCCGCTGCTAATTAGTCTTGACTTTAGAAAGGATCTTTTCCGCCTTCTTGGCGCCCTCTGTGAGCCAAAAGCAATTGTCCCTCTTTTTACCTCTTTGTTTTTCCTGATAGTCGAAAATCTTAATTATCTACATTGAAATGTCTCTACTTTATTAACGTGGGTGTCCAATTCTTAACAGGTCTGTATATCGTTCCACCGGTCACTCCCCTCAACCCAAAGACACTTTTTCTCTGATTAAAAATTGTTTCATTGTTCCTAAAATTTTCTTTATCCAAATTGATAAGGTGTCTTTCCATGCAAAAAGTAGGCCAGGTGCTTGACCGACATTCTTACCAAAATGACTTTCGAAAAAATTGACCTAAATCTCTTTCTGACTCCTATCTCCACCCTCAATTGGGTCATGCGTCATACATTTCTCTTTTTTTCTTTCCTTCCTTCCTTTTTTCCTTTCTTTCCTTCTCCTTTTCCTTAGGATCGTCTAGTACACTCTTAGTGAATTATTTTCAACTCAGTTATTTTCCGTTTAAAAAAAAAAAAAAATTAACAACCTGTTTAGTAACCGAGTAAGAAAAAATTAAATCATATTTCTATGAATATTTCTAATAATGCAAGGTGCCACAATATTCTTCATCATTCCATTTTGGAACCGGTGGTCTTAAAAGGTCACTTTTTACTTTTTAGCCTATTCAACTCGAACGTTAAATTTTAAGGATTGGAAGTTAAGGTTACATATTAATAATGTACATGTAACATGTTATGACAACATAATGTGATTCTGTTCTTATTGCAAAATATAAAAACATGGAAAAAACTTCACATCAAAACTTGAAAAACTCTCTTGTAGCCTTGAAACTCTGAAAAAATAGATCATTTGTTAATCTAGTTTGAATGTCGCAAATGGACAGAAAATGAAAGAATAAATAAAACATTAATGAATTTATTTTTATTCTCGCTTTATAGATTTACATATAGTTTTTTTAAAATTTGCTTTGTGATAATTTTTATTGTTGCTGGTATTTACTGCACCTGGTCAGCTTTATCAGAAATGAAAATCATGTAACATTCAATGAGGAGCTTATTGAAGTTTGTGAGATAGCGTTAATAGTTGCATTCTCGCTGGAACTATTGTGTGTTAACAGGGTCATCCATTCAAAAGCCACGTGGGATTTTCATAGGTTGTTGATGGTTTAATAAACAACGGATTCATTTGCTGAAGAAATAAAAGGAATTTCAGAATGAGTGATATTTTCATTATTTTCATAAAGTCCACGATCAAAAAGAGATTTTTTTTAATTAAAAACATTGATTGATTCTTGCATTATAAGAATTCTCTGAGATTGACTTGAGAAATACTGATAAGTTTCGGAAAGTAAATGAACCGAAGCATTTCACTGATGAATTTCCGGGTGTGTATTGAAAATTTCTCTGCCCGCCCAAGAAAGGATTCCTAAACAATTCTGATGTTTAGTCATTTCGTCAAATTTTGGGAAATGAATCGGGCCAAGAACTTTTCAGAATTTTCTCAGAAAATTTAATCCCCACTTTCATGTGAACTGTATTTGAAATATGCTGGAAAATAGATCCTGCCACAAAAACGCGAAACCTAACGTTTAAAATAAATTATTAATAATTAACCTAATTTGATTAAAAAAGGAATTATTGGAAAGTTAAAAGAAGGAATAAGAATCAGTCAACCGACAGTCTCCAGGCTATTAGCAGGAATGAATTTCAAACAAAAGAGATTAGTTTGACTTCCCGAAGGCAGAAACTTTGATTTCACTCTTAATACAAGTGGAGAATGTGTTATCAATTATGGATTCGAATTTGACCAGTTTTGTTTTCGTCGGCGAAACAGGGTTCAATCTACATACGAACCGCCACTATGGATATACACTGTACAACTGCAAAGCATGCAAAATCGTCCTACCCAACAGAGGACAAAATTGTGGTATTTTATATGTCGTTTTTTTAAAAGGAATCGCTGCTCATCCAATTAGTATTAGCGCAATTATTGTTGTAACTCTTTATAAACTAAAACAAACAAACAAACAAACAAACAAACAAACAAAAAACAGAAATTGATAATAATGAACAAATATGAAATTCCACTGCTCAATAATCGCACTAAGTGTAATTATATTTTAATGGGATTTTTGCCATCTTACAGTCCAATGTTAAGCACAATAGAGTCTTTATGTTCTCTGAAGGCAAAATTTTCTGCTGATCTTGAAACTCCATGCAATATAGAGCAATCAAAGAACAAGCTTACTCAGATTTTGGAGGATTTTCCAGGTTTTTACTCTCACAAGACAGAACTTTATGAAAAATATTTGGCCAGAGCACCAATATTGAAACACATCTATGTTAGCATGAAAACTATTTTTCTACTTACCTACATCACCAGTAGGCAAAAATCTTTCGATTCATTAATGGCCTCGTTACTTTAAACAGTAATGGATAACAGTCCCATTACGTTGAACAAGAATATCCTAAAAGTATATTTAACTTGAATAGAATTATCTTAAAATTCGAACGGCGGTATCTGGCTTAGTGAATATTCTGTAATTGCTTTCTATAGCCATTACTCTGACCGTCAATCTCTATGTCGGAAATAAAGAATAAGCATTATTACACACTCGTTTTCTTCAGAAATCTGTCTTAATGAGACAGATGTCTTATTGTCTAGGCTCGGAGACCGTCGGTTACAATCATTCAAATCTTGCTGTAGTGATATTCCTATTTTCCCAGCCATCTGAAACGCTGATTTCGCGTCTCCCTTTGGGTCTAAACAGTTTCAGTTCCGCATTGCTTATTATTAACACTAGAATGAAGTCTTAGAGTTATAATAAATAGAAACTGAAATTAATATGAAAGAAATACGAGTCAAGAAATTAATAATAATAGAAAATACTTCAATTAAAATTAAACAAAATTGATAATATGACTAGTAAGAGTCTTCAGTAAGTTTTGAAAAATGCCACAGTGGAAACCAGAAATAAATGCTTACAGTTGTCCAAACTGCATTTGATCTCTCTTTTTTAAAACGGGCCATTTCCCTTTGATCAACAATTGACGTGACGATTTTCCATATGATTAGAATTAACAATCCCAGAAGGAAAATTCCACTGACGATACCAATTATCAAGACAGTTGTCTTAGATTCTGGACATTCTATTAAAAAAGAGAAAATATGATCAATTAAAACTTCGCTACATTCAAAGGAAATTATGGGGATTTATCAAAAATATGCATCAACTAGAAACAATGAAAATTTGTATAATTCAGTGAATATTGAAGCGAGTAATACGAAAAGAAATATAATTTTTTTTTCAAATAGTTAAGTTTGTCGGAAAGTAAAATAGAGGAGAATATGGAATGCGATGTTTTGATGATTAGCAGTTCATCTGATATCTCTTCAGAAACAATGCCACACAAAAGTTTATGAAGTTTGGAAACTGCTAATTATCAAAGCTTTCCCTTTGGTATTTCTAGAAGTATATTCTTGAATGTCGGATCATCAGTTAATTCATTCACGATTTTTCGAAGGCATTGCTAAAAATTAAATTTGAATTAAGTTGGGAAAACTTAAACAAAGGAATCATACCATATTAATTGTCATGCAAATTAATTGTTAATTTAAATTAATTGTTATTTTCAATTAGTTAGCGGCTTCTTTTACTAAGGATGGCACCAAGTATTTACGCTAAGTTTTTTATAAGGTTTCTACTTTACAGCTACAATAGACAACTGTTACACAATGCTTCTGTTGTAGCAAGAGAAAAATTATTAAAAATAAGATATAGTAAAACTTATATAGTATATAAAAGTCCTCATTATTTGAACGAAAAATAGAAGGAGTAAAATGTGTAGAACACTGTTTCCTTAATTAAAATTGTCTGGAACAAACAAGCGATACGATTTTCTTAATTTACATTGTTTGTCTACTTCCAAAAGTTATGGATTACATTGCCTCTCTTTTGCACAGGATCGAATCTCACCTGCACCAAAGCGCTTTTTAGGACGGGAAACAGTAGAACTGTATACGGCGCTTAACGCAAATGCTTACTGATCGTTTTATATATGCGTCAATGTTCAAATTTAAATCAGTGACGTACAAAATTTAATTAATTTGTCACATAATATCCATTTAACAACGTTATGTTATAAAAAAATAATCAGGCATGATCTTTGATCGCGCCAGCCATGATCCAGTTTGGCTATGTCACTTTACTGAATATGTGACAGGGTTTTACCAGTAAAAGAAAAATGGAACCACATTTAAGTATTTATCAATTTATAAAATAGCCTAGAGACAATATAATACTTGAGTTAAAATTCATTGGAATAGACATAGTTTTGTACTATCATTGGATTTCACGTTTTTGTAGTTATTACTGATAAATACCATAGTTAATCTAGTAAATAATAAGTAAGAAAAGAAAAATATTATGTTAGCATTTGTCAGAATTAATAAATTAGTTGCAAATTTAAGATAATAAAATATTTAAAAATGTAATTAACACTTAACCCTTTTTTTTAAGAATCAGAAGTTGTTCCGTTTCATTTTGGATGATCGTCTGATACCGAATGATGCACTTGTCGACCTCCACTTTGCATACCGTTAAGACATCTGCAGAAAAAAAAAAAGAAATATAGAATCAGATACAGAGATCTCACTACATAAAAGTATGTTGGGATATTTATCAATTTTAATTTAGTACTGAAGCACTACAGATATTACCTAATCAGGATTGAACTCACTAGTAATGGAGAATAGTCCCCGGTTTCTTTGTTCATCACACTATATCAAGTGATCGAATATATATATATATATATATATATATATATATATATATATATATATATATATATATATATATATAGTGATAAATCACAAATATGAGATCTATATCTTTAATAATTTTAAAATCAGATCATCTTGAAATTTTACTGCATTCAACAAACTCCTGGCACTCATAGGTCCATGGATATTGCCTGTATAGATTGGTGACAATACTATTAAAATTGTGCTTGTCCCACACTTCGTCATTTCGCACGATCATTATATACTGGCAATACCTCATAAATAATGGATTATTCCGCGTTTTGATCGGGTTTGACTGGTTTCAGCGAAAAAATGAAAGGAGAAAGAGAGAAAGAAGTGAAAATATTAATGGAGAGAGAGAGAGAGAGAGAGGGCAAGAAAGAGAGAGAGAGAGTCAGATTTAGCGGGTAAGAACAGATACTACACTTTGATCCCAACCAAAATACCGAGAAGCGATAATATTTACCTCTCACACATACTGAGTTTAGGTGAGATATTGAATGGGGAATCCAAGCGTTTCCACTCGGGCCATGGTCAAAATTTACTTATTACTTATGCGGGTTCTGGCACAAGGCTTGTTTTAGATGGTCATTGCTTCTCGAGGCGAAAAAGCCGAGAAGCAGTAACAACCGTGATAAAAAGCGATATTTTTCAGACGCATAGTACCGAGCAACGAAAACCGAGTAAGGCAATAGTCAAAAAAATCCAATTGCCATAAATTAAATAAAATAAAATCTTCGGTTGAATTATTTCGAAAATTATTACTAAGAGTAATGTTCGTAAGATAGGGATTTGAATAGAAAGAAGGGAAGATATAAGTGTTTAACATCTCCTGCCAATATCTCATGAATAATGGTCTATTCCGTATAGATTAGTTATAAGAAATTTTAGCGTCATTTTGCAGTGAAAGACACATTGATTAGGAAGTTCTTGCAAAAATCAATAATTGTCGGATTTTAATTAAACTTTCAGAGAAGAAATCCTTGCAGAACTTAAATCAGTAATTTTTGTTTGTAAAATTGGACCCTCAGATACCAAAAATTTGCTCTGAATCGTACAATAAAAATGCAATAAAACTAAGACATTATTTAATTAGAAAAGCTCCTAAATGTTTGTCTTAAACAAAAAATTACTTTCATTTTTTAAAATTTTAATTATAATAATAATATAATATAATAATTTATAAAATTTTAAATCATCAACTTTTTTGTGGGTAAGTCCGCTCATAACATGACATCATTTAAACTCAGGTGTTTTAAGGTTGTTCTCCCTTAAAAAAACTTATAAAATTTACGTCTTGGTTTATTCAGTTTCCATTTGAATTCCTTATCTTTCTATTTGCGGGCCATTTTGAAAATTTTCAAGTGTAATTTTTACTTTCAACTTTTATTTCATAAAAATGGTATTATTTTTTTTATGTTTATTTATTTTTTTTTAGAGTAGTGCTAACATGATATGTTGAAAATTATAAACCGTTTGAAATTGACTGAATATTAATTTTAAATAATGTCAAAATGTTTTAGCAGTTGTTTATATATATAGTTTATTAGTATTAAAAATAAAAAATCTAATTAAAAAAATATTCTACTTTAAGAAATGTTATTTTTTATTTATTTATTTCATCAATTCAAACGAAGCAAGGCGAGAATGCCACTAGTACATAGGCCTTTACAGAGAGAGAAATGAATGGGTATAGTCTTCCTTGTATATGTGATTTTGCTGTTCGATACACTTCCTCTATTAGTTGAAAGAATACGGATTCTTATGGAAGACAGTTTCATATGGGTGAAAAAAGTTACTATTGATGTGATCATATGTAGTTGTGAAATCAACATAGCAGATATATTATTATAATTGATAAATATGCCATTTCAAGAAGTTGTTTCATGACATATATGCGATCATTGCACCTCTTACCAGAATAAAAGCATAATTAGGTTAGGCTGAGTTGGCTTTCATAGAACATTACAAGTCTAGTTAGTAATATATTCATCGCTACTTTTACTATAATAGAACCAGTTTAAATACCTCTGTACATGTATAGTCAGGACTACTTTTCTTTTTCTTTCCACAGTGCATTTATATGCGATATATCCGACAGATATGCTTTTGATTCCACATTTTAATGCGTAATCTATGCTTCCTTAATCTAGTTTCCAATTTCAAAAAGATATTTGTTTTCACTGAATAATAACTAGCTACTTTTAAAACTATTCTTTGTCAGTTACATTTTTCCTTTTGTTTTTCCTTTGCTGCTATTAGTTTTTCAATTCAGAATTGTCGTTCTGCGGAAAGATATTTTTCTCTAATGTTAATTTAGGGACACTTTCACGTGCTTCAGTTAAAGATGATTACATTATACAATTATTCGATGTTAATTGTCGAAATTTACAGATATCTGATTAGATTCTAATTAATCACAAAATGCTCTCTTTATGTTATCTTTTCAAGAACATGAATATTATACTTATGGATATTTTTTATTTACGTGTGCAGAAGTGAACGAAATTAATTGTTGGTGTCTTAGCTTAGATGTAAAGCGTCTATATCTGAATAAATGTATGAATTATACAGTCGAACATCAGCGACAGATTGTTTGGTCTAGGAAACTTAAATGTTAGGATCAATAATATTTTGGGTTATGTCAAATTCTACAATGTTTCATAATAAGGGTTGATAAGCTGTAGAAAACAAATCAATATATAACTCAATTTTTAACGAAATAGTAAAACATAAAGGCTGAGGTGATAGGTCATTTTTACCGTATAGTGAATTGTCAGTCATCAATTTATCTTCCATCGAAACATGTTGAATTTTGCACATACGACGACATTCTAACATGTTTCCGCCATCTTTCGACAACCAACATTTGACACATTTTTTGTTGATTTCACACCAGTTATTGCAAGACTGAAAAATTAAACAATAAACAGATTTTGAAATATGCTGACCTGTTTAATCAACAAAACATTGTGAAATGTTTCCGTTTATATTTGCAACATTCAATAATTTTACAAAACTATTAATTTCTAGTAGTGTTTGGAAGACAGGATGTGATGTAATTTTTGCAGAAACTGAAAGGTGTAACCTGGATGACAGAACCTTTTTGCTATTGTTACTGTTGTGAGGGTTAATTCCTTCTCCCCCTCGGCAAACGTAAATTTAAGTAAAAAAGAATACATTTGAGTATGGGCAAATAAATGTATAATTTATTGACATACATACAAAACTAGTAACTTTTATCTGTTGCTGTTACTATGGCAACGAGGAGAGAGAATGGTGAAATTAGACATTGCTGATGGCTGTTGTTTCTCTGCTAGCGCGTTGGTGTTGACATGCAGGCTGGTTTGTGTCACGTCTCTCAGTTTGCCAGTGTTGACGTCCAAATTGGTTTGTGTTGAGTTTGTTTGAATTAGAGAATATATAACCATTGTTTGCCTACGAATTAAAGTTTTGGTTTTTGGAGCGAAAGTGGCTCTGAATGGTCAATAAATTGTTTGTTTTATTTTGGTTAAAGCGGATGTATGCCTGGAGCCTATGCGCAGAAAACGTATTTCCGTAGTCTGCTTTTGGTCAGCGTGTAGTCAACATCCGGAAGTACGATTTTCGACATCACTTGCATCTATCAATACTTCAAGTAGTTTTATATGTTTATTCATACAAATGTGGATCAATTTACAAAAAAAAAAAAAAAAAAAAAATGAGTTCGATTACTTACTGGACAGTTATCGCAGGTGTCTCCGATGAAGCCAGAATTCTCATCGCATTTACAAACTCCACATTTACATTGCCCGTGGCCATTGCAAATTTTCTACAAAAAAGAAAAAATAAATAAATATAGATGTTGAAATTTTTCAACTTAAAGGTTTTAAAGCACGGCATAAATTTTCAATATAACGAGTTAGACATAAGATTAATTTAGAGTAAATAATGAAGGCCAGCGTAGGAAATGGTATACCGTGATAGCTAAGTATTGAAGGCTAAAAAGAGAAATAGACAAAAAATAGACAAGAAGAAACCCTGAAAATGTGAGTGCAAAAATAAAATTTAAATAGTTAAAGAGAAAGAATGATAAGAGGAGAAAAAAGATACAAATAGAAATAGAGAGGCATTTAGTTCAAAAGTAAGTGAGAGAGCTGTAAATATTGAGACAGAAAAATGTAATAGAAAAGAAAGATATATGAAAGTTGATAGTGGTAAGTAGAAAAAAGAAACAAAATGTAAAGCAGAGAGGGAGAGAGAGAATGAAAGAGAGAGAGAAAGAGCCAGTCTATAACTATGAAATTAACTCACATTATTTTTAGACCTACAAGTTGTCTGACTGGTGGAACATTGACAGCCTTCTCCTTCATATTCCGACGAGCATTTACAAACACCACATTCGCAAGAACCATGGGAAGGCCCTCGAATAGAAAACGAAAAACAAATTTTTATGAAGTGAACACATGATATCCATACAGAAAAGAATACATTTGAACTAATTGAGATTTACTGCTGGTTCAGCCAATTTTGAATAATAGTTTCGTTTCAATGCCTATATGATGAAATGATCAATTTATCAAGCACACTCGATTCATGAAACTGACAGATATTCTGTACGCAATTCTTTTTGAGGAGTGTGCAACAATAATATTAAAACTAATATACCAGTTTTAGTCCTTTGCATGAGCAGAGACTTCATTTAATTCCTATTTAATGTAATTGCTGAATTTATTCTGAAATAGATGAAGTAACAGGATGAAGAAAAGTTCTTTTCAACAGTTTGTAACTTGTAAACATGTTTATAAAAGTGCAGAAGATTTTTATTTTACATCCAAGAAATCAAGGATGAAATCATGTTCAACACTGACAAATTATCAGAACTGCAGCCCCAAAATCTTGGAATGTTCTAATGGTAAACAGAATTTAATTAATGACAAATATGTTTCAAATCGTGTAAAATATTCCTTTTGACCTTGAATAAGCAAAATAATATTTTTCTTCATCTCATTATTCATTATTCTTAACGTATTAGAAAGAGTTAAGAGTTATTTGATCCAGTCTGTAATTCTTGTGCTTTCAAAGTTAACGGTTACTCCAGTAAAATCAAGTATTTTAAGGATCTTTCATTGCTTTTGAGATTGAATTCAATTGATAATTTCAAATGACCGACAAAAGATAAGGGCTTACCTCCACATAACGCCCCATTGTAGTTGGGACAAGAATAATCATCGCACTCACAATAAGTGCCCCTGTAAAACTGTTTTCTGTTGCTGGCCATATTGTGACAAAGACACCTCCCACATTCACAGGAACCTCTCCCCATGCACTCGTCTGTGCTATTTCCTCTGTAAAAAAAAGTAATACTGATAATATCGCATACGTGACTATCTATCTATCTATCTATCTATCTATCTATCTATCTATCTATCTATCTATCTATCTATGTGTTCGTGTGCAAGAGTTCATATTACCACAGTCAATTCTAAACATGAAATTATCAACAGTATTTAAAAAAATAGTGACGATCTTAGGACGAGCTTATGTTTAATGGTTACAAAAACTCCCTCTCTCCCCCACCCCTCTCTCTATCTCTTTCTTCCCCATTCGCCTATGTCACTTTTTTTCTTCCCTCTCTCTCTATCTCTATCATGCAGTTTAGTGATTATATTAGTTAAAATCATAAGGCTTTGAGGAAAGCAAATCATGTATTTTTTTTAATTGGTCACTCCCCTACCTGAAAATCAGCTCTGAATTGCAACATACAAAACTCAGTAAAACAAAGATATTATTTAATTTCAAATGCTTTTATTTCCTTTTAGTTGTTTTTATGAATATAGACAATATTTTCTGAAAGCAAAAAAATTTTTTCGATGAAAAATAATTTTTAATACAATTATTTGTTATTTCTTTAATTATAATAGATTTTTACATTTTAGTTGTCAAAATATAAAATTAGTTAAAAGCCGCATTCAGTTTCGTAAATATCCTTTTGAGATAGATCTTTTTACCGCGTTGTAGTAAATTGTATCGTTTTGACTAATCAGAAGACCCGCAGTAATTAAGAAATATAATTTTGTGTTTATAAAAAGGCTGTAATTATAAAGTACTGAAGATCAACAAGAATACAATTAAGTTGCTTTATTTGAGTTAAGCATTGTTCTCCGCAGTTAAGGGCTTTACTTTTGCGAAACACGTGTGGAGAAGTTAATTTGATTTTTCAATTTCAACTGAGAAGGGTACCTACAAGTCTTATGAAATTTATATGATCTTATTTTTATATTAATTTCAGTTATGACATTTTTCCATGAATGAAATATCAAAATTAATAATAAAATGAATGGAAATACAAATAACACAGTAAAATGTAATAAATGTACATAAAATTATAGTATTTTATGTACACTTCTGATAAATTTTCATAAGAAAGGAACCTATAAATTAATTAGATACCTTTCTTATGAAATTTAATCTCACTCTCAACAGTCTTATTTTAATTTATTTATAATATATTTTCCATAAAGCATCGTAAACGTAAAGGTGAAAGCTAAGTACAAAAAAAAAAAAAAAGAAAGAAAAAAGAGCGCTGAAAGTTTTCCTTAAAAATAACAAAGTAAATAATTTGTTTACTTAAATCTAAATAATTTCACTTCTCTCCTTCCGTAGAATAAATTATCCTCAGGTAATCTGTAAATACGTCCTGAAATTGTCATTCATTGACTGTCAAGTAACGCGAAATGTTATGATATGCTTTGGTTTATTTTCAAACTACATCTTTTCGGCACAGAAATTAAGTAATGCTTGTTTCAAAATATCTTAAATAAACATAATTTCTGATTTTCTTAAAATTAGTTTTGAAAAAATTATAATTGATTTTTAAAAGAATTTCAAACTGAGATTTTCATTTTTTTTATAAAATGGAAAAAATAATTGACATGATTGATTATCTGTCAATTTTGCTGACTAAAAAAAAGAGACTTTTAACGAAAATCTTGGACGTGCTAGGAATGAATAATAAATGTAAAAATACCCACAAAATACTTTGATCTTTCCTCTTAATAAGAACATAAACATTTAGACGATAAAGTTTTGTTTTCCTCAAGTTTGGCGTCTTTTTCATCATGCTATGCTCTTTTAAGTGATCTCATGGAGGTACTGGCGACCCCTCTGACCCTTCTAACTACCGTCCTATCAGTCTCCTACCCCTCTTCGGCAAAGTCTTCGAAGCCCTAATCAATACCGAAAGGGGTTAACCACCTTACATCCCATGATCCGCTCTCAGACAAGCAATATGGCTTCCGCTTTGCCCGATCTACAGCTGATGTGCTTACGGCCATCACTGAAACTGTCTACCAAGCTCTTCAAAATAAGGGGGAAGCTCGTGCCGTGGCCCTAGACATCTCCAAAGCGTTTGATAGGGTTTGGCATGCCGGCCTTCTTCGCAAGCTCCAGGGTTTATGGCATTACGGGTCGATTCTTTGACCTAATACAATAATTTCTGTCAAAACGTGAATTGAAGGTCGTTCTCAACGGATTCTCCTCCAGTTCCTATCCCACGAACGCAGGTGTTCCTCGAGGCTCCATCCTAAGTCCCACTCTATTCCTTATCTACATAAATGAACTTCCTGAGGCCATAAGTTCCCAAGTTGGCATCTACGCGGATGACACTACAATTTATTCCTGCCTCAAAAACAAATCTAGTGTCACTAACAAAACTAACCTGGCCGTGCATCTCGAAAAGGACCTCCAATCGGTTGTGAACTGGGGCAGGAATTGGCTGGTCAACTTTAACGCCTCAAAAACAAAACTGCTCTCTATTAATCACCACAGAGATCCTTCCCTGCCCTCCATTAGAATGTCTGACACTCAACTTCTCGAGAGCACCTCTCTGCGGCTGCTCGGTCTCACGTTGACTGCCTACCTGAGATGGAACAAATACATTGAGTCAATTGCTTCGTCTACCGCAAGGAAAGTTGGCTCCCTGTGCCGCGCCAGGAAATTTTTCTCCCCGGAATCAATCCTCCAGATCTACAAATCAACAATTCGCCCTTGTATGGAGTATTGCTGCCCCTTCTGTTTGCCTCGGGGTTCTTGATAGGCTCCAGAGGCGGATATGCAATATAATTGGCCCTGCTCTGGTATCTCGTCTACAGTCACTTTCTCACAGACGCGCCGTCGCCTCTCTCTGTCTGTTTTACAAATACTTTCATGGCAATTGCTCCGAGGAGCTGCATTCGCTGGTTCCCAGACTTCATGAGTTCAAGCGCCCTATGAGGCTGGCATCCCGCTCTCACCCTTTCACTGTCTAAACTCCTAAATGTAGCTGTCTCTTCTACTCCAATAGCTTCATGTCTCGCACCTCTCGCCTGTGGAACTCCCTTCCCTATTGCAGTTTCCCTGATAGCTAATGTAATGTCAATCGACATCTCCAGTTTCCTTGATCTATCCACTACCCTTCTCTCATCCTTTCCTCTATCACTCCTATCTGATCTTACTCCAAACTTTCTGTAACCCCTTGCGTCCTAGTGGCTTCTCGCCCTGCTTGGGGTGAAACACTTAAAAAAAAAAAAATTAAAAACATCTATTACAAACCAACGGCAAGATTATTACTAACATGAACTAATAATTAAAAAAACAAAGAACCGTAGGGTACATTGATATAAAGAAAAGATGTGGTGATGGTCTTAACAAGAAGAAGTATCGAAATGTCACAATAGTGGATGCGAATATGGGTAATAATCACCACAAGTGAAATGAATTGAAAAGAAGACGAAAGAATTACAAGACACAGTTGTTGACTATATCTTCGTTTGCCTTGTTGCAATCGCATTGTTTACCACTGAAACCATCATGACATATACATTCCCCACAAACCAACGTTCCGTTTTTGTTACACGTTGGACTGTTTGACTCCTGCAAATAAAATAAAAAACATTATTTCAGATTGAATTATAAAAGATTTAGATTAATAAACAAAGGGAAAACTGGAATCCTTGATCAGCATGTTTTACTTCGATCCTGACATGAAATAAATTGTCCCTGCATTTCTTTATCAATTCTGGTTGATAACACAAAAACGACTTTTCATAGTACATTCAGTCTAATGATCACATAATTCAAATATTCAGGTTATTAGTAGTTATTCATGAAATCTATCTATCTATCTATCTATCTATCTATCTATCTATCTATCTATCTATCTATGGGGAGCAGCCAGTGAAGATCGAATTCAATACATTAGCGAATACTTTGTAAAACAAGTCTTTTAAAAATGGCTCAAACACACACACATGCTTGCACGCGCACACACGGATATATCAAGATGATCTAGCTATCTTGACATATACGTGTGTGTTTATGGGGGACATATTTAATAGCCTTGTTTTACAAGATAAAGAGATATACAATGAAGAGAGAGCGCAAGGGAGTTAGAAAAATAGAAAGGAAGAGGGATAGAGCAGCGTGAAGGTGAGAAGTGAGAAGGAGAGAAAAGAAAGAAAAAAGGCGGAAGTAAAAGAGTGTGAAAGAAAGAGCAAAAGAGTAGTTTTTCCATTATCCTTTCAATTATGTACAACAGACGTCTGCTTTGTAGCATATTGAGATAACGCAAAATAGGAGTGTTGGTCGTTGTAGTGAAGTGTCCAGCTGACATGTTAATGTTTGACAATTACTTTCCCATTTTCTCGCTTGTCATCACTTGCCTTTAGTGGTACTTGACAGTTTATAACCTCGATTTGACGTATTATCGCTTTTTCATATAATATTTAACAACGTATTTTTTCAAATGTCGAAGTACTCTAAATAATTTTCCCATTAATTTTAGTGGCCAAAATAAATTTTAAAGAATATTTTGTAATTATATTCGCTAATTTATTATTATGCTTTACATTAACTAAAACTTACAAAATAACTGATGTTACTTATTATTATATAGCACTTTCATTTATAAACTAAATAAAAAACAGTCAATTATTTTAATATCGGAATTGTAATGTTATTTTCATATTCTTTATAAAAGAATATAAAAGGTAATATATATACATATATGCGCGCGCGCGTGTGTGTATGTGTGTCCTCCGACAGGAATCGAGCCTGTATCCTATATGGAACCTTAACCGATTGGGCCACAAAGGAGCGTTTGGTTAGCAAGGTCAATTTTACTGTCTTTAAACTGCAATCTTCCATGATTCTCTCACGTACATTCATATCTCCTTAATGCGTATCCAAATGTAAACAAATGACGTCACACATTATGAAATGGACAAAGTCCGACAATTATTTTAAGACATTTTTATGTTTATACGTTCTTTTTATAGATATAAATATTTAAGTAAATGCTCTGTGTGTAATAAACAGTATTAATAGAATATTTATCATAGAAATTACGCATTGAGCAGATACGAATGTACGAGAGAAAATCATGGAAAATTGTAGTTTAAAGGCAGTAAAATTGATCTTGCTAACCGAGCGATCCTCTGTGGCTCAATCGGTTAAGGCACATCAGTAAGTAAGGTATATCGCAAAGTAAGATATATTCATTTTATGAAATCTTTGAAACAAAAAATTTAAATGAACATTTCATTCATAAATTGGCTTGTTATAGTTAAGGAAAAATTTATAAATAAATGCCAACTTGTTGAAGGCTAAATAAAATGAAAATTCAAACACTTTTCTGCACTATATAAGACGATATTCCTAAACAATACTATTTTTGATATGAAAATCAAAACAAGCTATGAATCATTGATATCGGACCAGTGGGAGTGGAGGAGTTACTTGGACACACACACGCACACACACGCACACACACAAATACCCACGCATAGATACATTGTACTTTATATATAAGATAATTATTTTCAGTTATTTAAGACCAGTACTTCACAGAATATAGATACTTGCTGAAGAATGATGGTTACCGAATTAATTTGTTTCGAAGGATATTACAAATGTAATGTGTCAAAAGTCATCAATGGGTGGCTTATATTTGTAAATACATACAAGTATTATGATTCAAAATTCCATGGTTTGTCATAGCACTGTGATATGTTTCTCTCTCTCCATAGCGACCCCTCTCTCTCTCTCTCTCTCTCTCTCTCTCACTCTCTCTCTCTCTCTATTTATCTATCTCTTCATCTATATATTACTTCAAACGTTATTTTGAAATAGACATCGTCTTTTTAATTTTATTTTAAACTGTGTTATTCCATCTGTCGGTCTGCGCCTGCGAGAACACTCACAAAGAAAAGTGCTCTCCAGCAGGGTTTGAACCTGCGTCTCTCTTTTTACGAAGAACTACTGTTTGGTCCGGCATGATTTAGAGCGCTTGGTCACAGAGAGTTTCACAGCCCCAGCAAGCCTCTATTTATTTAATGAATGCAAACTCCCTCAGTTACATTTTCCTTGACAGCCCATATCTGCTCAGTTTCGTTGCCGAAACGTAAAGAAAGCAATTTCTAAAAAATTTCTTGAATAATATAAAAATCTCGCATTAAAAATAAATCCATTAATTCATTAATTATTGCTTTGTTTACGTCTCGAAAGTAAGCAGCAATGGGCTTTGAAGAAAATCGGAACGAGAGAGTGTGCATTTCTTAAAAGGGTAGGTAGAACCATGATAGCGTAAGCGTTCCAAAACATCCTGGATAAAACGGTGCTTTCTCCTACCAAGGAGGTACAAGTTCGCACTATACCAGAGAGCACATTATCTTTTTATCTCGAGTGCACAGACTAGTAGACATAATACCCAGTGTTGAAAAAAAAATGGGGCGTCTATTTCAAACACGGGTATCCATTATAATAATTTTTAGGATAATAAAAATGTCGAATTATATACATATAGGTGCGTGCATGCGTGTGTATGCGTGTGCGTGCGAGCGTGTGTCTATGGGGGTGCATGTGCATGTGTCGGCCACATACAATTAATTAGTTTTTTTTAAACTTTTAAAACAGTAATAAATGCTTGCATAATCGCAATTCGTTGAAATAACATTATATGTTACTTAAACAAAATGGTAAAGTATTTTCTTAGCCAGTCTGATTTGGGGGATTTAGAAATTCACATTTAAACAATTTACCGTTTTGTTGCAATTACATTTGCATATGAGTTCGACTTCAATTTCAAGTTGAGCATTCGAGCTGACCGGATAGATACTCATTTTATGAATTTGTGATTGGTTGCCTTTTGGACACTCTGGAGCGGTGATAACAGCCCGGAAGTCTACCTGTATGAAAGAGATTATTTTAGTCAACGGTCAGAAGAAATTGCGCATTCAAATCTGGAGATATTTCTTATTTGGGAACATTAATGCTGCTTCCCCAGTACCAAGGTGGCTCCAAAGACTTTTTCACAGGTGCAAGATTTTAGTTTCGTTGAAGATTTCAGCTTTTCTACTAGGTTTCTCCACTATTTCGGCATAAATGTTCGACACCTAAAGTTTAAAATGAATTCTTTAAAATAAAAAATAAAAAATTCTTGAAGATTTCATTTTAACTTTAATTGAAAGCTTAATGATTAAAATTATTATTTCCATTAAATAAAATATTCTAGTGTATTTCAGATAGGAAGTATATAGATTGGAATGTCAAATTTAATTTCGATTTCTTAAAATTTTCTGAAAAGCGGCAATTTTCTTAATTTTAAGAAATTTGTAAACAAAAAAATTTATCAATTTTAAAATTCTTTCAAAAATACATTATATTTTTGACACGTTATTTGAGTAAAATTAGAAAATTTAAAGTTAAATTAATCTGATTTGAAATAAATATTACTTATAGCATAAAAAATTAATATACAACCAATTATTAATGATTGGTCCTGTTCATCTGATCCAACGTTTGATGGACTGTTGATTGAAGAAAAGATGGCATCTACTATGGATGACCTGAACTGACATAATTATCAGAAACCTAAGTGAACGCATTTTTTTTTTGTTTTTAACTACCTAGTAATTTTTGCAAATGAACATACTTTCCGCAATTATTTAATATCTTATTGACTTTTATTTACCTTTCGAAGATGCAAAAATAAAAAAAATTAAAATACTATAAGTTTTCTTCAATTAATTTTATAATTTAATGACAAATGAAATACCATGATTACTCAATTGAAGTATGACCCATACTAATATAAATACATAAAATAAAAATAGTTGGCGAAATAGTAATTGAAAACAGTAAAACTTACTTTAAATTTTAAACTTTGAAAGCTGAATGGAAATTCTAAAAACCTGTTGAAACGTAATTACAGCGACCTATTAAAGGGACAAAACTTTTAGATCGCGTGACCTTTTCACAATAATGGCAATTTTAGTCTACCATAGACGAAAATAAGGAACGTAATAAGTAAAAAAAATTCAAAATAAAAAATTATTTTAAAAATAGAATAGCGCAACTACGTTTATTAATCTTTTCAATTTTGGATTCGTAAATTTCGTTTCCACTTAATAACTATATCACACCCAGGAAATAGTTCAATACAGAATTTTACACGATTTTAAACTATTAAAAGAAATGAAAAAATTCTTGTAAAAATTCATTATCCATCGAAAGTGAAAAAATTCTTGTAAATATTCATTATCTATCGAAAAAAAAATTTCTTCACCCAATAATATCCTTAATATAACTTATTTACAAAGGCAATTGAATGCTTTTACTAATTAAATAATGTCATAGTGTTATTGCATTTATTATTTTTCAATTCATAGCAGAAAAAAAATAGGAGATTTACAATCTCCAAGGATTCCTACTTTTAACGGATAAAAAAATTCAGGAAATAGAAAATTTTATTAAAATCGGACAATTATTTGATTTTTACAAGAATTTCCAAATCAATGTGTTTTCAACGGAAAAAAGAGCAGAAAAGTCAGTACTATTTTCAAGCTACCGCGATGACGTAAAAAAGATTTTAACTATAATTTCGAACGATTTAGAAAGGATTAAAAATTTCAAAAATAATAAAAAAATACTTTCGTCTTTCATCTTAATAGCACAAACATTTTGACGATAATATTTCATTTTTATTAAGTTTATGGTTTTTTCATTACGCTATGCTGTTTTGCCGCGAAAAAGTGGAGATACCTATACATATACAGAGTGACAAGTAAGAAAAATTCATTTTTTTTAAATAATTTAAAGTCTATTTTTATGTTCTCAATAAACAATTGCTTCGAAAATTGAAAGTAAATTATATAAAATGTTTAAGCATATATCAAATTTTGGAATGTAAAAGAAGAAAAAATTACCACTTCTCCAAGTTTTATTCCACTGCATTTCTTTGACTGGATCCATTGTCCACTTGAAAAATATACGAAAAAAATGTTTTATAAATGCATTTCATCGTATGTTACTACCAATTTAAATATTACTTTCTACAAATTCTTCATTCATTTACGGCATTAAAATTAAATGTCATCTATATGAAATTGTGAGTTTTTATGTAATGAGCTATTATTATATTTAGAATACTCGTAATAATACATATAATCTCACTTTACTTAACCAAAGTAAAATGTTTCTTTTATTCAGGCAACACTTGCTATAAAATCTGAAAAGGAATGCGTGTCATTACACTAAGTTATGTGTATGAACACCTATATATATATATATATATATATATATATATATATATATATATATATATATATATATATATATATATATATATTGATCAAATCATGAATAGACAAAATTTGTATTTGTTACCAATCATGATAGCAATTAAAAGGAAAAAATGAAAAGCGAACCTCGTTTAACATAGCTAAATCAAAGTTAGCTCGTTTTTCATTTTTTTCGGTTTAATTGTTATCTTGAGTGGTAATAAATACAAATTTTGTCTATTCATGGGTTGGACAAAACAAGGACAAATGCACAAATCCTTCGTTTTTCGAGTTATTAAGTTTAAAGAAAGTTTACAATAGATGGCGCTGTGTAGTTACTTAGACTATATTACATTTGTCATTCGTGTACATTAAAGCCTAGTCTGTCTTCAGCGTTTAACGTGTGTAGTAGTAAGTTAACTGAGAAGTGTCCCGTTTAACAGTAGCAGGAAATTCATATCATAGGCAGATATTATTTTTAAATACAGCCGCGCGAATGGTAATGGACACGAGGTTGCAAGGCTGCATCGGATTGCATTTTCAAACTGAAAGCAGCCGTGTCATCCATACTTTGATGCTGTTTATTGTCAAGTTGCTGAGATAGGATCCGTGGCTCATACACCTAGCCACAAAGAACACATTCTACAAGCTGTCGGGGACGATCCAGGTATCAGCACACGTCAAGTGGCCCTAGTATGTTGTACATTTCATAGTATCGCATGAACGGTACTTTAAGTGAAGATCCTGTATCCGTATCATTTGCAACATGTGCAGGTTCTTTCACCATCTGATCACACAATATGGGAGAACTTTTTCCGATTGTTTATTGCACAGACTGTCGATCCGTTGTTTGTCTCTTCAGTCTTGTTTACGGATGAAGTAACATTTGGAAGAGATGGAATAACAAAATTATACAGCCAACATTTGTGGTACAATATCGAAAACCTCTGTGAAGTCTACAAAAACAACAAATAGATCCTTGTTTTGTTTTCGTGCTTTCTCCTGAGCCTACCGGGGACAAAAAGATCATATCCACGCACTGGGTCTCTGGTAATGCCGATTCTGAGGCAAATTCATTAAGCCTATGCAAGATGATACGAGCAAGGAATTTGCCAACAACCGAAAGAAGAGATATTTCTCTATGGTTGTCATATTGTCACACCTGTTCCCTTTGCGCTTATACAAATGGATAATTGTAGCATCCTTATATTGTTGTGGTATTTCTTCATTTTCCCACACAAGGTTGAAATATTCACAAATTTGCGTATCAAAAGGTTGGTGCCAACATTTGTAAATTTCAGCTGGAATTTTATCTTCGCCGGGGATTTTCCCATTCGAAAGCTGTTTGATGGCTTTTTTGATCTCGAAGGTTGAAGGCTTAGCAGAAAGGCTTTGTACAACAGGTCTTTAAGGATCAATTTTGCGTGAAACTTTCCCTTGGATGATTTAAAGGCCCTTTTCTTTAATAGACATCTTTTGTCTGCCATCCAGACCTAATGACATTTATGCAAGTTTCCAAGGAGAGATTTAATTTCAGGACCGTTTGTATCAAACCAATCTTCATGTTTTCGCTGAACATACCCGGGTGTTTCTTTTGCAAAATCATACAGCATGTTTTGTAAGGCATTACCTACATCAAGAGATGAAAGTTTTGAGTTACACAAAGTTTGGAAAGAGTTTAATGTTTCCCTGTCTTTCAGCTTTGTTATGTCTACTTTCTTTGGTGTTTTTGCTCGATTATTTCTAACAGACTCCATCAAATGCATTGCCGTATGTGAGCAAAAAATTTTGTGATTTGACCAACACTGACCGATTGCTAGTGATCGCGTCAGGTTTATGTCGTGGCGATCACGACCACGAACGATGATGTAGTCAATCATTTGTGAAATTCAAGCTAAAGACTGCCAGTGGCATCCTCCATCTGTCACCGTTGCTATCTCTTCCTCGCCATGGAATTTCTATCCTGCATGTATTTGTGTTGAACTATTAGACATCCAGCTACTGATCAACCTGCAGTAAAGTTTGTTTAAAGTGGTCAGTTGCTTGTGCGGCACAAGGCACACTCTCTCCATAACCCCCCCAAACAACAGAGCTCATACAGGTGCACTGTGTGCCACACGTTAGGTGTTTGTGATGATCGCATGTTATATTATCACGGAGTTTGACCTCCCCGGGGCCTTAAATACATTGGATAGTGCGTGGTGGACCACAATATACATAAGGGGTTTTGATGACAGCTTGCCGTCTCTGGTACGACGGCTGGTGGATATATATATATATATATATATATATATATATATATATATATATATATATATATATATATATATATATATATATATAATCTTTTCTGTAGTCTTGTAGATAGCTGGTAGCTATATATATATATAATCCTTTCTGTGGACTTGTAGATAACTTGGCGGCGCTAATCTCCCTCTAAGTCCGACAGTCGACTTTTAACATGTGAGTGATTTAGAGGAACAAACATACTACTTCTACCGAATGCCCCCGATACACATAAAAAACAAAAAAACAACAACAAAAAAAACAAACATTTCTTTTATACACTGGATGTCGGAGCAAAGTGTTCCCATTAAATGCACCAATATATTGCTATATATATATTTTTAAATAATAATAATAAAATAATAAATATAAAATTATTATCAAATATATTAGAATATTTTATTATTATTATTATTGTTTTTTATAATAAATAATTGAAAGATAAATAATAAAAGCTAACTGACTAGCAGTAAACGAAACAAAATAAGGTTATAATTGAAAGAGTTTATGATTAATAAATAAGAAAATGTAAAAGAATTAAAATCACACCAAATGTTATTAAAAGAATCTTTGAAAATAAATAAAGAAACCGGCGATAATGAACTAAGAAAGGGCTAGGGTTAAGGTTAGGAAAAATAAACAAAATAAACATTACAACTCTAAAAAGCTTTCCTCCAGTTTCGAAAATTACGATATATATATATATATATATATATATATATATATATATATATATATATATATAAGGGAGAGATTATAGTTGTTCCAAATGCAACGGAGGTATATTTAAAATTATGCCAATGTATCAAACAGACAAAGGATAATAAAACACGCACGTACACACACACACACACACACACACACACACACACACACACACACACACACACACACACACACACACACCATACACCATACAAAATACATGTAGTTACTGTATATTTTTTTCATAATAATATAATGTATATGTATGGAGAACGTATATATACGCACATACTAGTAAAAAAATTTCCTTGTAATAAAACAATATACATATGTATGAAGAAGGAGTATATATATACACACACACGAGCAAAAACACACACTCACAATACACAAGAATGGAGCAAGGTCTAAAAGACTTACAGGACATAAAAATATAAGAACACAAACCTCATCCCTTCCCGTTTCTCTAATCATACATAATGGTTTTATTATCCCTTAAACAAAAGAACACTCTTCCAACAATCCAAGATGATTTTGGATTACTACTACACACAAAAGACAATGGTTAATAAAATCAACATAAGGAAAAATGAATTCCTTTAAATAATATGTAGAAATAACCATTCTTCGCCTGAAGAAGAAGGTCACAAGACCCCCTCCCAAAAAATGTGTAACAAAGAATATAGAAAATAGATATTATGTATAAAGAAGATAACCAAAAACGTTTGCATCGACTTCTCTCTTCACACACACACACACACACACACACACACACACACACACACACACACACACACACACACACATATATATATATATATATATATATATATATATATATATATATATATATATACACTTTGTATAGTGTGTAGGATTTGGGCTAAGAGTATCAATTCGCTCAAAATATATACTGATATTTCAATGTATACATGAGACATTGATGGGTAAATCTTGCAGTTTTGGAAGTTTTTTATTTTTATTTTCGTTCTATTTATTATTGATACTTTCCAAAGTGTTGCAATATATGCTAGATTTGCTTATTGGCAGGCTTTGTGTAAACAGTTGCCTTCCTTCTACGCACATTACAGTGACGTTCATTCTTTTGATTGCATTATTACACGAATTGAAATAGAAAGAAGATGAAAAGATTTAATTAAGAAAATCTCACTTGGTGCAGTTTGTATAGAAATCAACTTTGAAGTCGTGATTATCTGCTTTCATTTCCACAGTGGACGTAATATTCTGAAAAATAATAATAAAAATATGGTAATATTTGCGGGAAATAATTTTATACTGTAAAACCAGAATCATAGAATTTCAGTTTAACATTATTTAAAAAACTTCATCACTCATTAAAAACTAATACCCTGCTTATTTTATATTTATGATTTTGGCTTCCTTGATGAAAGAGATAGTTGCTTATTTTCAAACGATGTTAATCGTCGGTGATTGAACCCCGGTAAAAATAAGGATTTTAATGAGCCACATAACGAAACTTATCCGAATTCTGATGAGTAGGGTACCGAGCAGAATTAAAACGGAAATAGGAAGCAAGGTTTCATTACAGATACTGGAACAAGGAATGCGATAATTATATTCGAAATGATATTAGAAAGAGCAATACAAATGCAGAGGTATGTATTCCTAGGGTTTATAGGTTATAAGAAAGCGTTTGATAAAGTAAGACACAAGGATATGCTTGAACTGCTAGGTAAGCAATTTGGGATAGATACTAGAATAATTCAGAACCTATACTGGAAGTAAATCTCCTGCATACATATAGAAAATGAATTCAGTAAATGCACAAAAATAGAAAGTCGCGTCAGACCTTTACAGTGAAGCGATCCTGAGATAACTAGTAGTCCTACCAGGATTCATTACTGGTGGCTATAATCCTAACAACAAGATATGCAGATTACAGTGTTTATAATAGACATCAACAATAAATCGAAACACCAAAATCAACCAAGTACAAATATTCAAATATCTAGGTAGTGTTTTAAGAGAAGACGGCAAATGCAACACCAAAATCGGAATTCGTATTAGAATAGAGTTTTCTAAAAGCTGGACAATGTATTAAGAAAAATTCGTTAGAAAAAAAAAGAAGAAAAAAGTGTGCTGAATTGCTATGTAATATTGCTCCTCCTCTATGGCTGTGAATATTGGAAAATCTCTTCAAAAATAAAGAAAAAACTTGAGGTGCCAAAAAATATGGAAGTATGTTGAGAATATTTTTGGTTGAACACGTGAGTAACAACGAAGTTTTAGGGAAAATAATAAAAAAAAATTAGTCTTAATGTCAGCCAGAGACAATTGAAATTTCTAGGGCACATAATGGGAAAAAAGACTTGAAGAAATTGACACTCAAAGGATATATTGAAGGTAAGAAGGACAGAGGAAAGCAGTGAATTACCTACCTCATGAACTGAGGCAAATGTTTGGCAGAACAGGAGAGATAACAACAAAAAAAAAAAAAATAAGATAAAAGGAAAAAATTAAAAAAAGAATAAAAAAAAACAAACAAACAACCCTCACGAAGAACTATAAATGACAGGAAGATGGCACGTCCTGAAGGAATACGAAGCATAGGAGAAAATTAATTTAAAAACAGGCAAATAATTCCCAGTAGGAAATATGTTGCAGCACAATTTTTTCTCTTTGGTCCTGAGCTAGATTAATAAGCTTATTTACTATACAAAATAAACGTTAAGTCATAAACAGAAGCTCAGAAAATCGAAAATAAAATCCTTATGAAAATATTACAAACTAGCAGCCATATCCAGTTGGTCAAACTAGCAGCCATATCCAGTTGCTCGAAAAAGCGTTCAATTAGAATGGAGCAAAAACAGCATCATGTTTAGATGTAACATTGATTATTGATTTTTTTAAAATTATCGATTTTTTACACTAAGATCATATATCTTACATTGTACAATGTATGTGCCAAGTTTGGTGAAAATCGGTTGGATGGATCTCGAGTGAAAAGGTATCACACAGTCAGACAGACACACATCCTCTGTTTTATATATATATATATATATATATATATATATATATATATATATATATATATAGATGAGCAAATTTATTTCTTCTTACGACAAGAAAACAATGCAAACGAATCGTTGAAGTGATTCGGCTTTTTATCAGTGAAGATTTTTGGCAGGACACACTTGAGTGGAACGTTACATTTGTTTCTTTTTATTCACGAGAGTGTGACGAAATTACATGATCCCTGATTTTCCCTATCAGTTCAAAGCCTATTGTGTTCTTAACAAAAATAAGACAGCAGTTTGATAGTTTAATGTTCAATAATAGGATGGTCTTGCATTTCTTATGATTGTAAGTTGTAAAATCAGGCAAAAAAGACAATTACAATATGTCATAAAGATTTTTTGCGGTACATTTGATGATTGAGTCGAAAATTAAAGTTCGTAAATTAAATTTCTGAAAATAACGGAAAATATTTAATAACAATTAAATTTTTAATAAGTAATTTTTCAAATGCCTTATACTATATGGTTTACCTTTTTTTTTTTTACTTGCAGTCACTTGCTTCACATTCGTTAAACTATCTCCACTACTGTCATCACTTACTATATTAAAAAAAACCATCGAAAGGATTTTATATAATTTAAAAATAATATGAAGCTGTTGTAAAATACATTTCTGTTCATGATAAAAAATTAACGGCAGAACACAAACTAATCTCACGGAATGTGATCAGAATTTCTTGTTACTTAATTATAACCTTATCAACATAACAAAACGACATTATCATATCACTACTGATATCAACAATACACGTCACAAAAACAATTGTGAATTGCACACAACCAATATTAAAAAGCGTAACAGGACGAATCTCTTAACAGGTTATTAATCATAATTGAATAAGAGAGAAATGATTTAGTAAAAGGTCACTTGATTTATCAAAAAAACTTAGCTTCCGTGTGAGAAGAAATTGTTGAACCTAACAAATATATGGACTATATCTGATCATCATGGAGATTACGTGTTTGGAAGAATTACCTTGTATCCCATTGTGACGATGTTGGCTATGGTATTGTTTTTGCTCCCCAATTCACTGACGTATGAACTAGTCAGACTTTGGGAGAGAAGATGGTACAGCACTTGATAGTGTTGACCAGCCACAGCGAATATGACAGTAACTTTGTGCTTCTGAATAACTTGGGCGATGTGGTCTACGGAAGGATAATCCTGTAGAATAGCAACATAGAAACGAATGAAACAATCAATCAAGTGATATGTGCAACAATTCCAGTTACATTAATTTGTTCATTTTGATCCTATACGGAAAATTGGGCAATTTCAGTTTTACATGGACAGTATCAATAGAGTGGCGTCCCAGTAAGGTTTAAATTTAAACGTCTCCCACGAAAACGGAAAAAATTGTGACGATCCATACATGAAAGTAATTGATTGATATACAAGTTGAAAAACCCAAAAAAGTGATAAATTTGTATGAGAAAGGGGAGTATGTAGTTATTAATGTGTTAATATAAATTAACTCATAACTCGTATTTGGCGGTTTTTATTAAGACGCCGACTACAAGTTACCCCGTCCTTGGTATTTTCTGAAACATTTTCATCTGTACCAACAACGAGGAGTTTATTCGCAGTGATACTTTTAGTGTGAAAACAGTGGTAATACTTCACTTGAAGCTAGAAATAAATTCATAAAAAGTTTTATTGCCTAAGTTGGCTATTATAAAGTTGGCATTTAAAGTCAGATTTCATCATTGAACTATGTCAGTGAATGTGCACTTAATCATTACAATAAGTTAGAACGTAGATCTGCTCATTATTTATCGAGCTATCATGTTAGCGTACTATGTGTAAAACCCAAGAAAACTCATCGACTACGTACCTGTGAATATTCTTTTGTATATACATTGTTCTTCATGTGGCATTTCCCGTCATTTGGCACCACGGCTCCTCCGAGCTGAAAAGAAATGTTTTATACGGATAATAATTGACCGACACGTGAAATTAAAAATCTGAAAGAAAATATTTAGGACAAAGAGAGTTTAAGAGATAGATATGTTTATTCTTCTGTTAGTGTCGGATACATTTTTTTACTTTCTCAAATTAAATATTAACGCAAGCGGAATTGTCTTCGTCAATTTCTGATAAGTAAAAGTAAATAAGTGAAAAAGTAGTAACTGTTACAGCCAAACAGTGCAGTTGATATTTAATAAATGTTACAATTCAATTCTTTCACCAAAAAGCAACATTCAAAATATATTTTAACACGCTTAGATGGCTTTCATATAGTAACGTAGCTACCAAGGGTTATGAACAAAGATAGATAATATATTGGGATAAATAGGTTTAGCGATCATCCAATTCACACTCCTTCCAGGACTTTCCAAGTGGAGTAGAGGTTTATCCCTGTTCAGGATTAGTTTTCCGGTTCCTTCTAAAGTTTTTTTCCTGAATTGTTATCTCCCTTGTACTAACCTCTCATTAACGTAAAGTTCTGACATATTTGTAAAGCAGCTATATGGCTACATGCTAAAGCAGAATGTATTAATAATGATTTTGAAAAAATCATGCATGTAATTTGTTGCGGCATGAGTAATGTACACACACACACTCACGTACACGTATATATATATATATATATATATATATATATATATATATATATATATAGTGTGTGTGGACTGATAAATAAACACTGCATACAGACTGTCATTTTTATGTCTCATACAATTTCAGTATAATAAAGTTGATCAGAACAATGTCAGACCAGCTAACGGACATTTAAAAAGTGCTCATTACACAAATTCAAAACATTGATGGTGTGGAGCAAATGATATTAAAAATAGGAGTATTTACCGGTTACACTACCCGGGTTCCATTCATAAGTCTTTTTCAGATTCGTATTGGCAAATTATGTTTCTTTAAAACGCTCTATTTAATCTTTTATAAACTTAAGGCCATAACAACAGCCATAGATGGGGAGGGGTATAGCAAGAGAAGATAAGACGAAAAAATATTGTTAGGTTCATTCGCATCCAGGTTCGTATAGGCTCACTATATATATTTATTGGCATATCTGCATTTAGACATTTCCTCTGACCTTTCGTTAATAATTTTTCTCGGTTTGCTTATGTCAATATCGCCAGATTTTCCTCCTGGCATAATTTGCAAACACTTCTACCAATGCTGCTGTAAAAATAAGATTTCTCACACATCTTTAGAAGATAAGGAGATAATTTCTTTTCTTTTAAGTCCACTTAGTTATCTGAGTTTCGTAGGAATTTTGTCTCCAGTCCGATTTGAGTAAATGTAAGTATCAGTGTTTTGTAGGATTTGTCTACAGCTGCTTTTGAATTGGGAAACATAAAGTTTGATCAAAGATTTTAGATAGTCATAAAATTAGTCTTTTCAAGATTTACCCCAGGATTATCTATATAAGCAGAGAGAGGCAGGAAGTCGGGAAGAAAGAGGGTCCAGCCGTGAGAGAAGTAGGTTTTTATGGAACAAAGGTGTCTATTCAAAACTCTATGATAAATTTCACAGGCTTATAACATAAGCTGGTTTTCAATTAAAAGGAATAATAAATTTTATAGCCAATAACTGTATATCTTCAACATGATCCAGAGAATAAATCAGTTGTCGACCAAAATACAGAATTTTGAACTAAAATTTAACAGCACAATATTTTTTTGTTTCAAAAGTAGCAAGTCACCAAAGACAGGATTTAAAAAATGAAATTCTTCAATTCTGAAGCGTCACTCTGGTCAAATTTGATTAACCTCTCATAAAATGATTCTTGTGAAGCTGTGTTTGAAGAATTTGTTTTCAAATAGTGAACTGAAGTAGGTTCTAATGAATGGACCGACGTTGGAGTTGCCGATTTCATCTGTCCATTCACAGGTGTGGAAAGAGCAGTTAAATTTACTACTGAAGTTTCATAAATTATAGATGGCAGAAGCACATTATTACTAAATCATTGTGTTATGAAATAAGACCCTTATTTACTTCCAAGGAGAATTATACTGAACAGTTTAGCTATATTATGTTGTAATATGTTACACTGTGCAGTAATTTTATAGTGATTTTCGATAAATAATGCAAATTTTGTTTTATAATTTGTGTCCAGCAATATTATGGTATTATTTACACTTTTATCTATTTTTGTTCCTATTAAATGGTTTCAGATTTTATTCATTGATTGACCTTTTCTGTAATCTTTTACTGTTTTATACAGTTTTCAGTTCTCGAATACAGTAAAAAATTGCTTATTTTGCTTGTGGTGATTCATAATTAGAATTCTGGTTTTCCATTCAATGTATCTAATACAAAAATATCAATTTATTTGGGCTTATTATTGAAATAGTAAAATTTTGAAGTCAGTTTGTAAGCAAAACCCTTTGGAAATTTGATATTTATGTACATTTTCTAACGATATTTAAAACTAAATCCTCAAAAATTGGTAAGGGCTCTCAATCTATGTTTTGGCGACATTACATATCATATAAAACCCCAGCTTGTGGATTGAGTGCAATGTTGATTTTCTAAAGAAAGTGAAAAATCGACCTGCCTTAATATGACAGTTGTAGCAGACGCTCTCTTTCACGCATATACGTATATTAGACATTTATGTGAATATATGTATGTGGCATTTTAAAATGCTGAGGTAAATTTTTCAATAATAATATATTAACTAAGAATGAAAAGCTATTTTAATTTTTCTTACCTGACCATCGCCTGCAAAATGAAATGGAGCATCGCTGCAGTAGATAATCAACTTTCGAGAATTTTTCCGCCAACCGATTTTGTCCTGCATTGAAAAAATACACGAGAACCAACGATGCAAACTATTTTAACAAAATTTATGTCATTGTTTAACAGAAATTCCTACAAATGATCGATAACAGTTTTTCTTGGAAATAAATTTAATTTCCATTTACTAATATTTACTATTTAACAGTTTGGGAATATCAGGTACTGAAAGAATCGATGTGCAGGTGATGTAATGAGTAACGGTTCGGAATTGGAAATCGGAGAGCCGAATTTCAACTCAAATCGGGTTCGTTATATTCACTTACCCGCAAATACCATTGGAAAAGATATGAACCCACCTTTACTCACCCCAGCTATTGGTTAATTAGCATGACTTGTGTTGCGTTCGTTGACACAGTGCAGTTTCTTTCAGCTAAACGCTTTTGGCTTAAAAGTACTTTTTCGGCAGAGTGTTACTCACGAGTGAATTTACACCAGTAAACCAGATTTTATCCTTCGGTTGTACCTCACTGCTATAAGCGAGCGAAGTAGAAATAGGGCATAAATAGGGGAGGAGGTGCACAGTTCAGCGGCCGTCCACCCTGTCCATTCTGAGAGGCCCGCTTCGTTCCTTCTGTGTGCGTATTTGCAGGATGTTCAGTTTTATAGATAACAATTTTCCTTGTCGTATCATCTTCCTCTAAAAAAGTAATTAATCTTCCTTCCGTGACTTTCTCTCAGTCTGAACCTCTTGCTCTGTACATTGAAGTTGACTTCACTGACTGATTACCATCGATCGAAAGTAAATGTTCCGTATCGAGTTTTGCAACAGGTCCCGCTGTTCTTTAGTTTAACAGGGCCTCAGCTGACTCATACTGCTACTCTTGTATCTGTAAATCATTTGCCCCAAATCCTTACAATCTAAATATATTTCCTGGCTTTAAATAACCATCTAAAGTTTTATAAGCCGAAAAAACAAAAAACAAATCAATCAATTGATCAATCAATCACTCAATACATACATGCATATATATATATATTGACGTGGAGTGGACTGAACAATTACAAAAGGCTTCATCTACGGAACTCTGGAGTTGAGGTGCTGAACATAACATCAATCAGCCAAGCGACAAATATATTTGTATTGATATATATATATATATATATATATATATATATATATATATATATATATTCGCTAAACACATTCGTACAACGTAAATGAAACTAAACGAGATCATTCGCCAGAAATAGGTTTTATACACGTTCATTAATTAAATTAAAATAATTTGTTTCATGGTTTTTCTCAGGGAAAATTACTAATCATAATATAAGTTTTTATAAATTGTAACTATTATATACATATTTTCTGTTCATTTATAAATGTCGCATTCAAGTCTCCTTTGCGACTATGAGATTTTTAAAGTATTTCCCAATCGTTTCATACAAGCGAAAACTTAGACTGGCACAACACAAACTTCCTACTCTAATATTCTCGCATTATAATTCTCATAGAAATATGTCCCAAACCCATGTTAATAAAGCTTGTTCAATTAATTCACTTCGGTGAATCAGTTATAATTTGTCAAAAGAAGTTGTTTTTTTTTATTAAAGATATTACTTAGCGGGAAGAAAGGAAGAAATAAACAAGAGAAATAAAAATAGGAGATATATATATATATATATATATATATATATATATATATATATTGGGACATATTTCCTTGAATAATTTAGCCAAGATTTTATTTTCAAATGAACACAGAAGAGTTTAACTTTCAGATAAAAATAGCAATTTTGTTTTTGAAAATGATGGACACTACAATATTTGTCTATATTTTTGAGATGAGGTATGGTAATAATTTACATTATTTACATTTTTTGGACAGTTGTGCTTATCTTTATTGTCATGTTCACGGCATTTCGGCCGTTGTACCCTCCGGCTTTTTTCAGGTAATTGAAATTTCGAACTGAACCCTTTATTTCATCCATCGGGGTGGATTGTTCTCTCGAACAATGTAAATAATGTAAATTAATATAATATTTGTATTTAAATAAACAATACCCTCATGATCACATTGTGCTATGTCGAAAGTACTCGGAATAAAATAATATGTATCAACACGTTAATTATCACTCTTCCTTTAATAATGACACAAAAAGTTTGTCCGTGAATATAAAATGATCCAAATGAAAATAAGTAGATAATTAATTCAATGAAACATGTCTCAATGAAAACATACTGCCAAAAGATACGAAATCTATCTATCTATCTATCTATCTATCTATCTATCTATCTATCTATCTATCTATCTATATTTGTGTATTTAGGTAGCAAAAGAAATATATATATATATATATATATATATATATATATATATATATATATATATATATATATATATATATATGGGGGGTGTATTTAGGCAGAAAAAGATGGAAAGTATTTGGGAAATAAAAGTGATTCTTACTGTTACAGTGCATTTCTTGCCTTATTCAATTGTAATACAAGGAAAAATATTCGTGAATATCAAAGGATTATGATAAAAGTAAGCAGGCATAATATTTGTAATTTATTCAATCAAACATTAGAGACTAAATTTAAAAAGAAAATATACCTGGATCAAAAGAAAATAAACCTAGAAGTTTTAAAAAATCGCATTGTCGAAGCCTATAATGATGGAGAAAACTACAAAAAGCTATCAAAATTATTTGGAGAGCACGTCTTCACCGTGCGACAAATTATTTATAAATGGAATACCTTTGGTATGTCGGCATCGCAATCAAGAAGTAGTCACTTGCGAAAAATAGCGGCAAGAACAAGTAGATATCTAGTTCGTCAAGCCCAGTCGAATCCTGCTGAGACGCCTGTGGTTCTACAAGGTTCCATGGACAATATCGAAATCAATGTGCATACGACTACAGAGCAAGAGACCAAGAAATTAAGGAAAATATTTTACCCTTCGTTTGAAAGTTGGGTTTAGGTCGAGGCTGAATTTTCCAGTAGGACAATGATCCGAAGCATCAAAGCAAACTCACAAGGGAATGGGATTGAAAAAAGAAATTTCAAGACTTGGAATGGCTTAGTCAAAGTTCTCATCTAAGCCCAATTAAGAACTTCTTAAACATTACAGAAAAAGACTGGTTGAAATCGTGACCTTTAAAAGAAGTCACGAAATATAAAATGTAATTGTTCACTTACATGTACTTGTATTAGTAATTCGTTTAATAAAGGTTTTACTTAATGAATAGCCTGACGATTGCATATAGCATGAAACAGACTGTCGCCTCTAAGTGTTGACTTCTATGTTCACTTTTATATTTATATATATATCTGTGTGTGTCTGTGTGTGTCTGTGTGTGTCAGTGTGTGTATGTACAAACAAACATACTTACTCCACAAACAACAGTTTGCATGAGTGCATCAAGTCCACCTTCCGGATCGTCGTAATTAGAGATTGTCATGTTTTGAAGTTTAGAAACAGTTTGCTGTAAGCATTGGAAAAAAGATAACAGATAAATGAAATAATTTTGCAATGTCATCTTGTTCTTAGCAATTATACAATTAATTTACGAGTTTGATCTCTAAAAATCGCAGTTTAATAATTTTTTTCTTTCTTTTTAACCACATTTAAAAGAGTCATTTCTTAATAACAATTTATTTGTTTATTCCCAGTTTATTAGAAGACATTTGACTCATTGGATATTTAACATGATCTTTTGACCTTGGGTTTCAATGGCTACAGGTTCCGTATAATAAACTCGAATCGAAACATTGAAAATTGTCGCATGTTCATTGATTTCTTCACCGTTGACTTACTTTAAATATTTCAAATTTGTTGGTCAATTTAACTTTCTGCATAAATGTATATTCACAGTTGTCAGTTTCACAAAACCTGAAAGGAGAAAGATGAATCTTTAATTAGGAAAGAACTTCAAAATATACCGAGACTAACAGATTCGACTGAATACCATTGATTTTCAAATAGACGGGCTAGGATGATTATTCTTTTTTGAAGATAAATATTCAAATGAAAGGCTTTGGCCGGGAATACACGCAGCGTAAACTGAGTTTTTTCTTAAAATATTTTTAAAAAATCGTAGTTGTAATAAGGATTACCCGAGTGGATTTTTCTAAGAATAATTGAAAAATGAAATAAAAAATAAAATTGTCCCGACTTGTCTGTCTGTAACTGAAATATTCTTCAACCAAATAATTAACGTTTAGAAACATTTTTAAAGAGAGAATTGCAATAACGAAACAATATATTAATAATATGAAATAGCCATGGACATCAGGAAATGCTCTGTTTTAATTTTACTTAATGGATAGTTTATGATCATAGAGTTAAATTGCTAATCATTCCGAGTGAATATGTTCAAATGTATAAATACACGAAGCTATTTATAAAATATCTAGTTTTCGTGTATGATTTTGCTATACATCTGGGCTCATAAGCCTCCACAATCGACTATATAAACTGATATAGGTCGCTTTTAAAGCATAGTTAAACTTGAAATCTGCATTTGTGATAAAGCAATAAGTCTAATACTAGTGAAAAATTTCATGATTAGGGATGTCTTTGATTCACACCAAGTGTGTGAAATTTGGCGTTGACTGATACGTGTCGAACAATTACGCCTAAATAATCTTAGCGTTTTTACAACTCAAGTAGTGATTTGATTGTAAACTTGACATAAACAAACAGGTTCGAAATGAAATCCTCAGAAAATAATCGGTTGACAAAAGGAAATTGTCCTGAACTTGGTTCTCTAGAACCTTATAAACTGAAGTGCTATAAATTGTCAACAACCGTAAAGGTGGGCGAAATGGATTACACCACATGCAGTATGTGTGACGTAATCAGTAAAGCGGTAATGTAACTGTAGACATGTAGATGTGATGCTATGAAATCATTGCTGGGGCCAGAAAGATGGTGAGCACTATTTTCGAGGTAGTAACTGCTCTCGGTATTTTTATGAGTAAGGATAAATATGCCGGGAATATGTGAATTCTGGACATATATCAGCGACACGTGAAAATTCATGACATCCATTGACACCCGGCAACTGGTAAGAATGGCAACCGCATAAAAATGAGGATTTTTGCACTGAATCCTATCCTATTTCAAATGCGATGCTGCTCATTCGACTGAAACATAACACTTTTTAATCGTCACTTAACATGGATAGCATTGGCGGGTTACCATTGGACAATTAATTTCCTGCTCTTTAGATATAAATTTCAAAGTTCATGTGTGGATGAGACCGCATGAACGTATGGATCCGACGTATTAACGGAGTGTTGCATAAGTTAGTGAGTAATCTATTCCAAGCACTATTAATGAAACTAAAAATCACAAAGATTGTTAAATAAAATTGTTGTGTATGATACACCTATTCGGACTACTGACCATATAAATATTAATGAAACAGAAACTGCGATTAGTCAACCCATTATGCAGGAACAGTCTTCCCAAGAATATACCAAATAAAATTGTGTACCTATTCTTTGTTTCAATACATTTTGTTAACGTACATTTTGTGTTGTATTATTCAATGCTTATTTAAGCTTCAACAAAAATTGAAATCGGTCTTGAAAAGGATGACATAAAAAGATCTTTTTGCAAAGTAATACTAACACCTATCAGGGGTGGATGACATTAATTTAATTAGGTCCAGGGACATTCAGCTGATTTTCACGTACTCGATTCGCTCTCTCGCTCACCAGATTTAAATCCAATTGTGTATAAAAAGGTCATGTTACAGACTTCACCATAATTCCATAAAGCAACATTCAACAAAAATAACTCCGTCATAGCAATGAATCTATATTACCCATTCAGCTACTTTGCTATTCAGATGACAGGATGAGTTGCATGTTATTAAGTATATTTCACTAATTTTTAGTAATTCAGTTTCTTTCTATTTTTCGTAATTCAGTTTCTTTCTATTTTTCGTAATTAGTTTTATTTCTAAGGAAGATTTGTATCTATTTTCATGGCTACTTTACTAACGAATCTCATATATAGCAACTTACCCGTAAGGAAGGATGAGTTTATCGACGAAAGATCCAATCCCAACGTGAAGGGAGCCGGTCAAATTCCTGATATTTTCAACTGTAAAAAAATATCTCCAAATTAGACTGGTAAACGATAAAACATTTGCAAGCGTACCATTCTGGCAGATGCATTGGTTTTCGCATTGAACTGAAAAGTGAAAGATCTAACCTTACTGGTTGACTGAAGGGAGTTATCCCATGTTTACAGCATTTAAAGTCAAATTGCGCCGTACCGCAATAAATCTAATAAACCAAGAATAAAAAAATACGAAATGTTTCTTGAAAGTTAATAAATTTGCTAAAAAAGCATTTTTCGATTTCATTTCTTTTTTATTTAAAAATTAGAATCAAAGCAATCATATTTGAGAATATTTTAAATTTTCTCTAAAAGACTTTCCTACGTAAGGCTCTGTATTTATATTAGTGTTAGGTTAGGAAGAACACATCATATAATTTAGCTTCTGTATTCTTCTGGAGATAGTTGCATATTTATTACCGACTTCAAGAGTCAATGTTTGAGCCTGAGTTTGAAGTTTGATGAAAATCAAGAAATAAAACAGGCCTCTCTTCTCTTTGAAGATTGTCGCAACAAAATCTTTTCACCAATATTTCCACCTGTTAGGATTTGTTCTGGGTTTATTAAATATTGACATGCCATATTTTGAACGCCAGACAGAGATAGGTATTTCAAATAAGAAGTTGTTCTATTTCAATAAGAAATACTTTTCAAGGCGACTCACCAAGTTCCATTGAAACACGGGAAAGTTCTTCAATGTGTTTCCGCATTGTGTAGGATAAGTCCATAAGAAAATACATGTCAACAGCATGGTCTTTTGTCGTGTAAAACTTCAGAGGAATATTTGCAGTCTCGTCTGAATGAAGATAAACGTTCATTATCAAATAGATTCAAAACTTCAAATTTTAAAGTTATTCTTATCAAAAATGAATATTTTCTTTGAACTAGTTTTATTTTTTTAACTTTAAAAAAAAATTAATACTCATTAGTAGCATTTTAAACATGTACGTAGCTTAATCATGAAAAATGCATTTCTTTTACATCAAATATCCATTTTTCAGCATGACATACTTTCTTGCCGATGCACTTAATTCAATGATATTGTTACATGTTACAAAGATTATAAAGATTATATATTTCTGTCAGATTATGGTTTTATTGATAGTATCTCGTAAATATAATCAAAGTCAACGTTAAATGTTGAATGTCAGTTTCACAACTCAATGACAACTTCATGTGTTGCTACTCTTTTAGCGAGTTCTATATATTAACCAACAGGGGATTAGGGGTGGGTTGTGGAAACGAGGAAAGAGGAAACCTGTCCTTTCCAGTCCTTTAGTTTACGGCTAATGCTTTTGTCATTAACTTTTAGTTTGCTTATTAATTTATTTAGTTTTAAATATATTATTTTATATATTTATCTCTTTTGCATGTTTTTCATTAGTTCTGAGTATTTGATGTAGAGTTTATTAGATTTAGGCTTCGGGATTTTATTTTATTATTTTTGGTCATGGCGTAGTTACAGGTACTATAGTAGGAATTTGTTGTCTGTATTAGAAAATGAACTCTGATAATTTGTTTAAGAGCTCTTGTTCATTTATACCGAACAGAAAAAATCCATGAAAAACAAAAAAGAAAATAGAAACATCATATAATTTAAACCACCATATAATGATAATGCAGAAACATAGTTAAAATATTCATCATATACGTCGACAAGCACTTTCCCAAACCAAATAAATTGAAAAAAATATTCAGCAGATATAACGAAGACATTACAAATCATAAAAATACGGAAAAGAATAATCACTAGTATACCACAAACTCCCACAACCCTCACTTTATACTGCTGAACAAATTCCGAATATCTACTAAACAGTAGCTTTCTATACAATGACGTAATATACGATGTTACGGTATGATTAAAACAACAAAACCAAGAAAAAATACAAAAATATCTCTAAATAGAGGGGATATAATAAAAAATAATACCATTTAACAGCAAAACATATGTAAGTAACAGAACCATCTCACAGCATGTATGACAGCTGAAAATCAGGAGACATAACATATAAAAAATAATATGGGAATAAATAAAAGAACACCAGCTTGCAATAATAACTATAAACTAAACCTTTGCCTGGAGCAGAAACTAAAGATAATATCATTTTCTCATGCATGTAAGAAAACAACTTCCTACTATGTTTCATACAATAACACCATGAATCAATAATTCTCAATAAAATCCCATATTCTACGGTTAATAAACTTATTTCAAACACTAGCATTAAAAGCCGAAGAAAAAATACATAAATATTTAAATAAATTACGTAATAAATACCAAAGTAAATGAATTAAGTAAACTAAAGATCAGGATCATAAATAGTTTAACGCATTAGCCCGAAACAAAAGAACGGCAATGGAACTGTGATACAATCATTATGGTGATTACTGAATAGGCGGAAACGTTACAATTATTCTGGTGGCTATTGGATAGGAGGAAACGACTCAATTATTCTGGTGTCTAATGGATAGGTAGAAAATGTTCAATTATTCTGGTGGCTATTTAATAGTCGGAAGCGGTTAAATTATTCTGGTGGCTAATGGGTAGGCGGAAAGGTTTCAATTATTCTAGAGTCTGGTGTAATTATTAGTGGCTATTGAAGAGGCAGAAACGGTAAAATTATTTTGGTGCCTATTGAATAGGCGGAAACGGTTCAATCAGTCTGGGGGCTATTGGCTAGGCAAAAAATGTTCAATTATTCTGTTGGCTGTTGAATAGTTCAATTCTGCTGGTGACTATTGAAAAGTCAGAAACGGTTAAATTATTCTGGTGGTTATTGAATAGTCGGAAACGGTTCAAGTATTCTGGTAGCTATTGAATGGTCGGAAACGGTTCGAATATTCTTGTGGCTATTGAATAGTTGGAAACGGTTCAATTATTCTGGTGGCTATTGAATAGTTGGAAATGCTCCAATTATGCTAGTGGCTATTGGATAAGCGAAAACTGATCAATTATTTAGGTGGCTATTGAATAGTCGGAAACGGTTTAATTATTCTGGTGGCAACTGAATAGGCGGGAATGGTACAATTATTCTGTTGGTTATTGAATATATTCTGGTGGTTGTTGGATAGGTGGAAAATGTTCAATTATTCTGTGGCTATTGAATAGTCCGAAACGGTTGAATTATTCTGGTGGCTATTGAATAGAACTAATAATGAGCCCTTTGGCGCGTATTTTATAGCTGCTGGATAGGATTTTTTATTAGATTTTCATTCACTTCTATTTTTGATAATTTTATTTAAGTATACTTTAGTGTATTTAGTATCAATTCCTTGCTTATTTACTACTGATTATTATTTTTGAATTTACTTAGTTGCGGTTGTGAATGCAGTTTATTCGTTATTATTTATATCGTTAATTAATTATCACATTAGTATGTTTTTATTCCGTCTTTCCTGATGTATATTTCATTATACATAAAGAGAAAAGGATAATGCACTATGAATATATGACAAGAGAAAAAGTTATTTGCTGAATGGCAAAATCAAGAGATTTTACTTACGCGGTCGAATCTGTAGCCGAACTTTCTGTGGTTTTATGAGGATCTTGTTTGAATCCGACAGAGATTCATCCTGTAAGACCCAATAAAATGGATCAGGAGTTTTATTTTGTTCCGTTTTAATGATACCAAATAACAAACTTGAAATCTTTGATCAAACGTACGCCACAAATTTGGTGTTGTATCGCAATATTTAATAAATAATAACTATATATATATATATATATATATATATATATATATATATATATATATATATATATATATATGTATGTATGTAGTTTTAATTTTTCTATGTTTATGGATTAAGGTGCTCAATATCAGGGATAGATCGTATGTAAATATAAAAGTGGACATTTAATTCAAAACCCAGAGGCGACGGTTTGTTTCATGCTAAACGCAATCATTATGCCTAGTATAATTTTTAATTATATACGTTATTGCTAGTATCATTAAAAAAAGACAGTCAACTCTAAAGACATACACGGAAATAGAAATATTTGATTAACTAATGTTAATTTTGGTTGTATTATGCAGATATTAACCAAATATTGATTTCCTATGGGAATTTGTTTTGTTTCTTCTCCCTCTCTCTCTCTCTCTCACACACACACACACACACATATATATATATATATATATATATATATATATATATACATACAGTCAACGACGAAATTATTCGCACATCCATCAATTTTGAATATTTTTATACATTTCTCAGAATCTAATGTCCCTATGATGCCAAATATTTTATATGTTAATAAGCACAAAAAGGAATACAACACTCAATTTTCAGAACAATAGGTTAAATACAACAAATTATGTAAAATTGGAAAAGACAAAATTATTCGTACATTATGAAAAGTAGAAAAAAATAACTATTTTCACATTATTAATAGTCAAGAGCATGGCCTCTTATCTTTATAACTTGCAATCGTTTTCTAAAGTTTTTGATGAGGTTTGAACAAGTCTTTTCTAGGATTTTCTTCCATTCTTCAATGGTTACACGTTCTAATTCCAGAAGATTTTTTGGTAACTGACGATTTCTTCGAACTTAAAATTCATGCCATAGATTTTCAATTTTCAGATTTTCAATTATTGCCATAGATTTTCAATATGATTCAATAGGACTCATTGATAGCTATGACGGAACTGTAAACTTCTTTTTCTGCAATCACACAGCAACTGATTTAAACGCATGTTTGGGATCATTATTGTGCTGGAAAGTAAATCGCCGACCTAGATGAAGATTTTGCGCTGATAGTTGTAGATTTTCATCCAGAATTTTGTTATAGTCTGATTTCATTATTCCTCTTTTTGCAATTAATTGACCAGTCCCCCTTATGTTAAAAGAACTCAAAAAATCATCGAACCGACTTCATGTTTTAATATTGCAACTGTTCTGTGGGAGGAAAGACTCACCTATCTTGCACCATATCTTCTCTACATCATTCCGTCCAAAAACCTCAATTTTTGTTTCATCACTCCCTAATACAGAAAACAAATTTAACTCCTAGCATCTCTCGTTCGTGTGCATGTGTAGTCGCGCCAACATAACAAATACGCTTGTATATTTGAAGCAGTGTAAAAGTCTTGAAGCAATGCGTCTTGGAGATGCCGGTTTCTGCTATCTTTTTTCTCTGAATTATTTTCATTTAAAACCTCAACTTAATTCTTTTAGCTGATATGTTTTCCTGCTTTGTACAGACGAGTGTCATTTCAGTAACCTTCAAATATGCTTGAACACAATTTCTTATTTTGTTGTGGAGTAATTTAGCAGTGGAGGCTTGTATTTGTACTAAGTCGGTCCTAAAATAGGTTCAACGTACAAAACGTTAGGAACTCGATATAATAGGTATTACGCAGAGTAATCTTGTGGTCGCTGATACTTTCGTATTCGACTAACTGTCGTCCGACATCGACCGACCGTCGTTTTTCTTACTACTCCTACTTATATTAGGTGGGAGAGTCTATTAACTATAGAATAGGTGTGTTTCACCATAACATATTTCTTCCACACTTTTTGGTTCCCTTTCTATTCCTAATTATCCATTGAGAACAATATATGAATACATTTGATGGAAGACATGAAATGATGACAAAATCGTAGAATTTGAGAAAATATTTGAGTCCTTGTCGTGAAATGATAAATAATGGCATCATCCTTCAAAATATGGTTTATTGATGGAACTGCTCTATTAAATCAGAAACGAACGATAAGGTCCCAAAATATATGAAAACATACCTGAAGAAAATCGACTTTGTGTAATGGATTCAGAATTTTGCTTTTATTACATCTTTGACTGACGTGTCTTTCCAACTGATCGCATCTTGGCTTTGAGTAAAACTTAGAAGAAAAGAACAGAAAATGTAAAATTATATTTTTGTTACTTACATTCAAACAATTCTAAAAATCGTTGCAAATTAAATTTTGCTTCAACTGTCCTAAATTAAAGTCAGTTAAAAAATAACCATAAGAAAATAGAAAAACATCTATATATAGGAATAAATAAGAAAATAGAAGATAGCTCTCAGAAAGAAAATGCAAACTTTAAACCTAATAACAATAATGAAATTCATGTGTTCTCATAGAAAAGATCCAAATCCATATATAAAATGTTAGGTAATACGTGCCTGATGGAAGGAAATGTTAACAAATGAATGGCAGAAGGTAGGAAGACAATGATTGAAAAGTTACTGAAGAATAGGAAATTGCAAATAGTTACAGACAAATAACATGCTTACTTCTGATGGGACTAATTTAAAAAAAACGACTTGAAAAGAGAATATTTTATTTGTTAGAAAGCTAAGTAAGGAAAAATAAAGTGGAAAAGCAAAATTTGGATTGAATGATTTATTGTATAAAAAGAAGAGATAAAAGAAAAAATCAGAAAGAAGAATTTAACGATGATATAAATTACAAAAAGTATACGATATTATCCCGAAACCATAGATATTGAAATGCTTCAATATAATAAATACGTCGGAACGTATATTCAAATCTAAAGCTAATGCAATGAAGAAAGGGAAGGTAAGCATTAACTAAAGGAGGACAAAACACAGCCGAAATAACAATTAATTTCAAAGGTATTCTTTTATCAATTCCTGTTTGTAATAGAAATTAAGCTGTTTAATTGATTCTTATGTAAGTTATAAAAGCCGATATAAATCTAAACAATCCCATGAAAATTTCAATCATGAATTATTTGAAATGAATCATTTGAAATGAATTATTAAAAGTAAACTGAATTAGGAACACTGATCTAAACAATCAGTATTATTAACAAATGGGATAATAATGGGATTTAGCTCTGGATGTAGAAATTTACAATGTTTAAGATGCTCAGAGGAAAGACAGAAGCAGCAGAAGGGGTTCACTTACAAACAATATCATCTTCTGGGTATCGAACATCAGCAATATCTTGGTATATTGTAGATGAATTCCAATATTATTATTATTCAAATAATAATTCAATGGTTACACAAATCAGATTAATGAATGATTGATTATGGTAAGTAGAAGTTTCCGCAGAACTGATAGTGGAGTCTGATGATGAATGATCAAAATACAGAAATCGAAGGAAAGATTTGAAGAGAAATCAGTGCAACTAAAGAAAAAATCACAGGAAATTACATACAATTGCTCGTACAACAGTGAGATGATAAAAGAAAAGTAATCATCTCAATAAAAACTCAGCTAAAATGTATTGAAACAAATTCTGTAAGGCTAAGACGGAGGCAGACATATACTACTACTACTACTGTTACTACTATTACTACTACTACTACTAATAATAATAATAAACACATTAGTTGCGAAGTGTTAACCTGAAGAGTGATCCACTGTGAATTGTGCAAGCGAATCTATAGTATATGTACAAAACAGAGGCGATACTAGTCAAGAAAAATCGTAATATTATCTTTGAGATTAAAAACGATCATGCAATCACGGTCAGGAAGACAATTCTTGTTACTGTAAACCAAGATTAGAAAATTTACGCGATAGTTGATGTCACTATTTAAACAAAGCACAGAGTGCAATTGAAAAACTGAGAATGCAGGAAAAATATTGTAGAATGTGATATTCACAGCTGCACAGATTTTAACATTTTTTATTAGCGTACTTGAAAGATGAGAGCGGCAAAGTATTAAGAAAACTTGTTAAAACTTGGTCATCGCTAAAAGCCACAAGCTATTAACAATGGGAAACCCACTAAATAATAATAATAATAATAATAATAAAGAAAAACTGTACTCACAAGTACAGTTCACACATTACGATGGGCTTTATCTATTTAAAATGTGTGTGTTCTTGTCTTTTTTACAAAAAATGATCAGTGAAAGATGTCATGAAGCCACTTCTAACCTTATGGTCTCTCTTTGGAACCCAGAAATAAATGTGTCTAAAACAGAAATCCAAAGAAATAATAATAATAATAATAATAATAATAATATCAAGTTTCTTCAGATAGAACTAGATGCGAAGTAATTTTACAGAGAAATAGGCAAAAATTGAAGTGACAACCCCACCAAAAATGGAAGTGGCTATACAGTTTTTGAAAAAAATGTGGGCTTGCCCTAAAAACATAACAAAGAAACAGAATGGATTACGCCAGAGGGAGAACGGATGACCCCCCCCAAAAAAAAAAAACAACAAAAAAAAAAAACAGTATAGGCGGGAATCGCAGGAGAGGATGTTTAATGTGCACTGAAAAAAAACACACAACTGGAAATCTCCAAGAACAGATAAAATTCGTAACTTTTAGATCTATTATCTAAATATAGCAAAAAAAAAAGAATAGCTAAAGAACTTCAAGAAATGGTCAATGATCCTATTAAAATTCCGCCACTGGTAACCAAAGGAATTATCTTTCTTCTATCCAAGAATGGTAACACAAATGTCGCAAAAAATACAGACCAATTACATATTTTCCACTCCTTACAAACTGTTTTCATTTATTCTGACAAAACAGATATATTACTTTTTAGAAAAAAAAAATGAAATACTGCTTATTGAACAAAAACGGTGCAAACCTGGCTCTTACGGATGTAAAGACCAATTACTAATGAATAGGATGATCTTGGAAAACTGCTTTAATACAAAGAAAAATCTCAGTATTGCCTGGAGAGATTACCGTAAGACATTCGATAGTATACTCCATTCCTGGATCGTAAAGTCTTCAGATGTATAATACGATATCATCCGTCATCATCAGTTTCATCAAGCAAAGTATGTCAATGTGGAAAACAGCACTTAAACTCATTTATGTAAATAGAATCTATAAGTCTGGTGAAATAAACATCAACAGAGGAATATTACAAAGTGACTCTGTTTCCTTTACTATTTTATATATCCCTAATATCATTAACCAGCAAACATAACAGGATGGAATAGGGCTATAAAATATCTCAAAAGAAAATAACATATATAATATAGTAACATAACATTTTACATATTATTATTATTTACTGGGTTTTCCCGTTGTTATTGTTTGTGGATTTTAGTTATGACCAAAGTTGTATGCTAGGAATGACAGTGAGCGGGAAGGTCTGAAAAAAGTAAGATGTTTCATCGATGAAATTGGAATGGAATTCGGTTTGGATAAATGTACTAAAGCCACAATTTTACGAGGATCACTACAACAAACCTCCTCAATTAGCTTAGACCCTGGGGAAACAATCAAAAGTTTACATCAAGAAGAAGCTTTTAAGTACCTCGATGTAAATGGGAGTGAAGGAATTCACCATAAAAATGTAAAAAATAGTGCGGAAAGACTTCTATAGAATGGTGCGACTGATATTAAGATCTGAACTGAATTCTCAGAACAGAGAATAGGCCATTAATAACCTTGCTATCCCAGTGGTTCAATATAATTTCAACATCTTGAACTGGACTCTAAATGACAACTTGATTCTAAGACAAAAAGCTTCTTTCTAAGCATAACATGCATCGTCCAAAGGCTGATGTATACTGTCTATAAATATACCGCGGAGAAGGTGGAAGAGGTTTTATTCAGCTAGAATTGTCATACAAGTCAACAAACATTGGCTATCCCCGTGGTGCAATACATTTTCAACATCCTTAACTGGACCGTAGCTAACATTAGGCGAATGAAAGCCAAAACGAGAAAGCTTCTCACTTGCCACCGCATGCATCATCTCAAGGCTGATTTTGATCGTCTGTATGTGCCCAGATCCGAAGGTGACAGAGGATTAGTTCAACTAGAACTGTCTTACAATTCGCCTTCCAAACGATACCTGAAAACTACATATGACTGGATGATAATCTGTGTCAAAGAACATGTAAAAGTAACTTTATTCAGCAATAAAGGAAGCCAACAAGTTCAAAATAACCCATTAGTGGTTATGTAATGCAGGGTTGAAAGCTGAAATCAAAGGTTTTATTCTTGCTGAAAAGGATCAATGCTTTCTAACTAGAAATTACGAAGCTCACATACTGAAACATTGTGTTAGCCCAAAATGCAGATTCTGTGATAAATATCCAGAAACAATTGACCATCTTGTATCAGGTTGCACAGTATTGGTAGCCACTGAATATAAAACCCAGCATAACAGAGTGGGCCAATATCTGCATTGGAAAAATCTGCAAATTTTGCAGAAAGGAAACTGCAAGAAATTGGTATGAACACCACCCAGACCCGGTTATAAAGATAACACTAAAGATTTTGTGTGACTTTACAATATATACAGACAGAACAATCAATGCTAATCGCCCAAACACAGTGATCCGAGACCGCAAAAACAAAATGTACATTCTTATTGTCGTGGCAGTCCCGCAGACTGTAATATATTTTTGATATAGATCTTCAAAAAAACTATCAAAATTCAAGGATCTTGAAGAGGAAATCTCAAAAATGTGGCACATGAGGACATCAACAACTCTAGTTGTACTTGTAGCCCTAGGATTGATTGTAGAAGATTCCAATACACTCAATGAAGAGATTTCTGGTAGAAATGCCTTAAAAATACAAAAAAGTACTTCCAAGTACAGCTCATACCTAACGAAGGGCTTTATTTATGTAAAATATTTATCATCTTAATTGTTTTTTTTTCACAAAAATGCTCAGTGAAATGTTACGATGCCATTTATGACCTTAGGTTTCTGGATGGGACCCAGAAGGAAATGAGTATACACCAGAAATAAAAGAAAGTAAAAAATAATAATAATAATAATAATAATAATAATAATAATAATAATAATAATAATAATAAATCTTTTATCTTTACATTCAAAATTTATTTTATCATTTTTAAATTAATGATTTATCCAGATTTTGCTTTCAGTTTATTCTGAACTTGCTGTTTATGACGTATGTCCGCCATTGTGGGTGCTTTTAAGAACTCTAATTTCGACGAATGTTTGTCATGGACAGCAGAAACAATTTAGCATTTATAACACAATATTTAAGTTTACATTGAAATTATATTTATTTCTGCATGAGTAAATTTATCTCTGGCTTTCTAAATAAAGTGAAATTAACTCAAAAGTAATAAAATCCTCACATTGTCGTAGCACCAGGTGCACTTGGTGGATGCACCAATGCATGTAGCACATGTCGTCTGCAGGGTACACGATTCACGAATTTCACCTACAATGCAAAACAGTAAAATATTTTATTCAAATGCATTTAAAGTAAAGTTAAATTTTATGAATTATTTGGGCAAGTAATCTCATATAACAATTTTTTCCCGGTATTTTGGCCAGTGGGTTCTATTTTCAGTACGTTTATTGATAGAAAATTTTGCTTAAATCCAATTCAGATTAGTAGGCAGACGAGTACGTAGGAAAATAAGAATTCAAAATCCATGGTTGGATATGGGCTCGAACACCAAACCTCTAGTAACAGTAAGAAGTACACAACTATTTTGCTTACGAATCGGACCACTACCTAAATCACAAAAATCTAAAACAAATCGGTTTAAACATAGAGATAAAAACAATAAAATGTCGCTTGGTTTTTAAAACTCACACAGATGTCCTCAACAAATATTGTTTTTTTGAATGAGGGATTATCATTATTTACATTATTATTACATTATTATTATTATTTGTTTATATTCGGATTATTGTTCTCATTTTTATTGTTTTTTATTTTGTTGTGCTCTCCAACCTTCTTCAGGTGTATATAGATCTGGGTAACCTACATAGGATTCTGAACTGAACTCTTTATTTAATCTACTGGGCTAGACTGTTCTCGTTCCACTGCTCATGTTTCATTCTTATTTTATTTAGCACTTTTCAGTTATTATTCGCCCGTTTCCACTGACAGGTACCGCTGACAAAATTTGCGGAAACGCAGGCACACACAACGTCGCAAATTTTGTCAGCAGTTTCTGCCAGTTTATCCAGGTCGGCATCTTCCGAGCAAGGAGTTAATATTTGGATCACGTTGGAAACTTTTCAACATTCGGAATCCAATTAATGTACAAAGGGACCAAATCCAGCAACTCCAGTCGGCCATCGCTAACTTTACCGAGCGAGTTGACGCCATGTCAATGAGATCTGGACACATCCCGCGTTATCACAAGCAAAACAGGCGTAGCCGTCGACACGGTTCAAAATCACGCGTACACAACACCGGAATATGTTGGTCTCATCACAAATTTGGTACTAATGCTAAAAAGTGTATAAAACCCTGTCCATTCGTACCACCGAACCAGGGAAACGCATATTCCGATAAGTAATGACGATAACTGCATCCGGATATTGGAAGAAAAGTAGTATATTTTATATTCGTGACACGTGTCACGGATATGAATTTTAGTCGACACAGGCGCCGAAATTAACGTTATCCCTTCGACATCGAAGAATAATTTAACATCAGCTTTGTATAAACTCCAAGCAGTGAACGGTAAAAATTAAACATATATGGTGGAAAATCACTTTCGTTAAATTTTGGTATCCGACGTAGTTTTTCGTGGATTTTTATACAGAAAGATGTGAAGACACCTATATTAGGAGCAGACTTCCTCACACATTTCAACCTGTCAGTGAACATGGCTATCAAGACACTGATAGACACCGAAATCCAACTACATGGAGCGCCTTCCCGATATCTTTCAACAGGAATCAGCTCAGCACTACCGGGCGACTAGATTTTTCTCGAAATTCTTCGTAAATTTCCAGGGATTACATCGCCATGCAAACATACTGACACAATGCTGCACACTGCTAAACATCATATTCAAACTACAGGACAACCAACCCATTCAACCCCGCAGAGACTCAGTGCAGAAAAATACAAGATGGCAAAGGAATCATTTCAGCACATGCTGCTGCTAGGAATAATTCGATCTTCCAAGAGTCAGTAGTCATCCCCGTTGTCCATGGTACCGAAAGCAGATTCTTCTGCCTAGCGTCCGTATAGCGATTTTCGACAACTAAATCTATAAAAGTAAAGCGATATATCAAATCTGCTATCACCACAACTTCCCGTTTATTCGAATTCACCAGAATGCCGCTTGGTTTAAGAAACGCGGCCGAATGTTAATAGACGAAGTATTAAGAGGTTTATCTTTCACTTTCATATACATCGACGATGTATAAATAGCAGCAGAAATATGAACGAACATATGGAACATCTACAAGTTGTTTTTGAACACCTGCAGTATTTTTGATTGTTTAGTCTAAAATGCTGCAGGCATTTAAAGTCGATAAATGCACATTTGGTGTAAAAAATTTTTTTAGATTTAGCACATACAATAAACGAAACAGGAATATCATGTACCTGTTATAAAAAAAATTGCCATAGCCAGAGTCAACACATCAACTTTGAAAGTTTATTGGCATGATAAATTACTACCGAAGTTTTTTGTTACATTGTTCATTAAAGTTAGCCCCACTGACAGACATATTAAAAAGCACTTAGAAAAAGAATGCAAAAATTTTACTGCTTTAGACTCTTTTCACAAAGCAAAAAAAGCTTTGGTGAACTTCGTAAAACTAAATTACCTAAGTGATGATGAAAACGCAGTGCTAACTTTAACAAAAGATGCTTCATCGAACGCTGCCGGTGCCGTTTTACAGCAAAATGTTAACGGAGAAAACAAATCTTTATCTTACTTCTCTCGCAAGCTAAATTCCTCAAAGATGAAATGGAGCACATTTTCGAAAGAATTTCTCGCTATCTATTTAGCTATACGACGTTTCCGTTATATTTTCGAGGGACGCGAATTCACCGTATTTACTGACCATAAGCCACTCCCTTATGCCTTCTACAGAAAGCCCGACAAATAATCGCCACGTGAAACAAGACATCTCGACTACATATCACAATTATATTCAAATAAATAAATACGAGAAATTTAAGCTACGAGACTTTCGCCGAGAAAAAAAAAAAAAAAGAAAAAGAAAAAAGACTCTACACTTTTGCAAGTCAAGGACACTTCACTGCAACTTAAAAGTTTACCTATCCCTTTCGGACATTCGATTTTCTTATGTATCATGAAAAAAGTGTACTCTCGATGTTATATACCTCCATCGTTATGTAAGAAAATTTATCACATCCTGGCAGACGAGCAACCACCAAAGTAATAGCGGAACGATTTGTATGGCCAAACATGTCCACTGACATAAGAACTTTGACGCAGCAATGCATTCAGTGTCAAAAACACATAATCGGCCATTGGTAAATTCCAGAGACCCGGCGGTAGGTTCACCCATTTGCACTTAGATATTGTGTGGGCCCTCCTAAACGCACATGGTTTCATTTATTTGCTCACCATAGTGGATCGATTCAGTCAATGGCCTGCTGCCTTTCTTATTCCAAATACCTTCGCAAAGACTATTGCAAAAATTGTACTGGGCAAATTGATCAGTACATTAGGAGTGCCATCTGTGATTACTACTGACAGAGAATCACAGTTTCAATCCATGCTTTTCAAGGAATTTGTTAGCCTACTTGGAATCAAACATATAACTACTACATACTGTAAATGAAATTGTGGAAAGCTTCCACAGACAGCTAAAACTGTACTAACTACAAAAATTGACCCTTACAACCGGAAAGATAATTTACATATTACTCTCTTATCTATACAAAATACCTTAAAAGACGACCTATACTGCATACCAGCAGACATCGTTTTGGAATCTCACTGACATTATCCGGTCAATACTTTGAGGTAGACAAAATATCAAACCTATCTACGGACTTTGTCAACAAATTAAAAGACAAAATGAATAGTTTCTTTTACACCCACAAGATGTGTGACTAAACAATCTTTTTACCTGCAGATCTATGTAACTGTGAGTATATTTTTCTCAGGAATGACATGGTTAAGAAACCATCATTCTCAAATTATACAGGTCCACATAAAGTGTTGGAACGACATGAAAAATATTTTGCCATTCCAAAAAAGAAAAAGAAAAAAAAGAAAAAAAAACAAAACAAAGACACCGTATAAACTGATCGTTTAAAACCTGCTTACATTGAACAAATCACACAACACTTGACACAAATCAAAGCAAACCAATAGGCAATATGCTCTCACCTAAAATTTCAATACTTCTAACAACAACAAAAAGTGTCCCACTGTACATTGGCCACGACATTTAGAGACATACATAACAAATCATATTTCATAATAGAATATTCTTCAATCTGGTGGGAGTGTTGTTGGATTACTGTCTCTTGATTAATAAAATCTCACTGCGGCGAAATTTTGGAATTATTGTTTTGAAATTTTCACATTTTGTTTCATTTCTCCTTTTTTCTTTTATAAAATGCCCAGTCAATATATTATTATTTCGTTGTTCAAATTCTATGTCTTATTATTTCTTTGGATTTATACGAATCCTTCAAAATTGTTAGCGGGTCAAATGTACCAGGAAAATATCAGTTGTCATCAAAAGAGTATATACACACTACAAAGTGGTGACGCCGAAATAATTTTCTCCAAGACATATTAAAAAAAGGCATTTTGAAAAAGGACATTAGTTTAAAAAAAAAAAATGAAAATTTTCTTTACGGCTCAGAGAAACATGTGCGTAGAATTTTGGTAGACTGCTATAATTACGAGCCACAAACCGAGTTACGGTCACTTCACAGATTAATATTTTTTTCATCAGTGGTTACAAATACCGCATTCTTACTACATAACAATAAAAATGGAAGGACCAATTGAATCCAGACTATCGCTACAGCTACCCCCATTCACACACACACATACAAATACAATCACATGTGTAAGATCAAATCAGAACACACAGTATTGCATATATTTATATATATAATTAGAATTCGTGATATTTATCACGTGAAAGATTGCATAGTATCTGAGATAGAGCCTTTATAGACAGACAATGTGAACGTAGGGATCAACACTCCATGATGACTAACTGTATATATAGCGGATTGTGCATATAATTCACTAGTTAAATGAAATGAGAAGAGGAAACAGCATTTCCAGTTTCTCTAGTTTATGTTGAGGGTTAGTTGCGATCATGGTTTCTAGATTTCTTATTCATAATGGTTGAGTAGCTTGAGGAAGTGTGTATACATTAAGGCAAAGTTTACAGCGTCCAAAACATTAATTTAAAAATAGTGCTCAATACATAAAAATAGAGCCGTAAATATTTATTTATTTTATGTATTGTTACATTAGAACATGCACATATCCATTACAAAATTGTACATTTTTGTTTCAACGTCAAAAAAGAGGAAAACTTTTTAGACGTCTCATCGGGTGGGAAATTATGGTGTTACTAAAAAATATTATTCAGAAATACAGTTATAGAAGCAAATATCCCCCACTTCCGTTCTTTGGAAATGTTCATAAAATGTCTTCTAGAATTTACATGTAGAGATGAAAGTGAATCTAATGTATTAGGTAGTCATGGGTGGACGAAAAGGACAAGAACACAAAAAAGGAAGGGAAAAGAAATAAAGAGGCTATGGTAAGAGGATGAGGTGATAAGCGCTAAGAGGAGATAAAATCTGGTCATAGAATTTCGTATGGATGTAGAATTTGAACTTTAACGGTCTCCTAGGTTTATTAGGTAGGGGTTTCAAGTAAGAAATAATAGAAAATAACAATTTGCAGCTAGATACAGTTAAAGTACAGGTTAGAATGTTAGGTATATTTTTTATCCTTCATATTATTTTGGGATAAAACATTGTCAAAGAGACATAATTCAAGTAATACAATTTTTAAAATTTTTTTAAGGGAGAAGTAGGTGGTAAATTCCCTATAAAAAATAAAACGCAAAATAAGATTAAATTAGTACGCATACACACACATAAAACACAAAATTCAAATGTCCAGGCAAAATGTAACACTTAAAAATAACTCCTATTTCCTGTTTCGTTTACATTTTTCCGTGTTTATATATCTACATGTTTTCGTATTATTATCTGATTGTGTATGTATTGTTTTTTGCAAGATGTCATCCTCCCCTACCCATATCATCACTTCAAATGTATCTAAGCTGTAACGAAGCTTAGAGCAACATTAGATTTTAACGTTTATTCTAACTGAATTTTTGGCCTTTCAATAAAAACAAAATAAATAACAAAACATAAGTATCTTTTCCTCAGTTTCTTCTTTAAATAATTCTATAATTTTTAAACTTAATACAGATTAAATTTAAAATTGGTAATTTTTAATTTTATAGTAAAAGTTAATATTAATTAGTTAGAATGATTTCTATTTTAGTCTAACCATAACATTAAAGCATTCATTATTATAACCAAAGTTCATTGTTAAGTTTTTTGTAATTCTCATATACTTGTATTTTGATTGGCCATTGAAGCTTATGTAACAGCGTTTCCCCTAGCGACGGGTGTTTGATTGATTTGAACCTTTTAAATCCCTTTATTCTATATTCAACACCATCACTTGATAAGACACCTGAAGTGTTGAAACAAAATGGATGCATTTTTAGTGATTTTATAACATATTTATGTTATAATTTTCGAATAAATAATTATATTTGCTCTACTCTGTATTGAGCACTCTTTTAAGAATAGTATTTTTTGTTTATTGGAATTTATTCGTATACACCAATCCTATATTTGTGTGTATATATATATATATATATATATATATATATATATATATATATATATATATATATAATACAAGTATATAATTGGTGTATACGGAATGAATTCCAATAACCAAAAATTACTATTCTTAAAAGAGTGCTCAATACAAAGTAGAGCAGATATAATTATTTTATATATAAAAAAAAAATTATAACATAAATATGTTATAAAATCACTACAAAAATAGCCATTTTGTTTCAACACCCTCGGTGTCTTATCAAGTGATGATGTTGAAGATAAAATAAATGGTTTTAAAAGTTTGAAATTAATTAACGATCCTTCGCTAGGGAAAAACATTGTTACCAAAGCTAGAATTACCAATCAAAACTCAAGTATAGGAAGATTCAAAAGCTTGACAACGAAATCATGTTATAATAGCTATTCAGATCTTTAAAATAAGGGTAATATAAAAAAGAATTTATTCTAACCAATAATTATTAAATTATATGATAAAATTTGATATTAAAATTAAAAACTGCTAATTTTAAAATCTAAATTTAATGACTATTAAGTTTAAAAACTATAAATTTACTGAGGATGTTATTCAATTTATTTCTTCGTTGAAATTACAATAGAACAGACGCTACAATATCCGGTCATTTGACAATATATGTATATATATTTTAATCCAAAGTGTGTGAATGGGGTCTTAAACTCACACGCAAAACAACAAAAACACAATCAGATTAGATAAATGCTAGCCACTTATTAAAATATAACTTAAGCGAGCAAATATATAAAGATAAAAATGGTTAAAAATAATATTATTTAATATATTAAAACGAAAATTCCGAAACCACAAATATCAATAAAAACAGCAGTAATGACATACCAAAGTTTCCATACCTACACATACACACAAACAATCTCATATATAATAAGTGTCAACACACACATATACATCTACAAACATACATATATATACACATACATACATATCTACATATAAACATATACATAAATATACCTATCTATAATAACAAGAACCAATATATACGGACATACATATAAATACAACGACATTCAACCAAATACATATATAAACGCACATACATATACATACATAAACATACATCCAAATACATGCACACACCAATATACATATAGCCTAACATACATATATAAACACATTCATACAAACAGAAATATACGTAAATATAAATTTATATATACAATAAAATAGGACACATACATATATATATACACGTACACACACATATATATATATACATACACACACACATACATACAAATATATATATACATATATACAGTGTCACAAAGCCGAAATTAGGGGGTACCCAGTGAGGAACGAACCCACTACTCAGTCGCAATTGATCTTGCGAGCCAAGCATTACACCGCCTCGGGGTGTTTATTTATATATATATATATATATATATATATATATATATCAACGTTTTTTAACCTCTTCTCTTCTTATCTTCCACAGCCTCCTATAACATGATTTCTTTGTCAAGCTTTTGAATCTTCCTATACTTGGGTTTTGATTGGTCATTCTAGCTTAATTTGAAACTTTTAAAACCATTTATTTTATCTTCAACTTCATCACTTGATAAGACACCGAGGGTGTTGAAAAAAAATGGTTATTTTTTGTAGTGACTTTATAACATATTTATGTTATAATTTTTTATATAAAATAATTATATATATATATATATATATATATATATATATATATATTTCAGCACTATAAATAAACTTAGCATATTTAGATAAAAACTTCGAACGACGCAACCAGCATAAATAAGAATTCTACAGTTCATGACAGTAAATAACATCCGGCTGGAACCAGAAAAAAAATAAACTGGGAATGTTGTTTCCTCTTCCCCCAGTTGCATACAAAGCCCAGCATGTCTAGTTTATTGAGAAAGTTAATCTGCAAAATTAGTATTATAATTACGTTTAATTAACTTTATAAGTATGTATGAATATGGAAAAATAATTATAATGTAAAACTTTAATTCAGTATTCATTATTAAATATAAATTATTGTAAATATTGTACAGTAAATAAATATAGTATAGTAAATATAGTATATCGTTTTGAAACGTTTAAATAGTTATATTTATACTTTAGTTTTAAAAGATAGTGATACAACGGATAGTAGAAGTACTGGCCCCAGGGAATTTTAATAATTGCAATAGTCTTTTGGTTGTTAATACCTGAATAGCGAAGATATGGTAAGGCACAGACAAACGAGAAACGCAATTAGCTTAAACTGTAAGTTTATCTTATTTTTCATTTTGAGCACCCCCACCAACTGGCTTATTTATTTGAAATAAGAATAAATTTACTTTGGCCAACTTATAGTCTTTTTTCCGAATGGGATTCATTTAAATGTAGAATCATTTAACTTACATATAATGACAGAACAGTTTCAGTATGTTTTTGAAATAATGAGTTGACATAGTATTAATTTCGATAAAATTAGCTTTTATTTTCCTTCAAATAATTTGTTAAGAAAAATTGAATTTTGTAATGAATGGATTTTAATAAAAATACACTGGTTAGAAGTAATTTGATGTAAAAATTGGAGTGTAAGGATTTTTTATGTTGAGTTCGGGGCAAAAGTCCTTTAATTAAAAAATATTGGTTGCCTGATAATCTTAATTCTTGTAGATATGATATAATTCAGATTGAATGAAACTGATAATTGCTGAAGAATGCATTTTCGTTAAAAATCTAAATAATATTTTAAAATGTGAAATATATTTTCCCGAAATAAAAGTTTCACAGTTTACGTCTTTGTTTTCTATTGAGCCGGCGCTATCTTGAATATATGAAAGACGTTCTAGAATTTGACACTCGTCGGACATTCCATGCCATTCTTTCTATTTGTGTTCGTGTATACAAGCATGCGTGCATTTGCTAATCTCAGTATGGATATGTGCGTATATATTTGTGAATAAGCAAATACTTTTATTTAATATGACTTTATAAAAACGCAAACATATATGTTCATCTAAAAACATTCAAAATCTAATAAAATGTATTTTTATATATACGTATAAGAATAAATGTTTTATAGATATATATGCATAATAGAATAGCTTATAAAATTTCACATTCTTTATGTTGGTCTAAAAGGCATTACATAAATATCTATCTATGTATCGATCGATTGATTCATAGACTTTGATTTTCTCATCGTCGTGGCGTTTCTTAATTTATGACGATATCCACAGTGGACCAAACTATTTTTTACGATCAATCTGGAGATTGCTACTTGTAAAATCAAGAATCAATCAAAATGTATCAAACTCACCTTGATCGATATTTTCCACTAACGTAAATCCAATGACTATGAAAATAGTCATGAAAATCCGGCGATGGACCACTTGGGCTCGAGACATCATCTTGTGTTTTTTTTGTCTCTCTGACGATAAAATACATACACATTCCCTCAAAACTTTGACAACATACCAACCACTCCTTTTAATTTAAGAGCAAAGCAAAAGGATACACTTAGCTCAAAGCCTACAGTTCAATTTATTCAAGTATATTTCACGAGAATAAACTTTGGCGCTTTCGTCTATCAAGTAAATTTTAGCAGTTTACGTATTTGAATGGCATTGGCTGTCTGACCCAACCGGCGCTAGTTGTCGCAGTGTCACATATTTAGAATCGAATGACTCGTGTGTTTTGTACAACAAAATAGGATAAAGTATTAAATGAACACATTGTAGAATTTAGCGAATAAGATACAAAACATTTCGATCATTGGCCTTTATGGCTCAAACAGACTACCAGTTTGTTAATTAGTGCATTATACATGATTTTTATATTTGGATTTAAATTATTTTCCTACCGTAAAAAGAGGTTGAACAGCCAAATTTCATGCTCATGAAACTGAAGAATTTGAAAATAATTTGTCAAGTGAGCAGTGATCTTTCAACCAATTAAATGCAATAGACTAAGAATTGAAAAAATTCCTTTTAGGCCTTTCAAAAAATATATAAGCAATAGATTTTATCACTTTCTTTGTTAGACAGTTGCTAACCAATCCACGTTTGTTTCTTTGAACACTTTCTTCTCTCATGTGTATACAGATCTTCTAGACTACACACACATTTCCTTGGCTAGTAAATGCAATTAGTAATTGACCTCCTTAACTTACCCAAGAAGAGCTTACATCCTGTACATACACACATATATATATGGTCATATATATTTTCTGACTCTCTATATTTTTTAGAAAGGCATATGTGTTATATATGTTCTTAATTTTTCTGGACACTCTATATTTATACATATATACCAAGTATAAACACTCATAAGCACCCACACGCAAAAGATTTTGGGCGACAACCAGTCTAAGAGAAAGACTATTCTGAATTCCAAACTGTGAAGAAGGCAACGAGAAGCCACTACAGTCGGTACGTCTAAAGATTCATTAAAAATGAGAATACATGATGAAAAAAATGCCCCAAACTTAATACAAACAGAATTTTATCAAGAAGTTTATGTTATTATTAAGAGAGAAGATCAACGGACCTTTGATGTAAAAATTATTTTTTTAAATTATTTTTAAAAATTTCGAAATTTTGCTTAAACATCTTTTTTCTTAGCTTCAACGTAGGATCAAAAATTTGTATGAGAAATTTGAGCGTCTTTTTTTAACACCACTGATTTGGAAATTCTTGCAAAAATCAGATAATGGTCGAATTTGTATTAATGTGTATTATTCACAAATGAATGAAATTATTTTTGAACGCTTTCCTTTTAGAATGTCTTCGTAAAGATATAATTTTTACATATTTTACCTCCTACTTACTTAATTTTATGAAATTTTGAGAAATTCTTCTTTGTAGCGTTTAATGTTGCTATTACTTATAAGGACAAGTCTTCGGTGAATTCATCAAATTCTTTTGGTCCACCAGTTAGCGAAAATTTGCTATGAATCGTAAAATAAAAAATGTAATAAAACTAAGAAATTAATTAATTAGAAATGCTTTTATGACTAAAATATATTAGGCACACTATTGTCTTAAGAAAAACATTATTTCGATGAATAATGAATTTTTACAGGAATTGTTTTCATTTTTTTTAAATTTAATTTTATAATTTATAAAGTTTTAAATTTTTAAAAAGTCTGTATTCATTTGTAGAGATGAAGGGATACTGCTATTAAATAAAAAATGTATTTACTAATCATAAATTGAAAATTCAATAACATCTCATAAAATACTTACACACATGATAAAAATTATTTTCAGTTGTTTTCATGTGAGATTTGAAGTTGAAATAAACTGTTATAAGTGTTTTCTTTTCTTTAAATAAGAACGCACATACTGCCTTTTCTATCCAATTAATTAATGAAACGTAAAATCATTTCAGCTTTAAAATGATGAAACTTTGTCGTCAATTTAGTACTGCGCTTAAATTCATAAATTCTAGGTATCATAGAAGAATGTTTATCAGAATAATTACCATGAAAGTATTTATTAAAAAGGCACAGGAAACTACATTACGGCGATAAGAAAGTGAGGGAAACCAAGATGCCAGGCCAGGAACAATAATATTGCAGATTCTGCTTTGTATTTTATGAAGAATCTCTAAATATATAGCAGAAGAACCAGACCAAGTGTGGCAGCAATATTCAATCTATGGCCGAACGGTAGACTTATAAATGTGTAAGATAGATTATGTCGAGAAAAATTGTCTAACACAGCAGTGAACCAACTTGCCTAGCCGTAGATTTAGCAATTAATTCAATATAAACATTCCACTTCATATAAGAGGAAAATGTTAACCCGAAAAGGCACAATGATTCACTCCCCTGAGACAATTAAAACAGAGCAGTTACGTTTTGGAGACTTTAAAATTAACAAGACATTCCTTATCCCAGTTAACAGAACATTGTAGTTCAATTTTTATGTCAGCTGCCAATTTGTCATTTTTTAATCGATCAGACTTACTATTAAGGCAGGAGTAAATAGTTAATAAATAATAATCCACAACAACGAACGGTGGATAAAGAAATCGAATGAAAATTTTGATGAAACTATGCCATCATTGAACTCTGTTGAATCATCCGATTTAGTCGGACTATTTATTTTGTACAATCTTAATGCATATGATGAAATTAAATGATATAGGGCATTATAGAAGTGATGGTCTAATGATAGTAAAGAATTCTACTGGGAGTAAGGTAGATAAACTGAGAAAATTGATTCACAGAGTGTTTAAATCTTTACATCTCAAAGTCAAAATTAATTCTAACATTAGACAAGTGGATTTCTTAGATATAACCTTAAACTTAGCCCTTAAAAATTTCCAACCTTTCTTGTAAAATAACGCTAGCCCTATTTATATAAATCCTAATTCCAATCATCCACCGTCGGTTATTAAACATATCCCATCATCCGTTGAATGTTGTATCAACCAGCACTACTCTAACAAAGAATTATTCGATAAATACAAGATTGTTTATAACAAAATCCTTACTGGCAGTGGCTACAGATCTTCCGAAATTAAATATGTGAAAAACTATAGTTACACTAGAAAGAAAAATAGAAGGAGGAAAACAATTTGGTATACACCCCCTTTAATAAATTAGTCCGTACCAATTTGGGACACAAATTTTGATTAATAAGCATTTCCCTAAGGGTAGTAAATTAAGTCAAATTTTCAACCGTAATACCCCCAAAATCAGTTATAGTGCTAGAAATAAAATTATTAGATAAAATTATTAAATCACGCAACAATAGAATACTGAAACTTTATAACGGCAATAAATGCAACCCAAACACAAATTCTAGTATACCCCAGGTAACCGAACTACGCAATTGTAGATTTCCGATCAATGTCCATTATCAAACAAGTGCCTAACGAAATCGATTGTATATATGTGTTCCATCTCATCAATTGAAAACCCCAATAATATTAATCTGTATGTTGGGTCTACTGGGGATGCTTTTAAGGATCAATATTATAACCACATATCCTCTTTTACTAATGCAATCAAACGTAATATAACTTCACTTTCTAAATATGTTTGGAAACTGAAGGAAGAAAACAAAACACTTAAGGTTAAATGGAAAATCCTCAAACAAGCCAGAACTTGCCGAGCACTGAACGAACTTCATTTTTTTTATGTTTGGAGGAAAAAATATGTATTATTGAGCTTTTGAATAATAGTCAAATATTAAATCAAAAATTTGAAACTGCCGTTTTTTGTAGGCACATTAAAGATCTAAAATTGCAATCTTGCGAAACTTTTAAATTTATAACTGACCTCCTTTAAATATTTTCTACCTTCTTATATATTTTCCTACTGATCTATCTTAGATTATGATTCTAAATTGTCTCTGCACATATATAATACTAACAAAGTATCACATAAATTGATTTATATCCATACTTATTCTAGAAGTTATACAGTTCGGCAATAGGTCAAAGTTTGTTTATAAAAATTTATATTAACATTCCATACTTTATATGTCTTTTTACTTATATCTTAAACTCTGAATTAATATTTATTGTAAAAGCATCAAATAACTTATGTATTTAACATATCAAAGAATTTTCCACTTTAATAAACGTAGTATTTATTAATTTAAATACTACGTTTATTCCAGAACAAATGACAGAAACTTCAGCATAAATCTGCGTAATTCAGTTTTGGTTTTGTTTTAAGATCCCCGATCCTTCATCGAAAAAAAAGCTTCTTAAATTATTACTATGGCCTTTCTCTATGCTTATTTCTCCTTTCTCCGTCATCGTTTTTCCTGTTCTCTATTTCCACATTTCCTTCTCTCTTTCCTTTTTCTTTGCTTAGATTTCTGACCAGGCCCTTCTGTTAACACCTCAACATTCCTTCACCGTCCAAACTGCTATCAACAAATAATATTGTCTTACTTTGACATCCTCTTTCTTTTCCTTCTCTTTTATCCCTTTTCTTTACCCTTCTCCGTTTCCTCTTAAGGTGACTCTTCCTATTTTTTCCATAAGCGACTTGCTTGGAAATAGAATTGTTCGTAAACTTTTTGGGCTCTCAACAGTCGAGATGCAGCCACATCGAAACAAGAATGCATCTTTTTAGTAAGTCGTTTTTGTCCGTATGTAAAAATTATATATATATATATATATATATATATGAAGAAATATAGTCTTAAGGTCTGCTATATTTATGGGATAAAGTGCTCGATATCAGAGATAGAGCGTGTGTAAATATAAAAGTGAACATAGAAGTCAACACTTAGAGGCGACAGTCTGTTTCATGCTATATGCAATCGTCAGGCCACGTGTGCTGTTATTTTTCTCGGCTATTTATACATATACGGGTCAGTGGTGCATTGTGGGTAATCTATTATGGCGGTTATTTTACCGGAAGTCGTTTATTTAAGAAATTTGT